CCAAGTACTGACATTTTCTGCGACTCTTCAATCCTTTCGCTTGAATCAACCAGCCTTTGTCCGACCCTACTGCAGCTAACGAGGAAACCCCCACGGACCTTCGTGGCTTGGCTGGCCATGTCATTCGCTCCAGAGACCATCGCTCGCATTCTTTTCATGCAGCTGTCGCACGACGGAACGTCCCGGGGGGCAATCTGAGGCTATCCATCACCCAACTAAGCTCTCGGTCAGTGGTCAGGAGCGATCCTAGTGTACCTGTTCAGTAGCAGATTGAAATTGATTTGGCGAGCAAGATGCCAGCCGCGTCGGTTGAGGGAGAAAATTTTCTTCCGGGGCGCATAATGTGCCCAATTCCTATCCCAGAAGACGCTAACAGATCCTGCGTTTCATGGTACGATTTGCTTTGGATTAGTAGGAGTTAGTAGGTAGTAGTTAGTACCTAGTAGGTATTAGGTACTCAGGTACTGTGCCTATTCGGTACTAGTGCTTTTCGCTAACGTTCACGCTTGTATCTTGCACTGCGTCTAGTTCTACCGACATCCCGACTGTTACCAGTCTAACCGGTCCTCTACTAGTATTTATCCTCATCATTACTAATTGACTAAGTAGATGTCCCCCCTCAGATGAGAATGAATGTTGAGCATCTATATAGTAGCAATGATCAAAGAGAAGAGCTGGTTTATCCTAAGTCGAGACTCGTGACCGTCTATCTAAGATCTTTCTCCCCACTCTCTTATCCTTCTGCCTGCCTCTTCCCCCTCGATCCACCCTCTCCCATCATCCAAAGGAGCCTGTCTCCGACCATTCAAACTTTTCGGCCCCAGACTTGACCAAACGCTCAGATGACCGTCGATCTCATGAATTGATCAGAACCACTGGTTCAAGCCCATGCAACATATTGGATGGCTGCATCTTCCATGGGCGCCACCCAAGCTTACCCGGTCACGTTGCCGGATGTCAATGGCTGAGCCCGCGATCGAGTCTCGATAGAGTGGACACCTCCCACTCCCACCCTTCTTCCGTGTTTTGCGTCTGGGGAAAGCTGGCAGCAATGATGTCATCTCATCGTTCACTGTACGACCGGCAGAGTGGGTTCATCACCTCCGCCCTATGCTCTTATGTAAGCATGTATCTGCCTAGTGGCCGCGCTGTGCCGGTGGCCAAACCCGCGCTTCGCCGCTTCTTACTCCAGAGTTTCAGACAGCCACCGCCTGGGTTGAGATTCGCGATGTTTTTCCCCAATTTGCGTGGATGGCTGGAGGATCCACCACACACGACTGAACCTACCCTCCAGGCTGATGTCAATGTAGGCGCCGCAGATGGTGCACACGATTCAGACATCGTCACAGACACTCAAGGTTCTTTGTACAATCCTTTTGAGCTTGTATCTGTACATTTACTTGACGTATAGGAACACAGTTGCAACTGCGGCTCACCACAGGAGGCAATAATGAGCGAATGAGGATGAGATGACTAGACGGACGTCTTTTACCACACACACATATATCACCAACTCTGCCAAAATTCTAGAAGCTTTTCCTGTGTGCAGGGATGAGGACTTCATCCAGCAAACTTGTATCCATCTCAGTAGACGGATACGTGATTGCTCGCGGAATGGGCTTCATGATGGGAAATTGAATCATGGTAAGCTGCAATCAATTTTGCACTCCAGCGTATGAATTAGATCTTTTCTAGGGACAAGGCCGGCAAATATTCTGTTACTCAAATTGTTGTAATCCTGATCGACTAAATGGTCATTGGCACCATGTTATAGGCTCTGTTGTGCCGTAGGCCTTTGATCGCCGTTTCCATCTAACGGGAAAGTTGTGTGCCTCACTGCCTACAACATGACTCGTGCGGTTCCCACTTTCTCATTGAACATCAATTCATGCTTCGAGTCGACCGGCTAACCCTGCTCCAGGTATCTCTCATTCTCTTGCTAAGCATTCTAAACATTCTTGAGTCTTTGCATAAGCGGAGAGACCATGGTAAGCACGTCGCTCACTCTCCCTCTGCTTCCTTTGAATCCCCAGTCTACCCTGTTCGAACACCTCAGTCCTCCCAATCAGGAGAGATGACGATACATTCTCGACTAGCATGGCAGCCGGTGCAAGGACCCACCCGATAAGATCGAACATGGAATTCCCCAAAACAACATGCCATGCCCATCACGGAGACCAGCCGATTGGCTGCATAGGAGAGGACTCTCCCTGAAGAACTGGACATTCCACTCGGCTTGCCGGTCACCAAAGCTAATCGGTATTTACCTGCCACTCTTCCGAGTCTTTGATGGCCGGAAATTACCATGCGAGTTTCAAGACGGGTAGTTCCGTCAGCTATGTGCTTCACATTGAAAGAACGGGACTTGCAGGAGCATCGAAGGAAGTCATCGATCTAAGTCACCAAGTCCAGAATATAAAAAGGGTGTGGCCTCCCGAGCTTACAAGGTGCGTTTTTTGGAACCCCCATCGCACGTGGTTCTGTCGGGAAATTTCCACTGATACGCTTGATTACACTGTGCCAACCCTGATATTCCCCATGTTAGACCTCACGGGGGGGCATCACGTCTATGCGAACCAAGCATCCCACTTTCTCCACCAGGCAGGCAAAGCATCCAAAAGACAGCTCTCTAGATTTGGCAAGGGTATTCGACGAAGAAGTCAACGATTGGCAAGATGCAAGAAGATCTCACGCCAACCATCATTTGTAGTCTTGCTAAAACTGCCGGTTGATCATCACTCTCAAGAATCAGACATGCATTCCCTCCCTTCTCAACATGCAATGACAATCCAAAGCTTTTCATATCCTACATGGGAGCGCAGCCCGTCATTTGAGGATATCCCCCAGATCAATCCACTGCCACCTGGGCTTCGTGTGACAAATCCCGATCTACCGACGGCAGGTCCACTGGAAAATAACCATCCTACAACGCATAGCGCCACCATTGAGCGATCCTCCTACGTATGTCAAGTCGGTCACTCCACGGATTCAATGCCTACACACCCCTTGACCACTTCTTTGGGTAAAAGCACACAAGGTGTCCCAATGAGAAAAAAGCTAGCGGCCGACTCAATGTTGATTCTCGATCAAGACCTAGACTGGCCGCGCGCTCTACAAGATGGAGGCGCATACCCAACACAACATCTAGACGAGCTGTGGCTTCCAGAAAGTGGATTGGGCCCCTCTTTCGATCCCCGCTTGATTCGAGCACTTCGGTCCCATTTGTGTCATGACCAAACTCCCCAATCTTCCCGGCTATCTGGCGCACAGGGTCGGTATCTATTCCTTGAATTGCTGGACTGCCAGAGCGACCCCGAAAGAGTGGCTGACTTTACACTGCTTGACACCTCGGAATCGCCTGCCGGGACACGGCGCAGTCAGCCTCCCCGACTTCCGAGTCTGTATTTTCGATCTAATTCACCATTTGGCGGTGACAATTTGCCTTGGAAATAATCCCGTCTGTCTTTTGACAACACTGTGGAATTGTGAAAAATTGTCCTCTGGCTTGTGTACTATCTGCTATCAAGGGAGAACGGGATTCAGAATCATAGGTGAAACTCGCTTCAAGCCAGAAATTGTCCGGCACTCTAACAAGGATGAAGCCTGCCTTACTTTGAATCGACTGCAGATGAGTAGAACTACATTCAACCTTGGACAGGGAGGCCGAAAATGAATGCCGCTATAAATGAACCCTGCAACGGAAAATACGTTTTGAAGAACGTGACGAGATGTAAGCCCTAGCGAGTATTTGAATGTGCTGATGGGAGGAGGTTAAGCCTTAAGTGTAGATGAAGAGTAAGCTGAAGGTCGCAAAACCCGGGGTATCAAGTCATCATCTAGGATCTACAAGGTTCTGCGACCGCACCCCATTGGAAGTGGTCTCCCTCTCTCTCTCTCTCTCGAGATTTCCAAACAAACTGGGCTGACTGAAGGAAGAGCTTCGTTAGCTCATTAGCCGTAGCGTTTCGAAAGATAGCGCCGCACGCCGCCATCTCTCAGCTTGAATCGAGTCAACTCAGTATTCGCAAGGATGAAATAAGTCGACATTCAACCATTAAAGCTCTTTTAGGCGGCTCCAATATTATTATGCCGAAAATTGCAGAACTGTATGCGACTTGATATATGCCAAGGGGAAATGCCATCCAGAATTGCGCGACTCTCCAATATTCGCGCGATTTCCAGTCAGATCTGCTTCCGTGCCTTCTTCAGTCCGATCTCCAAACCAAGGTCCAGTTACGCCGAAGATTCGTCCACTTTTTTGAACCCACGGTTCATACTAGTGACTGATTGATGGCCTGACGCAGTAACTTAGCTGCTAATGCACTACTTCGTACTTACCAGCTGGAGGAGTTAGAGTAACGGATGTCAACAACTTCCTCAGGCCTGTGCACACTTTGATTGACAGCTCAGAATCAACACGTGACTTGATTAATTTTAGACTTCGCCATGCCACTTGCGTATTCAACATGGAAGCTATTTTCAGCGATTCTCCAATATCATCAATCAGCACACGATCCATTCCGTAGCGCGTTCCTGACCTAACGGGCCATCTCAAGCATGACAAGCGGAATAACGAGCACCGAATAAACCGATGTCACCAGTGGCTCGGCGGGTCCTGCCCAGTCTCGGGCTCCTGGCCAGCCGCAACACACGAGTTTTTCGGCTTCCACATGAAGTCATGCGGTTTTAGGTGTGGGGGAATGACCTCATCATGCTGTCACTGACACCGCAGCGGTTGGCAGATAGACCAGCCTCCTACTGGTATATAACAGATGTAACAAAGCCGCACAGCACTTGTTCAGTAAGAGCATTTCATTCCCACCAATCCGTCTTCGTCAATTGACAACTCTGCTATCTTAGGTAGGTCAATCCTGTCTTGTCGCGCTGTTCACTGACTTCCAACACCGCCACAACTTGGAACATTGACTAACTCTACTCAATGCAGCCTCACACACACACCTCTTTCTCAACCCAAACCACCTTTCAAATCTTCCATCAAAATGGTTCGCGGCGCTGATTACGACAACGGTGTTCCCCAGAGCGACAACCCCATCGAGGCGGGCTCTACCCAGGCTCACGGTACCGGTGCCACTGTACGTTTGACAACATCATCTCTCTCTCTCTCCACACGTGATCACCACAATCGATCTCTTCACGGCCGCCGCCAAGATCCAATCCTGATTCTGACTTCTTTTCCTTTTTAGGATGCCCCTCTGGACCGCACCCAGAAGGTCGCCCCCATGCCCGAGGAGACTGGTTCGCAGCGCGACGTGTTCCCCGGCCAGGCTGGTGCCGGACACAGCAGTGGCAAGGGTGGCCACGAGCCCAAGACCCTCGGCGAGAACAAGGGCTTGGGTGCTCAGCCCGGCAACTAAACTTTGAAAAGTGCTGGTTACTTTTTTCTACACACAACACCACTACCTTTCGACACGCGCTTTAATGTTGCATGAGATCGTCAATGCCCTATGATGTTAATTGAGCAAGGATACTTCTGGCCTATCCTGATTCTTATCTAACAGAGATAATTGAGATTACCTTCCTGGTCATTCTGGTTCTGATGGTGTCTTTCCAAGTCTACTTGTAGAACGATCGTGGATCTCGAGTCACCACAAAGTCTATATATTTCTACGACTTACGGGCCACCTTTTCTTAAAAAAAAAAAAACTTGGAAAGAACCCCCCAATTATCATTCTCTCAAATGTCCTTCACACAAATATTCTTGATATAAATACGATCATTGTATCTGACTTACGCCCGGTCCATGACTTGGAACAGATGGCCGTGATTCGCAATCTAATGAAAAGTGCACAGCAAAAAAGATGTCTCTCATAATGAAGGGCAGGGTAGGTCCAGAACCAGCACAAGAGTGGGGTGTATCAGTGCGCATCAAGTTGAGAGAGATCAGCACGGGTGCAAAAAGAAACTCTCCCTCGGGGAATCGAACCCCGGTCTCCCGCGCTTATCAGATTTAGTGACAAGCGGAAATCATGACCACTAGACCAAGGAAGATGATTGGACAGCAAAGGGCCATCTTTTAATGTCATGTTGGTAGATTTTTGTCTGATCATCAGTCAGGAATTTACTTGGCTCGACTGCAGCTCCTATGCATTTTACCACTCCCTTACAACACCACACTGCTTTTCTCTGTGATTCAGCCGAATCTTGGGCACGATGATCGGGTCCACTAGTGCATATTATTTACATACACCCGATTGGCACTATGGGCCTTCATCACACGACCGGGACCATACACACATTCCTTTGATCTGTCGCAGATAATCTTCAAGACTTGGGAGATTCAGATCCCTCGTTCGAGCTGTCTGGCTTCTCACTCGGTGATTCCGTCTTCTCGGGAATATCTGACTTGCTAGTAGCCTTGGCTACTTGCTTGGCGTTCACGATCTCGAGGAGCTTATCACTCAGCGAGCTTGCGCCCTCAATCTTGGCCAACTTGGTTTGGAGGTGGGTAATGTCAGCATGCATCCTATGAGAGCGTGTTAGTGTATCTTGCTGTTTGGGTATTTGCTTGCAAACCCCCAATCTCACCTTGACTTGCCCTCCTCCGTCCCCACTTTTGCTTCCTCAAAAGCTCTCACCCACTGGTCACGATAGTTGTTGAACACGGGAATCATAATCATGTTGACACTCATGTCCGGAAGATGCTTGCTCAGTACTCGGTGAAGAGTGCCGGTCTCCTTCGCAAGCGTTTCCATGTATGGATGAACACCAGTCGAGACATCGGTATCCCAATCAATCTTCTTCATTGCGGTAACATGGACAGACGATCGAGAGGTCATGATGTCGACGAGCTTCTCATGAATACCCGACTGATGCTCCTGGCAGAGTCGCTTGATTTTATCAAAGTCTCCCATGATCTGGTTCGCCTGTCCATGACGGCGGAAAAACTCGCGAACATACGGTACAAGCGCGATCACAAAGCTCAATGCTTGAGACGAAAGCGCCAGGTGCTTGGTCGTAATGTTCTTGAGCCCAGCGCTTCGCGTCGCGCCAGCGCCAAGAATCAACTGTGATGAACGCGAGTTGAAAAGCTTCAGGACCTCGAGCAATTGTGCCGCAATATCCTGGATCATGGTTGGAATGTTCGCCATGAGGAATTCGAATTCTTCGATGCAACGCATGATTGCCACGGCCGAGTCAGGTAGGATATACTTTTGCTCATCCACAACCGCGTTCCGAATCTTGTCTTTAGAAACACCATTGGCATCGCCGTTCCCCTCAGTCAGAGTCTTCTCTTCCTTTCCGCCCTCGGGGGCCCAAATCTTGGAGCCTTCCGTCCATAGATCAATATCCTTGGTGCTTGCGTCGAGAATTCGTGTGAGCACAGCGACATCAGCGTCTGTAAAGTCACGTGCATCCCAGCGATCAGAGTCCATCACCCTCACGATGTTCTGTCGCTGAGTCTCGCTGAAGCGCGTAATGAATTCGCGGATTTGATTCCCAACAATGGTTTTCAATGCTGCGCCGCCTCGACCTGAGATGGCTTCGCACTCGTCGGCAAAAAGGCGGTTGAGCGTGAAATATTTCAAGAAATCTTCCTTGGACAGGAGAGACGTCTGCTCAGAGCGAACTTTGAGAACCTTTGTGATCTGGGACTGCGCAATATCGACAGCCTGGCCTAGCAAGCTAGACATGTCCAGGACTTGCAGAATCTCATCTTGCGCCATGGCGGAAGCTGACGGTCCCCGGTCAGGAGACTCTTCCTGGGGGCGGGGACTGAGTGTGGGCGACAAGAGACCGGCAGTAGGAGAGCTTCCGAGACCGCTGGCGAGATCTAACAAGATCTTGACTTGGGTGCTCAGTCGTCGAAGACATTCACTTATACCAGTGTAGACTCCCACAAGCATCGTATACGCGTCTTCGGAGTCCAGAGCGCGCAGATTCCGTGCCAGGACTGAGGACTTCTCCTGCTGGGTTCGTTGTCGGTCATTATGAGTGGATACGGAAACCATAGACTCATTGTCGTCGTCGCTGGAACTTGGCAAATGTTTTCGTATCAAAGCTTTCATCTCCCGTAGCACAGCCATCTTGAATGAGGTAGCTGCAGCGGTAGTGAAGTGAGCTCGCGCGAGTCCCATCAGCTGTGTGTTCAAGCTGGAGCGTAGCGCATTGTCGATATTCATATAGGCAGGAGAAGCCGTTAAGATCACCCGCTGGCCACCACGTTGACGCTGGAATGAGGCGCCCCAACGCTGCAGGGTCGCACTGGACGCTACATTTCCAACATGCTGCCTCAAATCTCCTAGAAGATCATTTAAGAATCGAGTCTCATAGCCCATGCCAATGCGTTGCCACAGGATTGCCAGATCCTCAGAAGCTCCTTCTAGAGCTTTCAAGCCCCGAAGATCAATCGTTCTTTCAATTGTATCATGACCGTTTTCACCACTGGTTTGAGTCGACATCTTCTCCCCCGCCATCATCCTCTCCACCTGCTCCAGCTCGTCAGAGGCCCGCTCAATCTCCCCTTGCTCCACCAGATCTTCGCATCGAGAGACCGACTCCACAACGTCGCGAAGCTGGGCTACAGCAGCGGCCAACATTCGAACATTTTCTCTCCGACGTCGCAAATTGACGACTTTCAGGCCCCCCAATGCCATTTCCTTGTCTATCTTTTGCAAATCTTTACGAAGAACCTGGATTCTTTTCACCGAATCAGCCGCTTCCGCGTGCAATTCCCTTAGTGATCCCAAGGCGGTAAAAAAAGACTTTGATGCTGTGGATATCGACGAGATCAAATGGATCTCAACAGTGTCCATATACCACGATAACTTTTCCTGCAGAATTGCATTTGTCGCCAAAGCTTTGCGGCCCGAAGACACTGGTTCCGGTGCCCCTCCGTTGGCCTGCGTGTCATCTTTATTCGAAGTTCGAGGCGGTTTCACGACATCGGACTTTTCCGATATGATATCAAAGGTACGTGGGTTCTCCAGGTGGAAATCCTCCTCGAAATAGACTGGGGGGATCGTGGACAAGGGAGTGACTGCAGGTCCGCGGCTCCGAACGCCGGAAGGTCGTCGACCTCGGAAGTCCTGCGGGGAGGTTGGTCTCGAGTTCAGGGACATGACCGAGGACCTACGTTCTGGACTCCATGGTTTGAGGGTATCCGATTCATCAAGCCTCCCGGCCTTGGTACCTGATGGCGTCGGGACGTCTTCCGGGAACCCATCCTTCGACTGCTGGAACACATCATATAAAGAGCCGACTTGTGACAGGTAAGGCTGGAAGACTTTCGCTTCAACGTGAGGGATATTTGTCAAAGTCACGGGCGGAATGTCACGAGAGGACGGAGCTTTATAACCGGTCGCAGACACGGCAGTGTGCGGCGTCAGACCTGTGCGAACAATCGGCGGTTGGAGTAACGTGGATATCGCTTGTGGTCAGATGAAATTAGCCTCATTTGGACGTCTCCCTGTGTCAAAACTCGCGCGAACTTACCATTTTGTCCGGACTCCGCAATGGAGCCATGATGCTGGGAGGTATCTAGAATACCTCCAATGCTCACAACCGAGCTTGCCGTTGATCCCCTCCTCAGGGGGTACCGCAGAGGGGCCGCGCGTGGGGATTCAAGCTGGGATAGAGATAGTTGCGACAGCGATTGTGTTGACGTGCCAGATGCTAGGCTGTCAATTGATTTGCGCGGACTGGTCGGCGCCATGATGTCCTGGTCCGCCAGTCGGCCGGAGGTGCGACAGACGCCCGGAGTCGATCGTTGGGGAAGCTCGGGATTATCTGATCATGACAGAGGGTGGGAGGTCTCCAGGCGACAACAATGGCTGTCTGGGATACCTCGAGGCGCGCTCCAGCACAGTAGATTTTATTTCCCTGGGTCGATCCTGCCGCGCCGTTCATAGAATCTTCCAATTTTGCACTGTACAGCGCCGGGGGTGTGTTAAGGTGGCTTTGTTTATGGCCGACTGGCGGAGTATGGGGCGCTTTCGTCAGACATATGATTCTGCTGGGAATCGTTCACCGCCCGCGATTGCGATTGCGATTGCGATTGCCTCCATGATTGGGTAATTGGGCTCTGTAGTGATCTTGACTCGACTCGACTTCGATGGACGCAAGGAACAGGTATGCACAGAACTCGTTTAGGACTTTGTTATTTACCGAGATGATCCTAAATGGAAGTGGAAGGGCCACTTGAATATATACATGGATGTTAAGCGGCTTCTATGCTTTGCCCGGGTGCTCGGCTCAATAAAATAGTACGATACCCCGAGTTGCGAATGAACCACAAGCTTCCGTGGCGTGTCTCATTGCCTCGTCAGGTAGATTGCGCCACGAACCCATGTGACAGACTGGCTGAGAGCTTCCAGGAATCGTGAGCATACCTGCTATTGACGTATACTATGACCCTCTGTGTCCATAGTCCATAGTCCATATAGGTAGTCATATAGTTGCTTTAGGGAGACTCCCCGGCGAGTCTTGCTATATATGTTCAGAACGCCCTGTCTCACCTGAGAGGACGCGGCCGTGCAAGAACATTGGAAGGGACGGATGAATTTATGAACCACCGAAATCCAGTAATTGATCGATGAAATAAGACTGCCTTCCAATTAGCCAACAAGAATTGACTGGGTTGACAAACCACAAACCGGACTTGACCGCGCCATTGGAGTACGGACGTCCCTTGTTGGGCCAGATTTCCGGGATGGTGGTAGAATCAGTAGGTCCTCCCCATAGCCTACAGGAGGCAGGTGTTGAAAGCTCCCCTCAGGTTAGTGTTACTTGCTTAGTACTCAGTGCTCCACTGCTCACTGACTCAGTCATACTGCTAAGGTACCGGGCTAGTGCGTCGCGGCAGAAAGGTTTACCCGAACCGATCACCGGGCGAGACAGAAGTGATGGACAATATTTACGTGCCTGATTTCTAGGGCAAAACCACTTAACGCGACCCGCCTGAACTGCACCGAACGCGACGCGTTGGTGTTTTCACCCAGATCAAAAGTTTCTCCCTTTCAGACCCTCTCCATCCCCGCCGCCCCCCAGACACCATGGATAGACGTACCCCATACACATTGAGCGTGCTCGAGTCGAGCGCCAACGGTGTCGATGACTCGCGCTCATTCACACAAGCTCGACTGAGAGATTTTGTCCTTCAGTTTCAGTTGGACAATGCATTCATTTACCGGTACGCAGCCCGCCTACACCGAGCCTGGAAACGGCTCGTCACCCTGCCCTTTCTGATGCGCTGCTAATCCAGTCAACGGCCACAGCGATCAACTCCGCCATAATGTCCTTGGCAAGAATTATTATTGCGATATTGATATCGCCCATCTCATTTCATATAACGAGGATTTGGCGCACAAGCTCACGTCCGAGCCCGCGGATATCATCCCACTGGTACGATGCGAATTTCGCGCCTACATCTTTATGCCTTTCGGCTAGCCTTTTGCTCACGATCAAATAGTTCGAGGCCGCGCTATTGGAATGCACAAAGCGCATCGTTTTCCCCGGCCAGCAAGATATCACGCTACCGTCCCACCAACTTCTTCTTCATTCTTCCGCGACCCACATTTCCATCCGAGACCTGAATGCCACCAATGTCTCCCACCTTGTTCGAATCCCTGGCATCGTGATCGGAGCATCCACCATCTCCTCGAAGGCTACCACAGTTCACATTCGCTGCAAGAACTGCGATCACAGCGAAAACATTATCGTCGACGGAGGCTTCTCAGGCCTTTCATTACCTCGGCAGTGCGGTCGCCCCAAAGTACCCGGCGATCAACCCGACGAGAAATGTCCTCTCGACCCTTATGTCGTGCACCACGAAAAATGTCAATTTGTGGATCAGCAGGTTCTCAAGCTCCAAGAAGCCCCTGATCAGGTACCCGTTGGAGAATTGCCCCGTCATGTCCTGATCTCTGCCGACCGGTACTTAGCCAACCGCGTGGTTCCTGGCTCGCGCTGCACCGTGATGGGAATATTTTCCATCTACCAAGCAAAGGGCGGCAAAAAGGAAGCCGCGGTGGCGATCCGTAACCCTTATATCCGCGCTGTGGGCATCAACACCGACGTTGACCAGACCGCCAAGGGCAATTCAGTGTTCAGCGAGGAGGAAGAGCAGGAATTTTTAGAGCTCAGCCGACGTCCCGACCTATACGAAGCACTTGCCCGCAGCATTGCCCCATCAATCTACGGAAACGTGGATATCAAAAAGGCCATCGTGTGCTTGCTTATGGGCGGATCTAAAAAGATCCTCCCCGATGGTATGAAGCTGCGTGGTGATATCAACGTGCTCATGCTTGGTGATCCCGGTACCGCCAAGTCTCAACTGTTGAAGTTCGTCGAGAAGGCTGCTCCCATCGCCATTTACACCTCCGGAAAGGGCTCCTCAGCGGCTGGTCTGACGGCCTCGGTCCAGCGAGACCACACCACCCGCGAGTTCTACTTGGAAGGTGGTGCCATGGTGCTGGCCGACGGAGGTGTGGTCTGTATTGACGAGTTTGACAAGATGCGTGACGAGGACCGAGTGGCGATTCACGAAGCTATGGAACAACAAACCATCTCCATTGCCAAGGCCGGTATCACGACGATTCTTAATTCCCGAACTTCGGTCCTGGCCGCCGCCAATCCGATTTTCGGCCGTTACGATGACTTAAAGACTCCCGGGGAAAACATTGACTTCCAGACAACTATCTTGTCTCGTTTCGATATGATTTTCATTGTTCGTGACGATCACGAGCGCGGACGGGATGAGCGGATTGCTCGGCACGTCATGGGCGTGCACATGGGTGGTCGTGGTGTCGAAGAGCAAGTCGAGGCAGAAATCCCCGTCGAGCAGATGAAGCGATACATCAGCTACTGTCGCAGGTTAGTTTAGCAGCAGCGGTTCTTTTCCCACTCCTATCTCTTTCCGATTACTGACGACTTCTTATTTACCATACAGCCGATGCGCTCCTCGTCTGTCTCCCGAAGCCGCCGAAAAGCTTTCCTCTCACTTTGTGTCGATTCGTAAGCAGGTGCACCGTGCCGAGCTCGAGTCCAACACTCGCTCTTCAATCCCCATCACCGTCCGTCAGCTGGAGGCGATTGTCCGAATCACCGAGTCTCTGGCGAAATTGTCGCTCTCCCCCATCGCCACGGAGGCTCACGTTGACGAAGCGATCCGTCTCTTCCTGGCGTCTACCATGGATGCCGTGACGCAAGGAGAGGGCCAAGGCAGCAAAGAGCTCATGGAAGAAGCGACCAAGATTGAAGACGAGCTGAAGCGTCGCCTTCCTTTGGGCTGGAGCACCAGTTTGGCGACCCTCCGCCGTGAATTCGTGGACGGGAAGGGATACACCGAGCAGGCGCTGAATCGGGCTCTGGTGGTCCTGCAACGGCGGGAGACGGTACAGATCCGTTCCGGCGGCTCGCAGATCTACCGCAATCGACCCTGAGCGTGCCCTGATGGTGATGACGATGAGGATCTTTCTTTGTCTTTCTTTTCCCCCATCTTCTTTCGTGCTTGACACATCTCTTTATCGATACCGCGTATGTGCCATGGGCGACGGGCTATGATCCCTCGGGGCTGTGTACATCCGCTTGCATCGGAGTTTTTGGAGCGCTCGTGTGTGTTGTTTCTGGATACGGGTTTGCAACGTTTGCCGACGCCATCAGGGCCTTTTTAGTGACATTATTTTCAATTCGTATGGATCGACATGACACCTAATGGATGACCATTCAATGACTCTATCGCGACCGAGAGGACGCCCTCCATCCCCCCGTCTCTGCTGACGATGGATTGCCTGTAAAACTGCAAGATCGAGGCGTCTCAATCAGCTCATCGAACCCTCGCATGTGCTGACCCGGCGGCGATGTCTACCGTTGTCAACTGAAAGTACAGCAAGTGACTGAGAAATTCGAGAACTACACCCGTACACCGTAGCTTTGAACGACATCCACTTGGCCCCGTTCCAACCACCGCCAAGAACCTGTTGTAGTCCAGCTCGCAACAACCAACGCATCCCCGGTGGATTCTCCAATCCACCTCTGTGCGCATCCGCGACCCCGCCAAGCCATGATCTCCGCTAATCATGGCCGCCAACTACGACTACGGTACAGCACTATGCAAGAGTACAATCATACAATGTGTTCATTAGGCAACCATGTTTCGCTCCTGCACGATCCTCAAGACGGCTTGATCATGTCTCGACACTTCTTACCCACTGCGTGTATTTTTTGCAAACAACGAGGGGTGCATGCGCAGGTGGATCAACTCAGCCACCGACGCCCGTCTCATCGCCAAGGCTTGGCTTGACATGGCGGTGTACTGTACCTCAGTACGAGGTACTCAGTGTAAGTAGTGAGTACTTGTGGGACTGGGGAGATTCCCCGGTGCGGTGAGAAGTGAGTGTGACTCTCGTGAGTACTGAGTACCACTACTCACTTCTCCAGGTGTCTCGGTGTGGCTCAGTCATCTGTAGGGCTGCGGTTTGTTTTTGTCTCCTCCTATAATGCGCCACGACGCTGGCGCTATGGAGGTGTCAGTTGCACTGCAGCAGTCTCCATTTCTGTGGACATTGTCGAGGGTAACTCGCGCTTGACGCGCCCTGCAATGCATTGTGAAGTCATTCAGGTCGTGTCTCGATGCTTCCATCGCAGAGAGGAGATTCATGATGGGCATGAGTGTTTTAAGTACAGACTGCTTCGACACTATCCCCGAACATGTTCAATTGACGGTCCTCTTCGCTCTCCATCTTCTACCCAACTCACTAGTGAGCAGTGGGCACTATGGCGTTGATATACATGGGTGTCCTTGCTGAAGCGCGCTCCTTTCGTCAAAACGATTGCGTCCCATCTCTGTGCTCATCAGCGCCAAGTGGAGATATCTGTGCTACCGGTCTCAATTGTTTGACTGCCGCCACCAGAGATACCTCTCAATCATTTGCAATGGGTCCACCGAGAGAGGGGCCCTCTCCTCCTTTGTCCAAAGTGATCCCCGCTGGGACTATCTGCAAGTAATCCCCAGCAGCCTTGAATCCACCAGTCGCGAGGGGGAGCAAATGAGTCGTGAACATGTGTCGGAGCAGGGGGAGATGCTGGGAATTTGTAGTCAATCGGGCTGTTGTTGGCTACTTTCTCCCCTCACCACTCCCCAAGACTCTTCCATGGAGGGGCAAGTTCTTCCCTCGCCTTTCGAGGCCATTGTAATTGAACTTGACACCCTGATGGGTTACACCGAGTGGGTGAAGTGATACTTGTGCAGCTGGGAGGTATTGAATGACACCACTTTCCCCACTGCCTCGGGTATAAATAGAGTATATAATGTACTTCGGAGCCCCATCCTTCATCTGCAGCCAATTCACCTGTCTTGACTCACTCCGAGCTTCTCTAATAATACCAACCTTTCCCCTTCTATCCTCACTCATCTATCCATCAGCATGTCTTTCCACTGCTCCGCCAGCGACATCGAGTTGATCGATGGCCACATCCTCAAAGCTGTCCTCGACAACGGTGAGGGCGACCAGAATGAATCTCACTTCGATCTGAACGAATGCATCGGAAACAACGACGGTAGGTGAATGACGGGAATAGCCCGGACGCTCCTCATCCTAGGAGCGATTCCTCTCTTGCCTCCATTGCTCTTTTCTCCCTTCAGCATCGACCCCCCTGGGATCACGCCGACCTCCCATTGATGCCCTTCCTCGGTTTACTTTCAGCTTCTCCCTTTCACGCTCTTTCTTGCCCTCCTGCTCTTGTATGACCTCAATTTCTCCAAATTGACATGTCTGTCTTCCAATGCAGGCCGCTTCGAGTGGGGTGGTGAGAACTTCTCCCACAGCGCCGAGGAAATTCACTTCACTCTTGACGAGCGCGAGGACGGCCCTGCGGTTCCCATCCTCCGTGCTCAGCTGGGCAACATGGAGGGAGAGATGTGCTACGCTGATATCAACCTGGGTGAACGCATCACCAACAACGGCGGCAACTTGGAATTCCAGTAGACTTGGAACAGGGTATCTGGCTGAGTGATGATCTTGTCTTAATATGGTTGGAATGATATTGGGAATGATATTCTTTTTTTCTTCATTGGGCTTATGGCTCTTTGATCGCCCGGGTCTCGTTAAAGATAGCGGGATTCAAGTTAGGTCTCTGCAAAGTTTTTATATTTGTGCATCAGTGAAATCGACGTTGAACGTCCACGTGAGTGACCATGCTGGTGGAGTTGGTTAGGAGTTGGGACGCTCACATACAGTATTTGAAGCATCTCCACTACTATCTTGTCCATGCTGGTAGGATTTTGGAAGTCTGGTAGTTGTCCTTGTTCACTGCGGTCGAAGGACTATTCAAGTCCGGATAATCAATTGCAATGACAGTGGGGTTGCATTGTCAGGGATCTTCCAAGCTCAGGCACTGTAGCGCAAGCAATTGCTCACTGGCATAATGCCTTGATGTGGTCCAATTCTAGACGAAAAAGAAATTCGCCGGACAGTAGGTTGAGCCTGGCTATGTGTGGCTTGATCAGTTGTACGAGAGACATACATGATATTGATATAATGTGTCTTGTTTTCTGTCACTTCAGGGCTGATGTTCATACCTCCAGACTTCATCTCCTCTGCCTAGGTAGAAGAAGACTTGTCACGCTAAACGTCATGATTAATACTTGACAAATCCTTACAAGGAAATTGTTGCTGTTTGTTACACTCATCAATCAGCACACAATACTATATCAGTATTTGCATAATCTCATGAGAACTCGTATAGTATTGGGGACTCTTTCCCGAAAGCAAATACTAAATCATGTAACATCCTCACGTGCATTACTAGGTGCACGTGATAAATGCGCGTGCATGGGACAGGACAATGATGAAAGAAACTCGACCCCTCTCTCCATCCTCTCCCTCTACACCATTAAGCAGATGCTGTCTGGCCTTCCCCAGCAAGATTCTCACCATGACGACTTTGTTTCAGACATATCAATCAATACCGGTCAAATCATGTGCAAGCATTGTCATATTTGAGATGGTAACCTTAAGATCGAATAGCCTAGAGCAGGCGCTATGGTATCAAGCTATGAGAACATAGGCAAAACACAAAAAAAGGCCAAACGCAAATGACTGAAGCAACAGAAGACAAGGATCAAAAACTGGTCGACTCAGCAATCGTGCAAAGAACGATCAAACACCGAATTCGTGAACAATCAAATCAACCAGACCCCAACATTGCCCTTGCCGCTGAGAATTCCAGCATGCGAGCAGATTCCAAGAGAATGAAAGATTCATAACGCAAGCCGCGTTGTTGACCGGTCCGCTCTGACCAGAAATCCACGGTACCATTCCAGACCCTCCCATACCCGTCGAGAAGTGCTCGCCAGTAGCAAGCCTCGGCTGCTGGAGTCAAGTATCGCTCGCGAAAGGTTTTGACACTATTGGTGGCGATGCGACGAGCGGCATCTGTGTCGGCGACGAGAGGCTCGATCTTTTCGGCAAGGTTGCTAAAGTCGCGCTCGACTTCGACGTAATTTTGATTGGGGCCGCTGGAGACTAAAAGATAATGGTGATGCTGGATGTATTGAAGTTTGTGCGCTACGATGACCGAGCGACAGGCTTGTCGGTATTTGAGAGACGCAGAATAAGAGCGACCTGAGAACCGAGAGAGAAGAAGAAGGAGGAGGAGGAGGAGGAGGAGGAGGAGAAGGAGTCAGCAACGTATATCATTTCTGTCACGAAGGAAACATGAAAGAAGTGAATGGGACGGCATCCGTTGAGTCACGACAAGACTTACCCTCAACATGAGCGATAAACATATATCGACAATGGTCCTCCATTCGAAGGACATTAGTTCTTGTCTTCCAATCAACCTCTTTGACATCCGCCCATGACTGATCCCGCGCCGCTTCAATCAGAGCACGATGTAACTTGGGCGCGAAACTTGGCTTCCCCCGCCATACCAGTTGCGCTTTCTTCTGCTCCCAGGGCAGGTCCATCCGCTTAATACGATCCACCACTTGGTCAAATGGCCCGATGTGGTTCTTGATATTGTCCCACGCCCAGAAGCTAAAGTCCGGCATCAGCCATACACCTTCTTCCGTTGGAGTTCGGGCAAACACCCAAACGGGATGACGAGCACTCGTCACGTCCTCCACTTTGTCTTCGACGGAAAAGACAAATTCGATATTTCGCCTCAAACCACGAGTCTGATCTGCCACCAGTGCACGATGAATAGCCCCCAGGACACCCAGAATTTTGCGTCGATGATCCTCGCCCTTAGCACGGGCCTTGACCACATGCAAATGGCCGCTGTGAATGAACGCGCGCACCATTCCCGGTTCCAGAGAGATGTCGTCCAGATCCTCGGAGATCAGGCCGCCACCATGAGCTTGCCAATAGCTCTGGCCTCGGTTGATGTCTTCAAAGAGACCAGGGAATGCAGCTTGACATTGCGATGTGTCGAGCGCCTCATTTTGAGCGTCTCGGGTGAATTGGAATGTCCATCTGGGTGTACCAGAGGCAGAGCTGGACAAATATTGGACGGCAGAGGTCTCTGAGCATGAGATGCAGCTCGCGCATTGAAATATGGTCGATGTTTGACACGCACAATGTCCCGCGGGAATCAGTTGCGTGAGAAGAGGATGTATCCAGTTGCGGTCAGAGTTCACACCATACCAGAGCAAAAGAATGGTGAGGCTTATGAAGCATGTTATGACAAACAACGGGCGAGACATTGAGGCGACGGGGCAGCCTCCAGGAAGATTTCATCGTTAAGACGCTGAGCGCAGAGCACAGAGCACATCCAATTAATGGTCTTGGGGGAGTGGTGAGTACCAAAATCACTCCAAGAGAAGACGACTGACAAACTCACATGTGAGAGGTAAAAGAACACCTGAGATCCCCAGACTCGATTACGTTTCATCAGCCCTCCTGGAGAGCAAAACAACCAGCCAAAGCGCAGAAAACCCCCTGGAGAGAAATCGCCGGGGAAAAAGGGTCTGGCCTCGAATAATCACCCATCTTCATCTTCTCCACGCAAGTGGGAGTGGGGGACGCGATATTCAGAAATGGGAAGGGTTGCGTCCCCAACACGAGCTCATCTATGCTCTCTACCTCCCCGATGACCACAACATATTGCTCATCGCGCCTCCCAGACACGAGGGAGTGGGTGGGTTCATAGCTTGGCCTGAGCCTCCGACAGCACACCAGTCATCAGTGCCCCAAATAAAATTTGACTTTTCCAAAGTGATGGGACGCCAGATGCAGGATCGGCACGGCAGTGGACCTGTCTCGTGGTGTTAATTAGTCGAGAGTTGGAGACTTGCCATAAATGACGGCAGGAGTACCTTAGTAAGTTAGTCCCTGAGACCAGGTATTGTTGACCCGCACGGGCAATTTCAGGGCAGTTGGGGGGGGGGGGGGCCTGACTCAATTTTCGTCGAAGCGAGTCGTGGAGCTAGTCATTAATGTCCTGGTGCAGCAGTAGGGTGGATGAATGGCGCGCTTCGCCCCCAATTTCATTTTGCTATTCGCTTTAGTGTCGAAGAAAATACCACAGCATAAGTACGATTATTCCTGGGGCGAGACTTCCTCCCCCTCGGAAGGAACTGGGGAGTGAAGCAACTGCTATAATTAATTCGTTGACTGCCAGGGCAATCCTTTATGTTCTACGCCGACTATAATAATAGCGGGCAGTAGGAAAGAATCGCGTAGATACTGGATACTGGAGAGTAGGCTCAATCACGTGGTTTTGCTAAAGTCACATAGTTAAGAGGCGTTTTAAGATAAAAGACACGTGATCCAGATCAGGTGGTTTTACCCGGAGATGACCCCACAAGACACAGCCAATCAGATCGTGGTATTCCCCGACGGAAGTGAGATTTAGCGCCATTCCAGTAGTATAGCGTCGCTTTGCACCGTAATTACTATTTCAAGGCCGAAAGAGCCTTGAGAAGTCTTGGGTTCAACGCGAGGAGCACGCTGATCCTGCACTTGAACTGAGGTGGTATTCAATCAAGACCGAAGTACACATTTATAGGATATCATTGCAGTGGCAGTACCGTACCTGATCATCGTACCAGCTTCCCTTTCTTGGGCATGTATATGTTTCGTACGTTCAGGGACCCATCTCGGAGCCCCGCAGAGCCGCGAGCCATTCAAGGTTGGGGGCTGAAGGCGGCCCGGGAAAGTTAGACGTTTACACTTTACAGATATGGTGCCCATGTAGTAGACGTCCACAACTCCACGTATCTTGCGCCATGAAACCAGATGCATGAGACGTGGAGTTTTCAAAGGACACTACCGCTCGTGCCTTGGGACAAGCCAGCACAATTCTTGACTAGCCGCACAGAGAACACTCAACAGAGATGGATGGACAGTCAGTCATACTCTCACGGGCACCGAACTCGACAACCCCGGCGATAGTACGAGAGATCAAAACATCGGGAAAGGGGCACAGACCTACTCAAGGCTTTGCGGCACATGCAGGGTCCCAGTATCTTTTGGCGCGAGAGCTTTGTGTACCCTCCAATAGATCATTCGCCAAGTTTGATCCATGTCAACAGGTGGGAAGCGATTTTTCTTGGCCCTTTTCAAGTTTAGGCCATCGCCACTGCGCCTCATGATACCTGCAGTCAGAGAAACTTGTGTACGACTCCAGGAAGCCTGTCATACTGAGACCTCTCTGAACCGAGAAGAAAGAAGTCGACCTCTTCCATCGAGCCGTGTCTTTGTACGAGCATACTGACATGATACCTGGAGTATGTAATTCATCCCGGGTTTCGCTTGTCTATAGTGGAAGTTGACAATCGACATATGGCTAGTATTGTGAACAGCACACCAGAGTCTAAGAGTCCTAACATAAGAACCAAAAAAAACCCTCCGTTACTGAAGCATTGCCAATGAGTCTTCAATTGAAATCGGACAGTGTAGCAAATAAACTAACAGACCCTCAACGCCGCCTGCGATGCTAAACAAACGTAATGAATCTCAACGCCTTCCAAATGATATGCTCTTGCTTTGAATCACTGTTGTCGTGACTGGCTTCGTTGAGTGCGTTCGCGGCGCGTACTCCGCAGCCGCGGTTCATTACCGTCCTCATCATCATCCATGACAGCAGGGCTGACTGGTCTTTGCTGCTGCTGCGCACGGCGCTGTCGTGACCCAGGCCCAACACGGCCTAGTACACGCCCTAGCAGACTCTCGGCCTTGCGGTCGAGATCCTGTTCAACCCTCTCCTCCACGGTCTCTACATCGGCAACTTCAGGGGTCGCTGAAGGCGAGACCGTGTCTCTTGTCCATTCCTCAGCGTAGCCGGCGCGTCGAATTCGACGACGATTACTCTCGTCACCGCCTCGGCGCTCGCGACCTTTGGCATGTTCGCGGCTGCGTTGCGCTGAACGGCTGCTGGACGACCGAACGCTGCTGCCTTCAATGATTTGCTGCTGTTCCCGCTCACGGCCCTCCATCGACCACAGTTCAAGGGCCCGATTCAGCAAAGTACCCGCGACCCCAGCTCCACCGGCGACGTCGCCGCCTCCACCAGCCCCAAGCACACGTACGGCTTCGTGTAAAGCAGTGACAGCATCTCCTGTGCGACCCAACTCCATGAGAATGATTCCCCGAGAAGTGTGCAAAGATCCAATCAGCCCCCTGTCTTCGTAGCCTCCAACCCCCGCTGCACTTGACGCCGTTGCTGCGCCACCTGCACCCCCACCCAAGAATGGCGAATATCCAAGACTGGTCCCCCCAGCACCGATGCGTAGACATTCTTGGAATTCTTCGAGAGCTTCCTGCAGACGACCGAGGCGACGGAGGGCGTGGCCCATGTTGGCGCGTGTCGCAACCCACGCAGCTGGCTCGCTGTGAAGAGACGCGGCAAGGTCCAATGCTTGCTGGAACATCTCGACGGCAGCGGAGAGATTGTTTTGGTGATAAAATACCACACCAAGCTCGTTCAGCACCAGAGGGTCGCCCCCGGCTCCTGAGTCGGTAGGATTGGGCGGTAATGCAGGAGTTGCGCTCGGCACAGCGCCCGTCGACATGGAATACGCTGCCCACAAATAGTCGTGCGCAAGCCCCATGTTGTTCAGAGCAAGATGCTGCATTCCCAAGAAGAGCTGGGGTAAATGACTTCCTTGGAAAAGCCGCGCTGCTGTACTGTAGGCGGCAATGGCTTGATCATGTTCACCCTCGGCTGCAAATGTATGAGCGAAGCCGATCCAAGCAGGCGCTGAATGAGGATCCAATAGGGATGCTTTGGAAAAGAATCGACGAGCTTCTGCAATTTTGGCAACAGCCAGATAGTAGACTCCGATGGCCAGATAAGTGTAAGGTTCCTCAGGGGCATGATCGGCAAGCATATGAGAAAGAAGGAACAATGCGTTGGTGGCTCCTGTCTCGTACAGACAGGCTAGATGGAGCGGGTAGATCGCGGGGGCATGGCCCAAATGGGTATACGCAGTGGTTCCGGCCCCGGTGGGACTGTTCAGCTCGGCTGCCTGTGAGGTCGTCAGGATAGAGGAAGTCAATTCGAGGGCCTCTGCAAAGCGGCATTGAGTATAGAGAGCTTCGGCACGCGAGAGCAATATGTCCGAATTTTGTGACAAATTGTAGTGCGTGGACAGCGTTTCAGTTGCGTCAGTCAAGAGGGCCGGCGCCGAATACTTGGATAACCTGGTCGTGTAGAGCATCTTCGTAAAATGCGCCGCTTCCTGAGCCATGGTCGGATCTGGACACGAGATGGAGTCAAAGTCCAATGATTCGAGAAACTCCAACTCCTCTGTTGGTGACATAAGTGAATTCTTCATGAGCTGATCGAAAGCCTCAAAACACTGCACATCGATTCGAACTGCATCCTTGTAGCAGTCGCGCGCACGATCAAAGGCATTTTGCTTAGCAAAGCAAAGACCTCTCAGATAGCACATGGCCGCCTCAAACCGGACATGGTTTCCTTCTTCTTTGTCGCGATCCTCTTGTGTTCCAGTGTGCTTTCCATTCCGAAGCGTTACATGACTTTGGCCATTGAGGTGTTGTATTTTGCGACGGCTGTTGTGACTCCGGATCAGGTCAGTAGGGTTTTGGTCGCCGAGAATGGATAAAGCTTGGTCGAACTGATTCTGCTTGATATAGCAGTTCGCGGCGAGGTAGCGACAAGAACTGCTTCTTGCGATGAGATTTTGGCGAGAAAGAAGTGCGAGAGCACGCGTGAAGTTGTTATTTGAAAAATGAACCTGAGCAAGCCAAAATGCATCCGAGTCACTGTCTACCACATCCATCGATCAGCTCCTTATCGCAGGTAAGGGTCTCGGAAAACGCGCAGTAACATCAGGGACATACTGGTGAGCGCGTATAGCTTGTCGCCGATGTAGACGGCAGCATCGTGCTGACTACGATTCAGCGCATCCTGTCTCCAAGAGCGCAAGTATTTCTCCATGTCGATGACCGCGCGTCTGATCAAGAAGTGACTCGGCTGTAAAGTTTGGACGGCGTTCGCATGGCCTGTAATCCTTGGAGAAATTTGGCTTCGGCCGCGGTGCTGCTCGCATGAGCGGGCCCGCGGAGGGTCAACAAACAGTGGACCGTGCGTCGGTGCTTCAGATAAGTGACGGCAGCGGAGAGACTGTACACACGAACAGCCCCCCTTTTTGACCTTTCAATGCACCTGAACCTGACTCAGACGATCCGCTCACTCAGACATCAAAAAGGTCTCGAGGAGTTCACTTTCTAAAGTCACATCGACCGAAGCTACAGAAGTCAAGAACTTCTGTCACGTGGATAGAAGCATCCACGTGACCTCATTATCGCGTTCCCTGATAACATTGATAAGCGCCACATTCCTGCCTCCAACGCATCCCGACGGAACCTCCAACGCAGTCTGATAGTTCTCCAGCGCTACCACAGGAGAACTCTGACAAGTGAAGAGCCGCCAAAATGTCCGAGCGAAAAGTTTTGACCAAGTACTACCCCCGGACTTTGATCCGTCGGCGATCGGACGGACACCCAAGCACCTTCGACAAAAGGGACCGAAAGTCATTACCGTTCGACTGATGGCGCCGTTTCCCATGAAATGTACGAACTGTGGAGAGTACATCTACCGTGGTCGCAAGTTCAACGCTCGGAAACAGACCCTCGAAGAGAGATACTTGAATATTCCAATCTATCGCTTCTTCATTCGATGCACAAGATGCAGCGGCGAGATTACTTTCCGTACAGACCCAAAGAGTAAGTCTACGAGATTGATGGGTTACTTAGCTGTGACCACCTGCTGACGTCTTTCAAGATATGGATTACGAATGCGAGAAAGGAGCCAAACGTAACTTCGAGCCTTGGAGAGACGCCAAGTCTGGCAAATACAATGAAACGGAGGAGGAAACGCTCGAACGACTTGAGCGAGAGGAAAATGAACACGAAGAACAACTTGAGCAAGATAAGATGGCGGAACTGGAGGAAAAGATGCAGGATTCGAAACGCGAAATGGCTATTGCCGATGCACTCGATGAGATTCGGACGAGGAATGCTCGCATCGCTCGAAATGAAGGCTTGTCAGACGAGGTTGCTTTGGATCATATCCATCACGAGGTGGACGAGGCGAAGATGCGGGAAGAGCAAGAGATTGAGGAAGCTGCGCGGAGAGCCTTCACAACGGCCTCAGGTGAGAAAGTCAAGCGAATCGTGGATGAAGAGGAACTGGCCGGCCCAGCATCCTCACAAGTCGCGAAGACTCAGGCTCAGATGCCACCGCCATCCACATCATTCGCTCGTGTCAAAAAGGCGAAGAAGCCTGGCGTCAGCCTTTTGGGCATCAAGAAAAAGCCGTCCTTGGTGTGACACAATGACATGGGGCTGTTTTTAATCTGTTCCAAGCGCCGGCGTTCACTATGGAATATCCTTATCCTCTGAATTTTACCATTCAATTATCTACAGAGCTATCTAGTGCAGCAGTAAGGAAGTGTAAATTATCGTGTTTTGGCACTATGGGTACATAGCAAAGTAAGGGGAGGTATTACTGCTCCAAAGCAAAGAAAAGGTATCATAGCAGACCAGGAAGGATGAAGCAAAGGACGATCAAGACGTCCTCAAAAACCAAAGCGCCACGCTGAAAGAACACACTCACAAAATGCCAAGCCTCCCAATGACCTTCTGCTGGCCGTACGAACGAGCCATTGCCAGGCTTAAAGTTTTACAAAACTGAGGGAGTGGCCACCCACACGCACCCACACAACACTCAAATAAAGAAACACACAAGCCACAGCCTACAGATAAGGCATCCACAATGCGTCGCACGAGGCCAGGTGTTGTGGGTTGACAGCTCGGGAGATCAAATCAATCGTGGTCTGGTTCGCAGGAAGATTACCTTCCGGTGGACTGAGGAGACTGACAGCGCGGTTGACAATGATCTCGCTGTTGTTGTACACCAGTTCGCGCAGCTGAGGCACCGCCAGATTCCCACGATGCTGAGCTGTGGACCAAAACACCATTTCATCACGGACGAAGACACTAAGTTGCTGCTCAAGCTCATGTCGGGTCTCGGTCAGACATCGAGCAATCGCCATAATTGCACAAGCGAAAAGTCCCTCTGTTGCAATAGGACCAAGCAACATCTGGATATTCGGTGTGAAACGGAAAGGCACCTGCTCGGGATTATAGAATATAGCCTTGGCAGGGTTGATAGTGGGAATCAGCTCAGCTCCCCAAATATCACCGGTCGAGCGCGACACAAGAATTTTGTTCGGATACCGGTTGCCAATATGCATGACGTATGTCATGAAGGCGACAGCAGCATACTGGTAGGCAAATTGACGTCGGAACAACCAGAAATCGGCGAAGTTGGGATACGTGTTCTGGAAATAATCCAAAACAATGGTGCTGGGAACCCATTTCTCTTGAATCGCAGTCAAGATCTCTGTTCGAAGGATCTGCTGCTGATCCGCGGTTCGCTTTGAAAATGTTAGCATCACGGAAGAGAGGCAAGGACAATGGTAGTCTCACATTCTGCTTTGTCTCCGCCAAGGAACGCATACGATCCATGGTGAACAACACTGGCTCATCCTTGTTCATTCCCACTCGCCGGCAATAGTCTTCGAAGATTCCTTGAAGGGAAATGTACGATGAATCGTCCCGCACAAGACGAATGTGTGGTGCTAATGGTACCATCAAGGGGAGGTGGAAATAGAGGTTGCGGCGGCGACTCTCCTTACGCTTAGCAAGCAATCCATTGAAGATGCGGAAGAGCTGGAGAATACGCTCCTCACGTCGGCAGTGGCGTGCTGCAGGATGTTGAACTGCAAAGGCTTGAACACTGCCATCACGACCTCTTATCTTCAAACGGCGGTGGCAGACACCAATACCGCGCACAAGATCCACGTCGGGTAAGAAGTGGTCAATACGGACGAAATCTTGGTTCTTGTCCTTGTGCAGGAGATACTGTCCAGGCACTTCGACTTCATCGAACTTGAGGAAGCGGAACTCGCTCAAGTGGGGAGAATAACTTTCAAGGAAGCCCGACTGCGGTCGCCGGTCAAGCTTCTCCTCAAACTTATCACGCCAAGAACGCAGCTTCTGGATATACTCGTACATTGTTGGCTTCTTGACAACGAAATCAGCCTCGAAAGACTTGCGGATGTGCGCTGGAAGTATCGTCTCCGCGAAACGGGTAATATTGGCTTCGGTCGCCGGAGGAAGCTTGAAGTCTTGCGCGTATGAGCCTGGCATGCGGCCAACGTATGCCAGACCATCATTCAGGAGTGCGACAATCAGACGGTAGGCGTCCTCGTCTGGTGGACATTTGAAATTCTTGTGAATCTGATCGACCATCGTCTCCATCGAAAGAGCAAGCAAAGGGAATGCGGTTTTCAAGCCAGACATGATCTCATCCGAATATTCCCAAGGCTTTCGAAGGGGCTCTTTCTCTGGCGTTTCCGTGGAAGCAGGAGTCTGGCCATGCTGAGCACCTCCAGGTTGACCAGGTACTTGCAGATGGCCTTGGGCTTGTTGCGCCTGTGCTTGTTGCTGACCAGGGGTAGAAACTGGCACTTGACCAGGTATTTGACGGGGCGAAGCCTGTACCTGGGAGTTGGCAGGCGGCACCGGTGACTGAGCTTGTGTCGATAGCGCTGGAGATTTAGCGTTCGGTAGATTGGCTGATTGTCCAGCCGGGGAGGCTGCAGAGAGCTGTGTGTTTGAACCCGGCGTCTCGACTGCTACAGGTGGCTTGATTCCTGGGGAAAGTGCCTGTTGTTGTTGAGCTTGCTGACGAGCTTTGTTAATCTTCTCCTGCTTCTGGTCATGTTGCTTCTTGATAGTGAGCATGTCCTCCCGGTTAGTGCGCAGCAAGAAAAAGAGCGCTTGGGGGAATTGCTTGGCAATCATCACCAGAACAGCTTTACAGAGACGAGCCTCGCGATGAGATAGACTGGTAAGAAGCTGGGGAATGAAGGTGATCCAATACCAAATTGGAGCATCACCCTTGAAATTTTCGAAAGCGTTGGCGATTTGACCTTCGTCATTGTCAAGACTCAGAAGCCAAAGAATGCGACTGAGCAGTTTGCGGGATTTGGCACTCTTGTGCAGGCCAGCAGCTTCTAGGTAACAGCTCACGGCATTGCTCGCCAATTCATAATCCGATGGGTCAGACTTGAACCGTTGATCGCTGTATTGTCCCCATTCAGTCCACGCCTTTGCGAGTCGAAGGTCGTAATAGAGTGCAACACCAAAAGCCTCGTTTGCTTCGTTCACATGATCGAGCTTGGCCAGGAACATGCCCTTCAAGGTATAGAACTCGGCTTTTTGTTGTGGACCAAAGTAATTGAGATTGGTGTTGTTGATCACGTCCAGACCACTGTTAAGCTCCTTTGGATTCTGGTAATGGCATTTGGCCTGCTCTCGAAGCTTGAGGAACGCTTCTTGAATTTCGATATTGGGAAGCGTGTAAATGCGACTCAGCTGGTTGATGCAGACTTCTGGCATCTGGTGTTTTCGTGCAACATGAGCAAAGCGATTGATGATCCAGGCGGTCTCATGGTATCCCCGATAGGCAAAAGAGTTGCTAGCCACGGTGCTAGTCTGGGGCGGAAGTAAACTTAGGTAAGTCTGGTTAATGAGCTGGAAGATGTGCTGTCTCCATGTGACCAGATCCTGCCATGCATTGATGTCGTCCCACAAATTGGGCAGACGATCCCGCCATGTTCCCAAAAGAAGCTTTAGCTCGGCTGACTTTGTGTCCAAGTTCCTCTCGTTCGTTTGCGATAGACTGGCACAAATGTGGCTTGCGTCGTGCAGTTCCACGAGCAATTGGAAGTGCTGCAGAATAGGAATATGAGCATTCGTTATGCGCTTTGGCAACTGCAGCCACTTGCGAATTGAGAGTTGAATAGACTCGTCGCAGACGCTGTTGAAATCCTGTATGTTCTCCTTCTTCACATGATACTGTAGCAGCGCCATGAAAGCCTGGAAGAAGGTGCGACGAGGAGTAGGGGCGTCAGAAACGGACTTGATCAGGGATTCGAGCTGCTCCCGAGTACCCTCACTCTGCCAATTTTCAATGTTTCTCCAAGCAGATTCCAACAATAGGTCATTCAAATTCTCATGTTTGGCGAAGTCACTCAAAATCTCCCATTGTTGGAGCTTTTCCGCACAAATGAGCCAGTGGTCTTCCCAGACAAAGTATTCGCCCTGTGAGTATGGCATTGCACCAGAGCGGGCTTTGATCTGTGCATTTTCATACAGCTGCTGTGCCTTGTCCCACATACCTTGCTGCTCATATGACAAAGCTGCGTTGGTCTCGACAAACTTGCAACGACGGCGCCACGTTCCATAGAAGAAGTCATCCTCCTGAAGACCCGCGTACACTTCGACCAAAGCGTCCAAATTGCTTTCACGAACGGTAGGGGTGTCGATGATTGGCTTGACGGCACTCTCCTCCAGGTAGGTGGCAGCCGTGTACCACCCGTCGTAAGTCCGGGCTAGGTATTTCATCACATGAGGTGGGAATTTAAAGCGCGGGCTGGCACGCACGATGCCTTCAAGAAGAGCCTGCACCACATTTGGTCGCTTGTCCAACTGTCGCAAGTGATAGTCACGAGTGAGCAGCGTGACCATGCCTTTCTCAAGTTCAATGCGATCATCCCTAGTCAGAGTAGACCAGAAAATCGGGAAAAGGGTGGTCCACAGCTTGTAGGACACTTGAGAGTCGGCATGTTGTAGTTGAAAAAGTGGTTCGATCAAGTCCCGTACTCTGAGATCCCCAACCTCTGACATGAAGCTTCTGCGTTCCGTGATGAAATTTTCGAGACGGGATTCAACAACGACGTCGGCCTTCCTGGGGTCTTTCTCACCCCCGGCGAAAAGGAAGGAGATCGGATACACCGTAAAATCATCTTGGTGGAGCCGAGCCGAGGCGTTCAAGTCGACACAGCCGAGGAGCAGGTGAGAGGCCTGAGCCAACCAGAAGGAATCGCCAAGGGTATCCCAATTCTGGCAGGTGAGGACATAATTCAAGCGGGAGCTTGCGAGACGAGTCAAACTTTTATCGAAAATGCCCATGAATCGGTTCCGCATTTCAACGTCCTGAGCTCGAGTACCAATTAAGAATGCATGCTCGAGTCTCACCGTGAGCTCAGTCCGTGTGATCTTGGAATCCTCGTATATACGAATCACGAGATCAAGGAATTTCTTCAGCATCGTTTGGTCAGAGCGCGACTCAAACAGTAGCATTTTGTGCAATACTGCCGTTTTCTCCTTCAACGTTGGCCACGACTCGGTCGAGTGGAAGATCCATTCTTCGGCCATTTCCAGGATTTTGGTGCACAATTTAATGTTTTGCGAGCGATCGAGAATTGAAGCCAACACACTCAGGAAAGGTCTTCGCTGGTCACCAAGATAAGACATCCGAACCGCAATCAACTCAATCGTCTTGAATATCAGGTCAACGCCGAGTTCGAATTCTTGCTGATCAATAGCACCCTCGAAGGGCTTTGCGCTGGGAGAGGACTGCGCCGCACTAGTCTGAGTGGAAGCTGCATTGTGATCCTTAGCGAGTTTCTGGGAGAACGCTTTCATCACGGCAGGTATGTGTGAATCAACTTCAGCGGGCTTCAATTTTGAGAGCGTCCAGAGGGTGTTCAATGCAGCTGTGTAGTTGCTGGCTGATAAGGTCTCGGCGGCGATTGTGGACAGAAAGGTGGCGAATTCTGACGGCGTGCTTTCAGTTTCCATGGCGTCCTCGTCCTCTGGTTGATCATCTGGAATAGCTTCAAGGACCCGACGAACGGGAGGCGGCAATTTGGGCACGATCTCCATGTCGTCCTCAAGACCATGAAGACAATCCTGGATCTCTGGATTATCACATTTGAGGGGCTTTTCCAGCAGTTTTTGAATTGAAGGCAGACGCGCGGTGATCCACTCATCTGGCTTAGCTGCGATGAGGACACGCATGACCTGGAGAGCATTCACCATCGCCGTCACTTGCTGTTCCTCGGGCTTATCGGACTTCTCTCCCGCAAGAATAGGCTCTGTCACTTTTTGATAGAAATCAATGTCCAGATCTGCCCAGTAGTCTTTGGAGAGCAGATTTCGAAGCAGGGCGACAGCCTTATTGATCATCTCTCCAGTGGCAACAGCAGCTTGAAGAGGCTGCTTGTTCGTAGGCAATTGACGGATTCGTGAAGCCGGTACTGCAAAGCGCTCGGGAATAGTGGTGATGAAAGTGATCAAGTATTTAATCAGAGCAGCACGAAGTTCGAGAGGGATTGAATACTCCCCGCGGATGGGCGGCGGTCCGAGAGAAGGCGATGCGGACGCTGGCTCCAGTTCTCTGAACTTGCGCTTCTTGGTCTCGGGCGAATCCACAGCTGTGATTGTTGCTGATGACATTGGCCCAGCCGTGCCCATGAGTCTTTGCTCCCAGTGCCATATGACGCCAATGAGGTTAAGAGCCAGTTTTTTGCTGTCATTGGAGGTGCTCGGTGGTCCGGCAATCTTGAGCAGAGAGGGCACAATCAAGGGCACGTAATGCTCACGCGCCTCATAGAAAAGATCAGGCTGCCGTACAACAAACTGAAAGATGCACATGACCTGCTGCAAGTTTGCGGTCTCCTCGGCAAGGATTCGTCGGGGCCATTTTGCCCATATCGGATGATTCGGGTCAGGACCTTGATTCCCAACACATCTAGCCGGAAGAACGGGACCCAAAACATCTAGAGCCTGAGTGACGAGAGCTCGACCTTCATTCTGATGGGCTCTTAGTAGAGCGACAAACACTTGAATGACGATCTTGAAAGGCGTCTCGTAATGGGCGATGAAATAACTGATGAGCACGTACGCACCATACTTGTTGATCACATCCTCGACACGGATGCAATTCCACGCACATTTTATTATGTCTTTGCGAGAGTCTTGCACCGTCTGGTGATGATATTTGATCAACAGTGCCGACAATTGCAACAACTCCATACGAGAATGGTCTGACCCTGGCTGACGGTACTCTTCGTCCAGATCAATCGGCTGGGGGTTCCACAGACGCCTGTGAATGGTCTCGTTCATGCTCTTATCCATCAATTTTGGAGCATTCGGAGGACTATTCCATGAAGTTTGGACATCCATAGCGAAGATTGGATTGACGAGATTTCGGAAAGCGTAAGTCTTGGCCTTGTGAGAACAACTGCGCTGGCAATACAACTCGAGACAGCGCATGATGACGGACCGTCTGTAATCAATGGACTCATTGATGATGATGTGATTGAACACAAACTTTGGTAGGGCGAGTGTCCGCTTCAATTCGTCAGCGCACAACCCATCGATGATACTGAACAGATAGTCCAAATCATTCGGGGCCTCGGCGAGGTAGTTGGTGAAAATATCCATCAATTGATCCTCTGCTTGCTCCACCCGAAGTGAATCACCGGGTCCGAGCTTGTCGGTTCGCAGTTTTTTCTCCAGCTCACGACCCCAAGCCAGAAGCTTGTTCCTCAGCTCGGCGTGGGAGACTAGCCAGGTCTTATTTGAGCTGCTACTGCAAATCGAATGGACGATGTAGATTCCGTTAATTGCGGCTGTGTTTCGCTTCTGATCCGCGGTCTCCGTACCAAAGGCCTTTGACGTGAAATCGTCGGTATCCGCGACGATGGCATTGCGAAGGGCATCGCTTTCCGGATCTGCCAAAATCTGCCCAAAGAAGCGACCGTAGCCTTCTTCACTGAGACGGGCGATGAAGAAAGCTAAGCTCTCTTTCGGATAGCGATTGAGATACTTCACCAGGGGCTTGCGGAATGGGCTGTGAGACGTTCTCCGCAATTTCTTCTCGAGAACAAGCACTCTATCGATGAGATTCTCCATGAACGCTGTGGCCGTGGTCGGAAGAAGGTGAAAAATGTTGAAAATGGCTGCCACAATTTTCATGGCAGGGTGCTGCTCAACGAGGGTGAACGACACCTTTTGCAGTGTCAAGTCATCAGCAATGACCTTCATGTGATCGAGAAGTCGAGCTCCGATCTCCACCTTGAAGTAATTGGTCAAAAGCGTAAGAAGACGAGCTAGCCCATCCAGGCCAGCGACGCTGAGACGCTTCGGATCCTGAAGGTTCATGAGTATGGGCCGCAAACCGTTTTGGAGCAGGTCCTTGGGGAGCTTGTTGGTTTGTGTCAGCACATCTTTCAATCCTGCATTTGCAGCATCGATGACCTCAGGAGAGCGGGAATAGAGAGACTTGAAGAAATTCGAAATGATCCGAGAACGACCCGTATTCTGGGGCGTATTCGCGAATTCCTGGAAGCTCATTGCTGTGGACAACAAACGCAAGCACGCCACACGCAGGTTCACGATCATTTCGGCCCCCTTGATCTCGTTAGGCTTGCTCGCCAGCTGGTCGTCATCGGCATCAGCGAGTGCGAGGCATTCAAGTACCAGTCGGTTGAGAGGCTCATCAAATGTCACAATATCATTTTGAAGTCCTAGACAATAGGTGATCGCGTCAATGAATCCGATCTGGATGGCGCAGGGTAAGGCACGAAGAGGTTTGTTAAAAATGGGCTGGAGAAGACGATCTCTGACAGGGTGAATGAGTTCATGGACCTCGCAGCCGAGCTCAGTCTTCAACGTAGCAAAGGCCATCTTTGACGTTTCGCGTACGTGCTTGTTCATGTGTCCAAGCTCGTAGACAAAGAGCCCGCAAAGCGAGAATAGTCGACTTTTCTCATTCTTGATATCATCTTTGGGGATCAGTTTGCCGCAGCGCTGCAGGATCAACTTCATTGTCTCCTGGGACAGAATCCAAGTGGAGGCGGGAAGGTCTGCGGGTGTGTCCTTGATTACGTATAGGAGCGCCCGTGCAAATTCATTGAGTCGCTCGTACAACCACGAATCTCCGAGATCGAGTTTTGTGGCCAAAAGCTTGATGCCCAAGCTTCCTCCAGCTTTGGAAAACCATTCTTCACTGTGGCAGCTGTGGCAAAATACACGACCCAAATGCTGGAAGAATGGGAGCTTGGATGCCTTTTCAGGACCACCAAACATGATCTCGGCGGCCTCTTTGACATGACGCATGGCCTGCTCTGCCGCATCGCGAACTTGAGCGCTGTCCGAGGACAGAGACTCCACAATTGCTTCAGCGAGGACTCGGGAGTCAAGATAAACCGGGCCATCGCCACTTGCAACGTCGAATGGCTTCCGATTGTGGCGGGCTTGGGCAAGGGCGCGGCCGACCTCAACGACTGCGAGATGCTTGCAGACATCGGTTACGAAGGATGAAGCCGTGGCCTCGAGCTCAGAAATTGTAGTGGCAAAAATGCATGCCTTTAATAGCTTCTTCACAAGGACCTCCTGGGCGACTTTCTTTGGAATCGACGCGGACCTCTCAGACTTCTCCAAGATATCAACCATGGCGCCGGCTTTGCCTTCGAACAAGTCGTTGGCGTGCAGACGAACCAATGCAGCGAGATCATCAGGAAGGCTTTCAGACCCAATGAGAAGCTTGAGGTGAGAGCTAAGCATGCGATAGGCCTGCTGCTTATAGTAGATGTCTGATGTCTTAGTCGATGAAGTCTTTGGCACCTCCATCAGTTTGCCAATAGCTAAGTCAATACCGACTTCTGCGGGGAAAGGTCGCTTCTCGCTTGGACCGATCAATCGGATGTCAAAACTGATATTGTCATCTGAGAATTGTTGGAATGACAACTCTGGTGGATGGTTCAGGAACTTGCGATTGCGACCACCCAATTTGCCCAGGATACGCATGGTCGTATGGGCATGGAAGTGATTGTATGGGTGAGGCCGAAGATGATCCCAAAGTGCTGTCATCAGTTCATCCATGATCGGGGCCATGATCGGATCAAGATAGTCCGCAGTCAAGTTGTCGACGCAGAGCTCAAGTGTGCGAAGTCCTTGGCCAACCAAGTCTGAATCAGCACGCAATGCGACCACAATCGGGCGCATCAGGTAGCTCAAGTGGGGAAGAAGGTGACTCAGGCGCGCAGGCACTGTCAAAGTCAATTCGACGTACAAATCCCGTTCCTGAGGTTTTCGCGCGGCCAGTAGCAGATTGTTGAAGGTCTCCAGTAGCATCTCCAGCAGCGGAAGAATCTCTTTGTAAAGGAGCTCGAATCGGCCGCCCCCAATACTGCGAAAGAGGGAGCGCAGGAGAAGGAAGTAGTTCATAGGCTCCTCGGCAGTAACAGACAGCTCGATGCACTTAGTAACGATCTTTGTCACATGTGGGTGAAGGACCTGTTCATTCTGCACGGAAAACAATGTGACAGCCATGAATGACAACTTGAACATTCTGAGCAGAATCTTGGCTTTATTCATGTCGGAGGTTCCCACTTCATGAATTCGCTCCATGAGGTATTGCAACACCATGCCTGAGAATGCAGGGGAAGTCGCTTCGCTGGCAAGGAAGAATTGCGGGAGGTGAAGAAGAGCGCCGTGCTCAAACATCAGTTCATGGAGATAGGGTATCTCTGAGTGGAAAACTTCATGGAATGTTGCAGTATCAATACAGTGAAACACTGTTCCAAAGCTTTCCAGGAGCTCCTTCTCTTCCCTTGACATTGGGGCAGTGTATTGACTTGCCAGATAATCGAAAGGGGAAGAGTAGTTCACCTCTGGAGGAGACTGATCCACGCCATAGTAACGAAACACCCGTGCACCTTCATGGAACAGCTTCTTGATGACTCGAACCTCTTCAGAATTATATCCGTATGACACCTCAGACCAGTTGACTGGTTCATTACTTGGGTCGATTTGCACATCATCCGGATTGCAGTTCTTCAGCTGGTGGAAAATGTTTTTCAAGCCATTGATCAAGTTGCGGAAAAGGAAGATGTTATCCGCCACCGGATCACCTCCGCGGTCACGCGAGCTTGTGGTCTTGATAGGCGGCGCGAAGAAGATGTCGATCTCATCCCAATCGGGTGGGTGATCTTTGTCCGCAAGATAATGCTCATTTACCTGCTCTGACTCCTTTCGTTCCTTGTTGGCTTTAGATACCTTCACTGCATTGTTGAACTGGTAATTCATAGATGCAAACTTGTCACCTATGGCATTCAGAATCATGATCAGGAAGTAGCGCGCTTCTCGCTTGTCCTCGAGCTTTGAAATCTTCTCCGCCATGTTCAAGAGAAGCTTGGCGCTCATTGTTTGAAAGCTTGTGCCCGGGAAATCATCATGTAAGTTTCTGGTGTACACTTCAACAGTGCGTCGGATTTGATCCCGGCTTAGGTGTTCCCGTACATGATGAATGAGATCGGCAAGCATGCTGTAGGCGAGAGGGCGCATAGTCTCGTGAACAGTGAGTCCGTCACCGATGAGGGTACGCTCATCGAGGAGCTCGTCGATCTTCTTGAGGAAAATTGTCCGATAGTTGAAGTTGATAATGTGGCGGATGGCTACAAGCAACTCCTTACGCGCACCTGACTTTTCTCGGGGACAGTCCTGGAGAAGCCGTACAACAATTTCGGGTAAGTTTGGGAGGAAGTCTTTGAGTTGCTGGGCATGAAGACGAAGCAGGTACGCGAAAAAGCTCATGGTCTTCACCTGGGCGGTAATAAAATCGCCGAACGCCGCACGATTCTTGATATCCTTTGAGACACCTGTGAAAATTGTGCCCTGGCTATGAGCCTCCTCGTGTGCGCTCTTTTGTGGTTTGGCCTGAGCCAGCAGGATATTTTTGATCAGTGGTACAAAAGCCGCGACGTTCTCAGGACCAGAGGCGCGGTGCGTCTGGAAGATCGAGACCACAATGATAGGCAGCTCCGCCAGCACTTTGAACGATTGCATGCCTTTTACATATGTAGTGACTTGTGTTGCTTGTTGATCTGAGGCCATGTCCGAGACAGACGTTGCCGGTGAGCTTGGGCGGGGTGATTGGAAGTTCTGCCCTGCTGCGTTCGGGGTGGAGGGCATGCCAGACGGGGTTGCTTGAGTTGGAGTGTCGAAAGTATCATGAACAACCTTCTCCACACCCTGGAAAATTTCCTGGATCAGTGCAAGGAATGGTTGTACTCTCGTCGACGTGGCCTTGGCCTGGTTCCGCTCAAGGTCCATGATAGTCTTCATACAAAGGACAGCATTGTCTTCGTTCTCCACACGAGCAAGTTTCATCAGCAGGTCAACCATTTCCATAACGTATGGCTCGACATCAGGCGACGCCGTCGGAAGTCGATGAAGTGTTTCAAGAACGCCATTGCGTAATTTTTGCTAAGATGCGCATTCGTTATTAGAGGCTCTCACGACGTAGCGCGAAAGCCAATTTAGCTCACGTCTAGCTCTATTTGGAACATACCTGCTCACTGAAGGCGCTTGAAAAGACAGGATCCCCGTTCAAGATCGACTTGAAGATGGGCCATATCTTGGACAAGAACAGAGGATAGACTGCGCCCTGACAAGCGGTTTCACAACCGTCCCGTATCTCCGTTGCGGAGGCCGCTCTGAGTCTGACTTCTGTAGATATAGGCAGCTAATTAGCAATGCCCTTGCCCTATACAGGGCCAGTACCATTTTGTGGGACTAACCAAGCCTCTCATCACCCAGCTTATGGATGGCATTCTCAAGCCGGATGTCCATAGCTGCTTCAACGGGCCCACAGAAGGCCAGTCACTCGAATTGGACTGCGGTCAAAGCCAGGCCCACTGGCCGGCAGGTACACTTTGTCCCTCACAGTAATATTATATCAGATAGGTGAACCATAGGCACTGAACGATACTGGATTCTGGCTCGGCGAAAGGCTTTCGGTTTGTTGTGACGAAGTACTGCAGTAATTGGACAAAGGAAGGTGGGAGACGCTTTGATTAATGAGAGCTTCCACTTTCACTCTTGGATTGATGAGAATGAAGGTATGGTGCGCAATCCAAGGAAGCGAAAAGCTCTTGGCAGAAGCTGCGTAACAACTAAAAGAACGGCAGAGGCGCGCGATCTTGAGCACGAACAGAAAGCGGCGTAGGCACGCGGGCTATCGCAGAGACCCCGAACGATACGCTAAACCTCTTTGGAATATTCCGTGATAGTTAATCCGGCAGCCCGAGCACGCGCTTATTAGACGACCAGCCGCGCGGGTACTACCGACCAGCTGCGAATGAAGCTATGGCCAGATTGAGGCCCGGCCTAGGGGTGAACTGGATGGCAGTGAGTTCTGTATGAGCTCTTTTGGCTCAGGAAGTGGCCCGAGAATCGTCATCACAAGGATCATCTAGTCGAGATTAAAGCAATCACATCAGTTTCAGTCGAAGGCTTTGTTTGCATTGAATCGAACATATGGATCACGGTACTATGGTTTGGTACCGTTCTAGCGGAAATGGGGAATAAATGAGTAGATGCCGCAGGCATGCGGTAATTGATCAATTAAAACGCCGTTGGCACCCATTTTCCGAAGCCCTGACATTATTCTGAAGAATTCACTCTAATGATCCGCGGAGTGATTTGATATCCATGGAAGGCGGAGTTCAACACGCACAGAGAATGTCAAAAGAGGCCATGTACACGGATGAAGACGAGACTTGGGAAGTAAAAAAACGAGAGGGAAGTGAAACACACAACAAGAGGCCAAGAGGGCATCAAAAAGCGGAGGAAGGCGAGAATATTTGTCGCAGTCCGTGTTCGCTATGTCATGGATAGGCTTTGCAGGATAAATGAAGACGAAAAAGAGCACATGTCCAAGGGTAAACAGCTTGTCATTCTGCCAAGACTCTATTTGGTCGAGTTGCTGCGATGCAAGATCTGTACATTGGTGGCACTGGTACCACTTCCGACGGAGCGTCGTCTTGGGCGGACCTCGCTACCGCTACCACTTCGTCGTCTCCGGGTACCGTTGGCACTTCGCACTGAGCCACGGCATCGTGTCTGGAGCAAAACGGACGTTCCCACATTAGAATCAAGCTGGCTGTAAATTGGAGGAGACGTCCTCTTAGCAAAAGACAAGCACATGGATAGAATCATGCCGTGGGTGAATCAGGAGGAGACCATTCCACTGGAAGGTCATGAGGCAATACGAGGCAGCGCAAAGGTCAGAGTTGCTGTGAACTCACCGACGTGGGGGTCCCTTCACGAGTGGGCCGCTCTTTGGGTGCCTCGGACTCGTCCTGGATCTTAAGCGTGTTCAACCGCTTTTGGCTTTCATTGGTCAAAGCTTCGACCTCATCAATGGGCTCCGGCACGCTCAACGCAGGTGCCGGGGGTGGTGGAGCGCCATTTCTTCTCATTGTCGCCTGCTGTTCAATCATATCCCAGCGATCCTTGCGGGATTTTTCTCGTTGATCGGCACCGTTCTGGTGTTCGGTGTATTCATGGGAGCATTCATCAAAGAGCTGAGGGTTGATTTCCATGAACATCTTCATAGCATTGTACACCATGCTGTGTATGGTCCTGTAATTCGTAGACCTAATTAGACGACACCAAGAAAGACTACAATAGGGCTATGGGGCTACTCACCGGTTCCAGTGCCCCTTAGAATTTTCGTAAAGAGGTGCAAACATGATGGGAAGGATTGTCTCCACGTTGTCACTGACGAGATTACAGAAGTACTCGTTGTTCCAAAAGTAGAGGGCACGTTCAGCCACCTGTGAACCGGTTGAAAATTAGCATCTAGCTGCGACGCATCAAAAAGGGCTTTTAGCGGCGTTGGTACCTGAAAGTGCGGACTGGCAACTGACTTAGCCAGTTGATGGAAAAGGGGTTCCTGAACCTTGGCAAACTCCCCGGGGTCCATAACCTCGAAGATATCCTCGACCTCGTTGAGGTACATTACCTCCTTGGTACTGTTCGTCTTTGGCCAGTAACGAAGCAGCCCGAGAACGACCTGACAAGAGACGACTTAGTATCGATCCCCACGGGCTTCAACTTTCACCCCCGTAAATGAAAGGCAGGACAGTACTTACGTCTTCTGTCAGGCTTGAGTCCTTTTCCAAGAACTGAACGATGCAGTAAGCCAGCTGTGGGTGGTACATGCTGAGACTCTTCACCTTGTGCATCGGCAACAAAACTCGGGTCAGGAACAGCTTATGCTCCTCTTTCAGAGGCAGCGCAAATCCATTGATGATGGAACCCAGAATTTCAAGCAGCTCAGCAATTCCGTTATGTCTTTCCGTTTCGTACATGAATTGGAAAAAGACATTGTTGATTGATCGCCGAATGTAAGATCGCAGATTCAAGAATTTGCCATAAATGCGGTGCAAGGTCGTTTTTAAGAAATCACGTTCACGGGGATCCTCCGAATCAAACAGGTCCAACAACTAGACGGAACGAGTCTGTCAGAAACGAGGAGTCAAAAGCATGACCAAGTTGGAGGGGACCTACCTGAAGCACAAATTGGTGATCGATGTATGCTTTGGCAATATTGGTATTGAAATCTTGGCTTTCGATGAAACGGAGGAAGAATTCGTAGACGACCTGAATATGAGGCCATGCCACTTCGAGGACAGGCTCGTCTTCTTCGGGGTCAAATGCCTCGCCCTGGGGTGTCATAGGAGGAGGAATAGGCCGGAAGAGGTTCTTGGCAAACATTTCAACAACCCGAGGATACATGGGCTCCGTAATCACGGATCGATTGTTCGCTACGTAGTCCAAAAGCTCATGCAGAGCCAGTCTCTTGATCTCTTTGGACTTCATATCAGCTGTAGGATCATTGAAGTCGAAGATAATGTTGCACTGGTCGATCTTCTGCATGAACAGATCCTGGCGCCGGTTAGGAGCCACTTCGTGAAAGCCAGGTAGTTTCTCCAGCTCCCGCTGACGTTGATCAGAAATGTCAAATCGCGATGAATGTTGACGTTTCGGGGTCCGAATTCCCTCTGACATATCCTTGGGGGTCGTCTGGAGGCGATCGAAGACATGGGACTTCCGGGGTGGCGCCAAGTCACCCGGCATGGTTTCCGCAGCACCAGGAGGAGCCTACGCAAAACAGGAGTAAATCAGCACCAGAAATTTGAGGACACTATGGCTTGTGAAGATTGTACTCACCGGCCCGCTGGGACTGATGATCACACTTGGTGCTACTGGCTGTCCCTGCCTCGTAGGTGTACCTGGACCGTTGCTCGCATTGGAACCGGCGACATTGGCTCCTTGAGATATATAATGCTGAGCTGCCGGAGTGCTTGCGGATGGTGTAGTGGCCGGCGATGCGCTATCTGGTGACTTGCCTCGCGCATCGTGCAGGGAAGTTTGAGACGAGGCAGGTGTGCCTTGACCAGGAGATGCCGCTTGCTGTGTTTGAGGGACACCGAGGGAGGCCGGGGTTGAAGACGAGGAGTTGGCGGCGTCTTTCTTTTTCGAAGATTTGTTGGCGTCCTTCGCCCGGGACAATTGCTCATGCTATGAGAGAAGCAAGCCAGAGTCAGCACAGTTATGTCGTCTGGTTTAGAGGTGGCCCCGTCCCCGTGGCGGGGAAGTAGTGTGCCGGTTGGGCATTATGGTGCCATGAAGTCCGCATCCCACTAAGCGTTGGAGTGACTTACCACTCTCTGTCTAAAACCCTTCATCTTTGCTCCCGTATAGATTACCGCATGTACTTTAGGTGGAGTTCTGGTATGAGTACAGGTGGGAGCTGCACTTGAGCCAGGCGGAACCGGGCAAATGTGTTAGCGGGCGCGATGGGTGTTTTTGAATCGACCTGGAGCAAGGCGAATGTTAGCTATTGATATGGAGTGATTACGCATGATCACCAAGTTTCCAGCCAAAAGTTCTCAGTGCATGAGACTTTGCGGAGGTTGCGACATTGACTGTCGTCGTTTCACAGCGGGCGAGGGACCAACAAGCGCACGGGGCAAGTGACTTTGGTGCCGAAGAATCAAGCGACAGAGCCGGAATAGCAATTTGAGCGTGTAGCCACATACCGTTTCGTCGTTCGATCGGAGTGCAATTGACAGGTGAGCTGTAGGAGTGGTTGAGCGAGGCGGGAGAGGTGTATGGTATAGGTTGTTGATCCGCTGTGGAGGATCTCCGTGTCGCTTGGTGTCTGGGGCGGGGGGAGGAGAGAATCGAGAATCGCCAAAGCTACCGGCTACACTCCGAGGCCAGACTCACGTCGGTAGAGTAACCACGAGCTATCACAATCCAAGTGATGTTGATGATTAACTTAGAGACGCGCGCAGGCAATATGGTGGAGGGAAAGAAAGGGGAGTGTGGTTGGTGGTTTGGGGAAAGGCGGGTTCTCCTGGCTGTGATGGTGATGGGGGAGGGGCCTTCGATTTTCAACTTTGTTCTGCATGCACAACTACGAATGAGTCCAAGTAATACAAGGATATTGTGTAGAACTAATTCCAGCGTTCAATAAAATTCCTTCATGATTCTATGTGCCATATCTACTCTGTAGTCCTTGAGATAATTCCCCCTCAGTCGCTCAACAACAAATTGAATAGTTTGTATGCGTTTTCCCGCTTCCACCTTACCTTGCCGTCCTTCATGGCTTATGTCATGTTATCACGTGGCACCGTGCCTTATCCGCTACCTGAGGTGCTAGTTTCACCGCTGTACACTGGCGCAGCAAGTCCAGTGGGAACTTGAAAGTCGCTGGATCAAGCCAGCACTTTAGCGGACAAGAAACCTAATGGTGGAACTGTGTGTTTATCTAATATGACCGAGCAAAGCACCCTATCTTTTGTAGGAACCTTACGCTTATGTGACCAAAAAGGATAAGGAACAGGGTGATCAGGATAGATGCTCCGGAATGGTGTGGGCGGATGCTCCCACCTAACTGAGAAATATATATGTTGTAGAGGGGAATGCTCAAGGCAGTCTGATCTCACCAGACAGATCGAGTCATAGAGGAACCAAACCACAACCACCAGCACGCACGTCCAGAGATTTCCCAGCCCGACCGTACAACACCTATCCGTTGGTTGTCAAGGGGCACAAGTGAAGATCAAAAGGAGTGTGTCATTGCAATGTAAAGAATCAGACTGTAAAGACCGTCCTGAATCCTCCATTCCCTTCTTCGATGGATCTCCCGAATCCCATGAATTCCCTCGATGATCCTTGGATTCCTTGGATGACCAAGTTGATTGATCCCCTCTCGTAATGTCCAAATAGCCTCTCCCGACTATAAGGCCACCATCAGGCACCCGCACCTCTGCAAACCATCTGCTCTAAGTACATGCAACCGGATTCCCTACTACAATGTCTAGGTTCCATGCCAGAACCCTCCAAGATGGCTTCAGTGTATAGAGTAGGGCCAACTTACCTAGGGCAATCGATGCCTAATGAAGACTGTGCCTAGGCGATGCCGGAATATTAAGTTCCGAAAAGTACAGACGCGAGCTGGTATCGTTCGGTTGATGTCGTGACCTCCATAGATGGTAAAAAGAAGTACTTCATACCTATGGAACAACTGTGTGGTACCTAAATACTTCGAGGGAGGGGCAAATCGACGTGTAAGATACTAAACATGTGTCGTGTAGCACGTATCTAGGGCAAGGCTCTGCTTATAATAAATAGTACAGTCTTTCGAGTTATCGCATCTACTAACCTGTGCAAGGAAAGTGGGTGAATGAGTCTTACTCATACCATTCAGCATGGATTACCACTGACAGATTTTCGTACTTGCTAAATAAAAGCACTAGTTACTACATAAACGTCATTACTGACCTGTTTAGTTTTCTCTCAGTATAGACTGGCGACTGCACTCGAGCTTGGAAGATATGCTAAGAATGCGTGGTTCGCAGATCGGTGGGGCAAAAAGCACATTATGCTCACACTTCCAACATTTGAGGTAGGATCCCAGCACGGTGTGCAGCAGTACCTCTAGCCAGTACGGTACGTCGATGACTTCCAATTGTACTTTGTACACGCCCGTATTTACCCATGACTGTATACCTGTGTAGTTATGTACTATGTAGGGCTTGGCCATCGCTAGTAAGTTCTTTGCTACTACTGAGGTTGCCCGCGAGCTTGCGAGTCTCACAGAGAGACAGCAGTGCAGCACAGCAGACTCACAATACTGAAGCCTGATTTTCAAGGTTGGAAGGCTTCCAAAGTCCGGGTTGCCGCTGGCTGTGAGCTCAAAGTTCGAATTCGACCGCCCGCTTCTGCGGCCTACTATCCGACCAGTGTTGGGCCTAAATACGTGGATGTGAGATGCCCGTATCTTACTACCCGGCAGAGTAAAATTTCATTGACCAGGGACGGGATATATAAGGAACTGATCTTGCGACCGGACGAATAAGTCGTACGCATGTTCCGCTCCAAAATTGCAAGCGTCCATATCGACTTATTTCGCTCGACCTTTGCGGACCTGTTTATCTTTCCAGTGTTGACCTCAGGATCTAGAGTCAGTCTCCTGGTCTTTATCCTGAAGAATTCGTCTATTGACTCATCAAATCGTGCTCATTGAGCAGTTCAAAGTATGGACAGCTCGCGTGAGTCAAGAACCGCGTCTTTTTACAAAGTACCGCCCCTGCAACTGGTCAGTGTCGAGCATCCAGCTGTAATTCAAAACCTGGATAAGGCCATCGCCACCCTCCAGGGTAATGCCGGCATTGAAAAGGTGGGTCAACTGCACATATAAGTACTTGAGTCATAAAAAGACAATCGCTCTGACAAAGCTTAGATTTTACGAACTGCCAAGTCAGATACTTCAGTGGACTTGTCGCTAAGACCAGATGATGCCTTGTCGCGACCTATCCCGTCGACAAGCTGTCCATCAAATAATGTCCTTCTCAAGATTACAGTTCCTAGGAGGACGGGACGCAAGCGCAGAAAGGGCACAGATGGTCCCTTTGTTGACTCGGCGCCTACGGCATTGCCAGGTGAACCCATGCGGCGGCGCAATGCGAGGAATACCATGCGCAGCTTGGAGGATAATCCTTCGAGATATGGCGTTGAAGTGATAGGCAGGATTGATCGGACGCATGTCTTTCGCGGTTCGTGACCCACGACTGATCCTTTACGTTCGAGATGGGCTGATTGAGCTAATACTTCTCTTATCGAACAGCGATGCCCGATTTTGTCTATTCGAACACGACAAGCACATTCACCAATAAATTTCGGGACTATGTCCTCCCGTATGACTGTGAGTATTATGTCTTCGTGGAGGGTTTCAATCAACCAAGAGGCAGTTCCTGACTGACCTCATTGCAGTGGAGAAGCTCAAGCAGTTCGACCTTGACATGGGCAAAGGCGCTACGATCAATACGGATCTCATTCCGCCACCTTCCTTTAGCCACGGAGATGTGCCTTTCCAATACGTGTATGTGGTATTCTAAACTTGAACTTTGAACCCGATGGTTGGAAAGAGAACCATGCTGAACATTATGTACCAGTTACCGCCAGAATCCTATGGTCAAGAAAGCCATCGGGCAGTCTGGAGAAATGACAACCGTCAATACTCAACAGGCTGCGCGTGTGCGCACCCATCTCGTTGCATATGACGTCGCGGAGATACCGACGCAGCCTCAAGAGGGACTCCCTCCATTGGAAGGCCTCGAAGATGGTCTCCGCGAGATGATTGAACTGCTGGAGAAGCTCTTCGAACAGCGTCCGGCATGGACCCGGCGCGCAATCCGCAACCATCTCACCACAGACGAACAGCGCAATTACCTCCGCCACGCCGTGCCTTACGTAGGCTATATCTTCCGCTCTGGACCCTGGCGGGACGCGATCGTCAAGCTAGGCCATGACCCACGCTCATCCCCCGCCTATCGACATTATCAAACATTCATGTTTCGCATTCTCCCGCGAGAGCCAGAACTTGCTCGTGACGGCGGCGTGAGTCGCCGTCTCAATCCTGTCCGCCTCATCGACCACGACTATCACCAAACGGGCGGCATGGTAAACACACACATATTCACGGGCCAATTGCCCCTGCCCCGTGATGGACGCATTTGGATGGCCTGTGACATTGCCGACCCCGTGCTGAAAAATATCCTATACCCTCCCAATCCACCAGAGGACTTTCTTCGACCGAGCTGTGAGATCGTCACGGATGGATGGTTCGGCAACGGAACCTTGGCCAAAGTTAAGACCATCATGCGATTCAAAATCCAATCGCTTATTGACGATCGTCAGCCTAACGATGCTGACTTTTGGCGTATTTTGGCCTTTCCTGATCACGCACAGTCTGAAGAAGATCTGTCTGTGTTCACTGTTCCGATGGAGGGAACCACCAGTCGTGAGGTGCAAATGGCCACTGAAGTACGAGCGTCGATCAAGGGAGCACCACTGTGGCGTAAGATGCATGATCGGGGCCATGGCGATCTCGATGGGGAGAAAATGAGTCGTATTCGGAGGCCACGAGGAAAGACAAGAAAAGGGAAAGAAGCAGAGGCTTCTACGGAGATACCAGAGCAAGTCTTAGAAGAGGAAGAGGAAGAAGAGGGTGCCGAAGAGACTGATCCGGCTGTACTTGATGAAGAGAGTCGTGCAGTTGGGACTGCGGATGCAGACGAAGACGAAAGCGAGGGTGAAGAAGAGGAGATGGAGAGGGTGGCTCTGTGGGAGCAACAAGCTGCGGCGGCAGTGCAGGCACGGGAGGCGGCGTTGGCAGAGGAGGATGAGAATGAAGAGAGTGTGGATGAATCAGATGCAGATGATTAGGGATAGGTCACAGTGAGCGAATCCATAAGCCGTGGAAGGAGTATCGTACCATGCGGAAATTAAGTTGAGAGAGATCATTCATCACTCAAATCGTCGAGAACTGAAATGGACGGAGGAATTGGGTTCATACACAAGCTTTCCAATTATCGAGACGTTAAATTGATTTTTCGGTGGGCGCAGCCCTCACTATATAAGATACTAAGCTAAGGAGATGACAAAGTAAATAGATCAAAAACAAATGCGAACAAGAGAACGGCCGCTCAACGCCGAAAAGGACAGACCAAACACGTCACAGTGGGTATTATAGCAAGTCAACAGAAAATCAAGCGCTCAAACATCATCATCCCAGTGTTGTCCGGACACGGAATCAATAATCATCAACAAAAGCCGTCATCATCATAAACTTCAAACCAAGTCCCACAGATCCCATAAGATCAAAAGCAAAGCTTGAACCAAGCCCCAAAGTTCCAGCGCCAATGCAAATGCAAACATTTTAGATGTACCACAACAACAAGAGCTCTACTGCTCTGCAGCATCCGCCCCAACAGGCGAGTGCTCTTGCACCTTGTGTATCACGTCTCCGATATCATGTCCCTCGTTCGGGGTCCCATCTTCCATTGCAGAGGTGATAGCGTCAGTGACAACAGACGACGCCAACGGGGACTGTGAGAGTGGGGAAGTTTTGATGGGGACAGCAGTCTCGGACACTTCGTCGTCGTGGACAACTTCAACGGAGAAGGCATTGCAGCCATCTGGGTAATAGTCCGCTGCATTGAGCTCCCCCAGAGGTGCCCGATCATCGTCAATCTTGGCCAGGTTCCGAACTACTGTCGCAGATGACATGGCTGCCGGAAGGGCAGCCAGCTCAAGGCCCGATTCCGTAGGAGGAACATTCTCCTTGCCTCGGTCGTCAACGGGAGAGGCCTTGCTCTCATCGTCACTGATGTCCAAAACACCAGTTGAGTGCTGCATCAGGTTGGTCATCTCCTCCTGCTCCGAGTCCACATGGATGTCGAAAAACCACGAGTCCGGACCTTTGGGCTGAGGCGGCGCAGGGGCCTTGATCTTCCCATGGGAGAGAGCCTTGGCCAAGGAGAACGGACGAGTGACTCCAGCGCGTCTGCTAGGCTCTGGCCGGGCCTTGGCGATGGTCGACCGCCGGGCGGACAGGGAAGACTTGGGCGGAGGTGAGCGACCGGCGGGTTTTAGCACAGGAGCAGATTTGGGAGTTGAGAGAGACAGCTTGGCGGGTGTGCAGAGACGGGGGGAGAAGCTCATGTCGCGAACGGACAAGGCCATCCGGAAAGACTTCATTGGCTTGGGGGAATCCACAGAGATGCCATCATCGTCTTCCAGGGTACGCTTGCGCTTCCCTGAAGAACCATGGGAGGAAGGAGCGATGTTCTCTGCATCTTCAATGAAGAAGGATGATCTGAGAGGTTTCGCGGAGTGGAAGACGCCTGTCGCGTGGCTGCTGTTAGCATGCTTGTATGCGGGGAACCGAACAATGATTCGGGGCCGAACCCAGTTGATTCAAAACTCACCGAGCTGTGGGGTTTGACGATTCAATCGGGACCTCATGAGTGATCGCATCTGAGGCGTATCGAGATTGGCAAAAGGTTGACGGGTGGGCGGCGTCATTGTGAGAGTGGCCATGATGCGAGACAGTGAGGATGGTGAGGCTGCGTCGGGGCTGATTGTTTGTTTTGGGGCGTCAAGGCGCTAACTGGCAAAGTGGGGGTGGTGGGCAGCGCGGCACGAGACAGCAAGTGAAGAGGGATGGGCGAAGCCTCGTCACCCGGCTGATCAAAAGGCTTTAAAGCAATGTTTCTTGAGCACGAAGGAGAAGGGTCAATTGAGTGATGATCGGGCAAATTCTGGCAAGGGATGAATAACTAGGGCAATCTGAATCAAAATCCAATAGTCTACTTCAGTTCGGAGGAAAAGCAAGAGTGTTCCGAGTCATGTGGAGCCCAGAGCGATTACGCGGTGGAGATGTCGTGTACGACTGTTGGTACTTGGTAAGCCGGTAGTAAGTAGAGGAGGTAGGTAAATATGAAGCGGAATGTCAATGGAGACCCTTTGGGGAGAAGGAGAGATGACCCAAGGATATATAGGAGAGAAGGGAATACCAAGCTGGAGTAAGAACCAAGGGGTTCAAAGTAGTAAAGTACGAAGGTAAGTTGCCTCTCAAGCCCCGAGTCATTTAGTACCCGCAAGGAGGTCGTGCTGGGAGGTGGCAGTGGAGGAAGAGGAGGGCATTCTACGCGCGAGCATACTGTAAATGATCCCGTTCGTGAGCGTCGCGGGCGCGCGTCGTGCTCGCGTTACCGCGCTGCCCTCGGATTGAGAGCCGTGAATGGGGGGAGCGGATCACGACCAGCGAGTTGGCTACACGACAATACCCAGTGGCGTTTTATGCAGCCAGAGACAATGGCCTTTGCCAATCATCTAGGTGGGGACCAGATCATGCCTGGCCGGATGTTGCTTGTGGGACGGAATAATGATCGAAAGAATGCAGTAGTACTGCACGACAGTCTTCGAGTTTCGTCTCTGGGCTGACCAGCACGGCATGGCTCCGTGGCTCCGTGCTATGTCGATAGTGGAGAATATCGATGCTATCATAGTAGAAGGAGGCAGGTATGAACTAGGATCTATATGGTCAACCTCCTGCTAATTGAAGCCCTAAATTTCATGCTCCTTATCTACGTTTCACGACGTGTAATAGAGATCGAAAACCCTACCTGAACCTTATGTTTTGATCACTTGTCCAATGTATGAGAGAATGGTATGCCCGCTATATACGGTAGGCAAAGAGTCATGACTGCTACTGATCACGACTCACGAGCTAGTGCGCGATGCGGAGCACCCCTGCGACACGTCTCAGTCGCGCGGGTACGAAGCTGTAGCGGAGAGACCAGCCGAATTACACGTTCCGAAATTGCTGCATTTGAAACAAAAATTGTCATGGTGAAATCCTCGATCGATGCGTGACCGACCCAAATGGAGTAATCAAACACTGTCAGTCCCATTCGTCATCCAGCCTCATGATTCTGTGGCTCTTTATGAATTCAATGATTACCACGTTGGGAGTGAGTTACTAACGTACAGCAGTTTCCTCAATTAGCGCAATGATCGATTCAGATGCTTGAGCACTTGCAGCTGCTCGAGCTTCCGCACGTTCTTCAAATCCAGCACTGAACGCGCGACACGCCTCGCGTCTTTGGACCCCTCCCTTGCACCAGAATCGCGCGACACGTGCGTTATCATGTCTGTCTCGGCACAGAGTGATCAAATTCATACATTCTCTGCTTCACAGCTATATTCTTGGCGATTGAGCGCGATCTGTAGGACTAGGCTGTTATTCTACCCTAGGAAAATTTAGTCGTCCCCTTTGACACCACTCAAGTCCCGAGCTAACGCACACTACTTCCTGCTTCTCATTCATCAATTGTGCTCACCGAGATCTGTATGACTCTGCTGCATCAAAGATGAAACATCCGAGGTATGTAAGGTTGCCTTGAGAGCAGAGCAGAGCAGCATTCTTGCACCTATTGCGCGCAGTGAATAGATTACTAATGCTGATCGTTCTAGTGTAAGGATGTGGCACAAGCTGAAAAAGAACAGAGAGTCTAGAAATAGATTCTAGCCATAGAAGCCATGTTCACATGCCGCGCTCTTCTTGCACGTGATTCTTAGATCTTAAGCACTGATCACTGGAAATTGTCAGCGCAATACTATACAAGGTGCCCAGTACATACTATACTGTATCAATATGCTGTGCTTACGACTGTAGAATTGTGTTCTGTTAATACTGACTCATAGCATTCTCAATTGAACATCTATTTGTAAACACGAAAGCATTCACCTGGTCGCGTGCTTGCAGCGCTTTAAAACCATATCAATGAAAGCTTTCCTTTGTGAAAACACAGCCGGAATCTCGCTATCCCGTGTGATAATCTGTAGCAGATGCTGGATATATAATCATGATACTACTTTCAAACTTTGGCGTGAAGGTGGTAGGCTGTAAGGTAAATACCTCGAGTCCGGACTCCGGAGTAATTAGTATACCGATAGACCTACCGATCGTCGGAAGGGGCCTTGTTGATGACCGCAAAAAGAAATAGTCCACATCGCTGCCATGGGCTTCAGCGAGTGACGCTCAATCTTGCCATTCAATCAAGGACCACTGCGAGCTTGCATTCGCTTCGTCTTAAAGGAGGAAAATATGACGCAATGACGCCGACGCCGGGAATCACAGAACCACCAGGTACGTTTTCACCTGGATCCATCTGCTCCGCCTTAGCCATGACTGGTTGGCTCACGGGTGTGATAAGGTTCGACTAGAGCCGCACCTTATATACTTCCGGCTGATCTGACGAGACACAACAATATCTAGAACAAAGGTGGTCCGTAGGAGGAGAAGTCGCGGAAGATATAGAGGGAGCAGTAGCTGATGTATTTTCCACCCTGGCCCTTCACCGTGTCTGTTATAATAGTTCACAAATTCCCAAGACCGTAGTCCTACATGGTACATTCTGATTTCTGGCAATCTCATATTACAATAATTCAATTGACTGCTTGGTAACCATGTCCTCGAGACTAGCTGATCCATCTATAGAACAATGATTCGTAATTCAGTTCTAATTCTCGTATATTGCCACGACAGGGCTGTGATTTCGAGTGTCCCGCGGCGTAGACTAGTCCAGTACAGGTGCTGCAGAGGTCTTTCCAAATTCATGCCCCGGCGTTAACTGGTCCGGGGAGCTAGTCTAGATGCCGACTCTTCGAGGCAGAGATTGTGTTCATCCCATATCATGCCCTCTCCCAGCAATCTCCCCATGTTGTGCCCTTCCACGTTTCCACAACTCGCAATCTGTCTCACTTCTACCATCACCCCATCTCCGCCTCGATAATTTCACATCAGTAAAAGTTGGCGATCTCACGTCACTTAGGGCTCAACAGGAGCCCATCACCCGTACTCGGCACCGAGACAAAAATCCCGACTGGTCGCTATGGCTGATCAAAAATGCCCTCGATCCTCTGCCTCTGCCACGCCTCCAGAGCACACTGCCTCGGCTTCACGGCATCATGACAGAAAACCCCCGCGGGATGAATACCGGATTTTAACAAAGGATGCTCTCAAAAACATTGAGGATTACGAACTCCCTTTGGATCAAGATGCTGAAGACTCTCAGCCAGTCAGGAAGCTTCGGTCCAACTCCGATCTCGACCGCCCACAGGTCAAGGTCTTCATCAGGACCCGTGAAAAAGCTCTGATCTTTGCAATGGAGGCCCAATCGTGGAATCTGAAGCCTGTCAACAAGAACGCTAGAATCCATGTATTTTGGACTGATGCATCGGTGGTCAACGCATGTGCTGCTGGCGCCGTTGCTCGGCAGGAGGCTCGACCAGGGGAGTTCGTGACAACAACTTATACATATCCTTGCCCCGTTCTGTGTCCACTTACCGTGGAGATCTTTGCGATTGCTAATGCGTTGAGTGAGGCTGCCACGAGAGTCCGAGAATGCTTACGTGTCCCCGCGGCCGACGGAAGTGGACGCTTGCCTCAACACGAGGTGTTCGTCTTTACCGATTCGGAAGGCGCACTGAGGGTGATCCGAGGCACCAACAAGAAAGCGCTCAGCCAGGATACGCAAGTCCTGGTTCAGTTTGTCACTTCGATGAGCGTCGAACTCAAGGCACTCGGGAGCCTGGTAGAACTTCATCTGGTCCCAGGGCACAGCAAGGTGCCTGGTAATTGCGAGGCGCACACAGCCTCCCGATACGCTGCGCGAAGCCTGGCATCACAGCGGGGCATGACTAACGCTGAGGAAGGTATGCGTCTGTATCAGAAGGGCCCCTTCACAGCCTTGTTCCCACTTCCAGAGGAACCCTCTTTTCTCCTCGACTTGATGAGGGCGCTACACCTGACGAAGCCAGTGTACCCAGGGCAGGCGTTGGGGATTGGATTCCTGCCGATCTTCGAGGATTGAGAAGCAAGTCACTGGCCGACGACTCAGGGTCCGGGCAAGCGGCCGGCTGAATGCGCCACCGGATCGTCTTTGAGAGCGCTGCAGATGGCATGAAGATGACTTTCACCTTACTTTTCGATGTGCAGATATCAGAAAGTGAGCGTCCATGTCATCTCGGAGCTTTTGAAGTGACTCTGAGCGTCAGATATCCAAGACAATCGCTTGCTCGGGTTAAACCTGCAGAAACGAAGTCGACAGACACAAAACGCCTGGTTCCTGTCGCTTTTATCGCTGATATATTAAGTCTTCGTTGCACCTCCCGCATGGTCTGAAGGACAGGGGAATTTGTCTTCACAGCCTCAAATCTGGGCGTCAAGCTTAACAAGCCTGGGGTGAGGAGTGAACGACTTTCTGCGGGTACCTAAGCGACCAGATACCTAGCGTAGAGGGGAATTCTCAAGGCAGTCTGATCTCACCAGACAGGTCGAGTCATAGAGGAACCAAACCACAACCACCAGCACGCACGTCCAGAGATCTCCCAGCCCGACCGTACAACACCTATCCGTTGGTTGTCAAGGGGCACAAGTGAAGATCAAAAGGAGTGTGTCGTTGCAATGTAAAGAATCAGACTGTAAAGACCGTCCTGAATCCTCGATTCTCTTCTCCGATGGATCTCCCGGATCCCATGAAGTCGTTCGATTCCTTGGTTTCCCTGGATTCCTTAGGTTGTCAAGTTGATTGATCCCCTCTCGTAATGTCCAAATAGTCTCTCCCGACTATAAGGCCACCATCAGGCACCCGCACCTCTGCAAACCATCTGCTCTAAGTACATGCGACCGGATTCCCTACTACACTAGGTAGACATTATTGCCTCCTTGATGTCCTGATAGGGCCCCACTTTGGCCCGAGAGCACCGAACCCGTTACGGGGAAGGTTCTTATGAGGATCGAATGTCGATCGGGACGAGACTTTGATTCTGAAAAGCACAACGGCTGCGACTATTGAGAACAACAACCATCGCATTTGTTCATTCAACAAGCGAACTTGCAATCTAATTAAAATGAATGCGCCACAATTCTCGGTTGCAGTCACTGACATACCCTGTGCGAGTATGAAGCATGGCGGTGTTATCACTAATCAAGAGATCGCCCTTCTCCCATTCAAATCGGAGACACACGCGATGATCATATGTAACACGGTCAATGATACTCACCAGGCCTGAATCGTCATTCTCAATTCTCACATCACAGGTGGAGAACTTGGTCTTCGTCGAATCCCACGGTTGATGCCATCTGAGACAAGGGAGGCCGGTGACGGGGTGCTTCACAAGCAGGGGGAGGTTTTTCATTTTCGCATCCCAAAAGCCGTCATTATCCATGGCCCAGGTCAATTTCTCCAAGCGCTCCGCGGTCCATGGTCGTGGAAGGTACCTGAAAAACAATCGCGAGCTGGCGAAGAGAGTATACCCACTGCCCTTCGGTGCCGTTGCCGGGCAGGTAAAGAACTGATACCCCGGGGGACGCTGCACTTTTTTCTTTTCTCCTGTTTCGGTATCGATGACCTCCTCAAACTTGAACATTCCGTCAAAGTGCATTGGCATGGCTTCGTTGGAGGTAACATTATTTCCCATCTTGTCTGAGCGTCCGGCGTCACGAACCTTTTGAATGATGCCAAAGCTCCATGGAAGAATCGTGCCCAGCTCGGATGCCGCCTTCACGTAGAGATCTTCGTCGAGCGTATCTGCGAATCCTCGAAGGACTACGGGGGACATGGTGTTTGAAATTCGTCGCACCTTGTGCATTGGCACACCACAGATCGAGGGCCGCTCGTGAAGATCAGCCGCACCAGTCGGGCGTATGATGACACCACAGGGATACAGATGCTCAAATTCAACTGAGAGTCCATCCTCTCGCCAATCAAAGAGGTCGGACTTTTCCCGATAGAGATAGGGCCGGCCATCTTTGTACACCAGCTCGTGAGTCTGACGTACATCTTCCGCATGAGCTGTTTGATACGAGCCGTCGAGTCCAATTGCAACGGAGGCATGCCACGGTGTGAAACCAAGCGCTCCACGGATCTGCGGAATCAAAGAGACTGACAGTTTTTTCTCTCCGGCTGACTCGTGGATGGACAATCGAACATAGTCACCTCGATCGGCCCTGATGGCAGCTGCGAACATCTTCCCCCGAATGATCATCTGGCGGGCAATTTGAGAAATTTGAGACTGTCTTGCGCGCTTAGAGAGACCCTGAAAGTCTTCGTGGTGAGCCAGGTCTTTGTTGAGGAACTTGATGTACCCTCGATATGTCAGGCAGGTATCGTTATCGGTTTTGATCGCTTCCTCCGCGTTGAAGGTCGGGTCCCCAAAACGGAACATGAGCTCGCGCCGCAGACAGTTCGCATGAGCCAAGTACAATGATTTTGCAGACTCAGCGCTATCGCTTGGGTACCATGGATGTTCGAGAAGCTCGAAAAGACGGATGAATTTCACGTTGGAGAGGCCCTTCTCGACCGCCATTTTCCGCAGAGCCTCGCCATAGTCCCAGACGACATCATCGGGCACTCCAAGGATATCTGGGAATGATCAGTCAAAAGTGTGCTCAATAGCCAAGATCGGGATCCTCAGCGGAACTTGACGTACCGTTGTATACCAAACCGTCTGAGCTAATGTACACGTTGGCTCCCGGCTCATAAACTTGCGCGATATTTTCGCAAAGACCGTTCAAGTGACACAGAGCCAGCTCCTCGCCGAAATCAGGCATCACTCCCAAGACCTTGTCGCGACAATTGGGAGATTTAAATGGGAATGCTGGGAGTATCATTCGAATGGGCTCCTGGCGCTCGACCTGTCCAACGACAATGGGAACGAAAGACTCCAACCCCTTCCATGAGCCACCGGTCTTTTCATAGTCGACACCATAACTCTCGATGATTTTCAAGACTTTGACTGCCATTTCTCGATGCTCATTCACGCCGCTTTGAAGACCGTTGGAGGAACATATGGCCTGGGAGGCATCTGGCGGCTTCTCTGTCGATGTACTGCCGTTCTCGGGAACCCCATTGGATTTGACGCCGTTGGGTTCGGCAACTCTGGGCTCTGCCGAGATGTCTGCAGCGTGCATGGTGTTTACGGCTGTATGAGCGAAGTCACTAATGTTTGCCACATGCAATTCGTCTGCTTGAATCAGCTTTTTGATACACTGAGTCGCTGTGGTGGCCGCATCAGGACTCTGGGCAATCATGGTGGCGCGAGTTGAAGATCTCTCAGCTAAAAGAGCTGAATTGTCAACAGGTGAAGAGATGTCCTGACAGTCAAATTTGATGAGAGCAATGCCACAGCTCTGTTATCGTAATGCGCTATTCGGTTATTGCGGTTCTCTGGGCCGTGCTAGCCTGAAAACCACAAGCTGTGCTGTTGAAAAGACACTCACTATATAAGCCACTGCCTCGCGTCGATGTGAGGAATCCCGGAACGCACAACAGATAACGCCACGCCACCAAGCTGAAACTTCTGGCTTGCCGTGATTTTCCAGGATGAGATGGATTTTGACTTCTTAGTCAGAGGCTGAACAAAGAGAACAATCCCAGACCGCCAGTCCGGGGGAGCCTGTACAACTCGTGGTGGAAGGTTTACGGCTCTACCGATAGCATTCACATGGATTCACCAAGGCATGATTGTCCGCAATCAGCAGCTTGAAACAGTTGAGTCAGACGGCTTGGACAGCTTACTCAATCGGTGAGCAGCCGACCTCGGTGGCAGGGAATGTCGAGCCAAGCGAAGGTCATGAAACAGAAGCAGGACCACATGGTGCAAGCATCAGTCCTATGATTCCCAATTGACAACGAATACTGAAGCATATCTGCGGAGGGAAAGACATCATGTCAGTATGATCATCTGGGGAAGACCTGCCGGTGACGAGACTTGCAGTCATGTACTACAGCCATCCATGAAGCTACACTCGAGGATCACCAACGGGCAATTTTTCCACAAGGAGACCGTTGAATTACCTAGCTCCGTTCGTATTCGCTCTGTCCGTTGGGAATGACTTTCATCACTATTGTGGCAACGATGCGAAGCTGGAGCATCCTTGATTGCCGTGCTGACTCAAACGTGGCTTGTTGCATTAGAAGTGCAACCTGATGTGACACAACTTTCCATGTGATATGATAGTTCTAGACAGAACTCTAGGTCTGTATTTTGCCAATATGTGGATGAGTACTGGAAAATCATTCCAAGGAGCGCTAAGAAAGTCGCAATTCCAACGAAGCCTTTGTTCATGTGCCCACTGGATTCATGCCTCTAGGTACCAGTGATAAATTTCATGCTGGGTTCTAGTCATAAACTATGTAGTCAATCGTCTTCGTTCGTCGGAGTCGGGAAGCAATGGTTGATAGTAGGTCTGACTTCAATGAGTCAAGTACTGCCGCTGGACAAAAAAAGCAAAACGCTTGTGTCCAAGCGGAATACAAGCTTAAGGAGTAGTCGTATCTGCTAGATACACTTATATCGTCTTCTCTCTGCTTTTGATTTGAAACCCCTTTCCACTGAATTACATTCTCGCTAGCTCCACACCAAGAATCTAGTTCAGCTCCTTCCAGTCATATTCCATGACCCTCGAAATAAACGCAGCCATCTCGGAATCCGTAAGCAGCCTCACCAGGTAGAAGCTCGCATCGAGACCCGAACTCACGCCCCCAGCCGTAATCACTCGTAACGAATTCTCCCCCAAGCATCCCCCATCCACATACCGCCACAGTACAACTTCAGGCGGTGGACGATTCTTTTCCCGGAACTTCTCACAGATCTGCCGGAGGGTATCCAGCGCACGGTGATGAGTGGTGACGGTCAGCCCGGAGAGAACACCTGTGGCACCCACGAGAAGAGCCCCGGTACAAACTGAGAACAGTATCCTGGGACGCTGGGGGCACACTGGAGCAGGAAGATGCGCAAAGGTGCGGATGAATCTCACTTCAGGGATATTGCTGTCTGTCAAGGGCTGTATCACCGAGGGGGGCCCTCCCGGTACGATGAGAATGTCGTACTGGGAGATTCGCGTCAGCGCTTCGTCTAGAAGAACGTCAACTTTGATGGTGAACGAGCTTGCGGCTTGAATGAAAGATGTCCGGGCGATAGTGATGAACAGGAACATTCGATCTGGTTCATCGGGATTGCGATTGTGCAAGGCGTGGGAGAGCACTTCCATGGGACCGGCAAAGTCGAGGATGTCTACGCCGGGGAAGAGTAGAACACCGACATGGTAGTATTGCTTGTCGGTCAAGTGAGACATGATTGCCTGAAGTGTTCAGCTCTTCGTATACGATTGGGGTTTAGTAGATTTTGACTCTGTCACGGAAACCTGGACGACAAGAATCGAGTGTCGGACGAAGAGTCGGCTCTTTTTAGATGTTGATCTTCAGTGAACGATTCTGTGAGATTGTGAACCTTGGCAAGTCCACAATGGCACTTATGATGGCTGTGAGGCCACTTGTTTCATTACCGCCTAGCACATCCCCTATTAAAAGGACCCGATGCAGTGTAACCCTATACTGACTTGCTTTACCGACAACGCCGGGATGGAGTCGCAACAAGTACGAAAATGACATCAATCCGAGTCAGCATCTTCTGTCTGACTCTTTCAAGAAGGGTCTGGAATAGCAAAATTCAGTGTTGATCCAGCTGCTCATGACATGGATCCCTAGGAAGAGGAAGCCCGTTCATCCCTACTAACTTCAAGTGGTCATTGATGGTGGCGACAACGAAGTGCATTAGTACACTCGGTAGAGTGGCGTGTGGAAATCTGATCAGACGACATTGATCCGATGTGAGATACCCGCCTGACAATGTAGAACCATCATGGCATGGGTATGGCACCAACAACCAGATCAATAAATCCATGGTCTTCCACCTTTTTGTGCTTTATGCGCGATAAGTACATGTGGACGCTGTCGTCTTTCGGGATGTGGGCCAACCGAGCTCCCCGCAATTGTCGGTCGGTCGGTTGGTGGGGGAAGTCTGAAAGTGTTGGTGTCGAGGGCATTTAGATAGCATGGGAGCTGGCTGGTGCAGTTGAAGGGAAATCAGACTTTAGTTTTTCTATTCTTTTTTTTGGGGATCGGTCTGAATGTTATCGCGGTTTTCTTAACGCTCCTATACATCCTTTGCTCACCACAAACATTCCAAAATGAGCTCTCCCGAATATCAGAATCACTTTTCGCTCGCCAACATCCCGTTCGGGGTAGCCTCATCCAAGAGTCACCCAACGCCGCAATGTGTAACTCGACTGGAAAATAAGGTCATCTTCCTGGCCGACCTGCAGCGTGCAGGCGCTTTCACCGGTGTCACAGGTCTTCCCGAGTCTATTTTTGACAACTCAACCCTCAACGAGTACGCAGCGATATCAAAGTCCATTCAGCGTCAAGTTCGCAACGTGCTACAAGAAACGCTGGCCAAACCCCTGCCCGCGGATTCTTTCGAAGAGATCGGCGCGGTGACACTTCATATGCCTGTTCGAGTTGGAGGATTTACAGGTATGTGCATACACTGGTCCTTTTCAAATCCCTGGACTTTTTGCAATTTGCACAAGACAGACAGAAAGAGAGAGAGAGAGAAACTAAGTCAAAAAAACTCCATGTAGATTTCTCTTGTAGCTTGCATCATGTTCGAAATGCAGGCCGTGCGATTCTCAATGACGAGACTCCTCCCCCCGGGTTCTTCAACTTCCCAATTGGATACAATGGGCGAGCAAGCACGGTGTTCACGTCCGGCACCCCTGTGATCCGGCCAAAGGGCCATTACTTCGACCGATCGGCGCCCACGGAAAAGAAGCCTATCATATATGGTCCATCCCAGGCCTTGGATTACGAATTGGAGATCGGCGTCATTGTTGGAAAGGGTGTTCCTCGTTTACAAGGATTGAATGCAAAAGACGCGGATGAGAACATTTTCGGCTTTGTCATCTTGAATGACTGGAGTGGTGAGACATCCTGACTGGAATTCTGTCCTTGAATCTTCCCGTTGCAAATCTGGAGTGACATGAGCGCTGACGCTGCATCTTCCGGGGGGTATGTAGCCCGTGATGTTCAGGGATGTGAGATGATTCCATTGGGCCCGCTCAATGGCAAGTCATTTGGTACCAGTATTTCACCCTGGATTGTAACACTGGATGCCCTAGAACCCTTTAAAGTACCAGGACCAAAGCCAGAGCGAGTCCTGGCAAGCCACCTCGAAGATGTCGAGGTATCCAGCTATGCCATCGACTTCAAAGTGGAGATCATCGCGGGAAATAAGATCACGAAGATCAGCGAGTCCAATGCGCAAGATCTGCACTGGAGCAGTCGCCAAATGGCCGCCCACCTCGCCAGTATTGGAGCTGATCTCCAAACGGGTGACATAATTGGTACAGGTACGGTGAGCGGGCCCGTCGACGGTAGCTACGGCTGTCTTCTTGAGATTACCAAAGCTGGTAAAGAGCCGATCACATTGGACGATGGCTCTAAGAGACACTTCCTGCTCGATGGAGACATTGTTCGCATGACTGCTTTGGCGGGCGGTGCAGGCTCCGGGGTCGGGTTCGGAGAATGCGTTGGTGAAGTGATGCCCGCCGTGTAATCAGCGATCAGAGCAGTTGGCCCACCCCGACAGGAGTGAGGCGTTCTTAGAGACATGGCCGTCGAATCATGAATCATTGTATTGACGTATTGATTTTATACCATGCACGATGATGAGCCAGCGGGGCTGACAGCAATTCAGCCAGGCGTACCAATCTTGAGCCTGCGGCTCTTTCCGCCGAGAAAGAACAAGTAGCCCATCTGAAAGACCAACACCTCCGCCGTAGGCCTCCACGAAAACACGTCGATGAAGGCCCTGATGCTTTGAAGAGCATCCAAACAAGATTACAGAATGATCTCATCCCCAAAGTGGCGGATGAATGTATTCCGAGGCGCGATCTAAAATGTTGGGCATTGTCCACTCACCGCTACCGGAGCTTTCTGGGGTAGGCGGAGGTAGTGATCCCAAGCTAGGGGTCATACTTGCAGAGACTGCCGGGGCAAAGGTGCCCGTTGTTGTGGACTGCGCGGGATGATGTGTGGTCTGAGAGAATGCGGTGCTCGTACCGGTCGCACTGCGGGCGTGTTGGGTTCCAAAAGCCGTGAGTAACTTCTGCAAGGCTCGGTGAGTTTTGGCCAACGATTTCGCCCATTGGGTCTGATTGTCTGGATTGACCGTAGCGGGAGACGTAGAGTCTACGGTGGGAAGCGCAGATCCAGTTGCGTTGGTTGCGCCGGTGATGGGATCGTACGTTAACACCCCGGGAGATCTCGAAGGCATCCCACTACTGGAACTAGTCACGTCAGATGTGTCATAAGCGCGCTCATGGCTTGCTCGTTGCGCGATGATTGATTCAAGCTGGCGAAGAAGATTCCAGACTCGTGGTTCCAATTTAGCTTCCTCAACCACGGCGAGCAGAAAAGCGGAGCTGATGGCTCGTTGCAAGGCAATCCACGACCTTGCTGCATGCGAGCTGATATGATACATCTCGACATACGCCTCAACGGTGGTCATGAGATTGGAGACACAATCGCGACGCATGCTTGCCGTGGCAGCACTGTTTGCATCTGCAGTCGGCTTCAGCGATGGTCGACAGAGCTCGGACGAGAAGTAGGAGGAGTGCAATTTCAGCACAACGCGCTCCAGATGCTCTGTTGAATTTGAGCAGTACTGTGCATCTCGAAGGTGTGGCTTTGCCTCAACCATGATTCTTTGAATTCTTTCCTTGTATGCCTGGATGCTCTCATACGTGATCTGAGTGTGAGGACTAAGCATACGTATGCGGACAACCTCTAGCGCCAGTGAAATCACCCGGCACAATGTCTCAAAGTATGAAAGATCACCAGCTGTTGAACCCTCCCGATAAGCAATCTCGGGCTGGCTGACCGCGGTCGTAGAGGGACGATCATAGGACAACGAGAAATGACTGTCCTGCCATGCCATAGACCACCTGCGTGCAAAAGCTAAATCAATCTCTGTCCGGAGTGATGGATAAGACAAGGTATGAAATACTCACCAGACATGCCGACGGCGATATCGCTCGAGCCGTGAGAATCGACTCGACTCGACATGTAAGCCTAGAGCCAAACCCATCCGGAGGGTCATGCCTAGTAAGACATACGATATGCCAGGATTCATGTTGTAAGATAGTACATTTCCAATGACGAGAAGCGTCTGAATTGCCTCAATGGTAGGCTGAGACAGGAAGTTCGTCATTCGCAGACATTGATATGAGCAGCACACTGAGGATTCGTCAACACTGAATGATGAAACACCACGGAGTTCAGATGGCCATACCGTAGACTTGGGACGTCAATTCTCGGTCTTTGCTTCCCAGATCAGATGATTGACAGCCGGAAGCGAGAACGGCGAACAACAAACCAAGAAATGCTATATTGACACCAAAGGGTTTCTGTGCCTCATCGACATTCTCGCGGTAAACGCCACCCGAGGCTGTTCTGTTCTGAAGAAGGAGCTCGAGTGTTTCTTGGAATTGCTCACAATCATCGAGAACAGGATAGATCGCACCGGCGATGTCCTTGTAATAGTAGAAGAATCTGCGATGAAGTGTCAGGGCACAGGTTCCAGTGTAGAAAAATACAGTAGCACAGCAAGGCTTACTCTCGGCATTGTTGATCGCTCGGTAGCGCACTGCATACCGCACTTATGTCAAACGATGACATGTCGGTTGACCAGAGGTCTACAAAAGGGTAGGTCGCCGATTCGTTATCGAGACCTAATTTGGGCAAGATACCGTCCTCCAGAAGTGTTTGTAATTGATCCGATCCAGACTTGTTGTTCAGGATATAGGCAAGAACAGAGCGCGATCCGAGATGAACGGTACCCTTGCCCAGGGTGTTACTTGTATGGATGCCCTCTCGCTCGGGCGATGCAGCTTTGCCGCCAGAGTCTGTATCACCATTTGGAATACTTCCCGCGCCGCCGTCTGTCCCAACATGAGGGGCCTCTTCGGCGCGCTCAAGGCCAACGCGAAGAGAGGAAATGGTGGATTCCATTTCCCGTAGCCGATTCCGGACATTGTCCCATTCCTCCCTTGCAATGGAAATCCTGCCTTCTGGTCGTGTACCATTGTTTCGACTATAAAAATTCGGGCCGACATCCGGTTTGATGGGTGCTTCGCCATCTTCGTAGGCATGGTAGGCTCCTTGCTCAACAGAAGACCCTGCTGAAGCTCCACCGACGGGGCTTTCTTGGAATGCTTGGGTGCGCTTTTTCGAAGGACGTTCATAGGAGCAGAGATCAGCATGGTCTCGCTTCACACAGCCGTCACAAGGGAGATTCCGATCGCATTTGACCTTCCGGGCATGGCATGGATAGCAAGCTTTGGGTTCGCGCGCCTTTCGCTTTGTTCGAATGATTGCATCCACTTGAGATTGCGGTAAATCGGAGACTGATCTGGATGGCACTCCGGACGTGCTTGGTATATCCGACGGCGAGAATGGACTCGCTTGCGTATATGGCGATGCCATTGTTGTTCAGAAATATTCTCTGAACTTGCTCTGCTTTGCTTTTCCGAGGTTGCGGGCCCGTGGGTACTGGCGGAGGCTTTTCGGGTCTGCGACTTCGAGAGAATTTGCGCGAGGGTTGACGGAGGCTGATTGCTAATAAAAGCAGGTTCTCATTGCGACTGTTGTAATACTTCGAAATTTCATATCACATCACCCTCAAGCCGGACGGATAGGTGGGTAAGAATCTAATGAACATCCATCTGCATACGAGTGTGATTGCGCCGTTGCCCCCGGCTCCGCATCCATAAAACACGTGACAGATAACTGATCTGAAGAAGGCGATGCAGAAACTCTACCTTTACGTCACCGATCTGCGCTCTTCTTATGTGATGAATTTTGTACTTCAGATCAGGTCCACCAGGAAGAAGTCGAAAATTTGGAATGAAGCTATTACTTCCACTGTGAGTTGTAAATGAGTCTATCTAGCATTTCTAGTTGGTGAAAATATGCAACTTTTTGAAATCAGGCATTCCATGCAGCAATTTAATGACAACGCCTGCTGGGTTGCAGTGGGGACCAATGGCTAGGACGAACCGCATACACGACCGGTTGAATTATGTCCAAGGTTCAATGTCCACTGCTTCGGCCTGCAGGATAAGCAAATTTGAAACGGCAGATCATACTGGGGATCGCGGTATTTGTGGGCCTATTCTATTAAGCCTTCACACCTTGATTTTCCTCGTCCTCACTGAAAGCAAATCTGGAGAATTTGCGAATCGAAGCACCCTTGAAGTAGAAGACGTAGGGAATAGCGCAGCATGCTAGAGCAAGGAATGCGAGAAGGGAGCTGGCCCACTGATAGCCAAGCCGGGCGTACATTTGCTCCGTGAACAAGACAGTTGAAGCACCCCACATGGATCGAAGGAAGGTCTTGGCTGCCAAGGCCGAAGCCGCTTGGTGTTGGTATGTGTCAACTATTGAAGGCGTCACTCGTTAATAAAAGTTCAAAGACACAATCCTTCCAGTGAAGAACCACTTACCCAAATAGTTGTTTGCAGAATTGTACAAGAAGATGAAGCCAAAGCCAACAGGCAGTCCACCGATTGCAGGACCAAACCAATGAACACGAGGATATGATGTCCAGGCGAAAATGAACAGGCCGACGGGAATCAGCCAGCAGGACCACATCATGGGAATCAAACGCTTTTCGGCAGGTGGCTTTCCACCGCATTGTGCGGAGATCTTCAAATAATTATTGTTGACGAGCGGTGCACAAGCAGCGCTCAGAAGCACACCAATTGCCAGCGGAATGAACATCATACCAGTGCTTGAAGCACTCCAGCCTTTGCCCGCTTGATAGACAATGGGATAGGCGACAAAGAACATGTAAAGAAGGCCATAGAGAACTGACATATAGAGTGCAATGAAAAGCACAATAGGTTCCAGGAAAAGAAGCTGGAATGGGCGGAACAGGAAGATGCGAATCTTTTGACCCAACGGACGCGGATCCAACTCTGTCTCGGTGGTGTACTTAGGATCATTCTGAGACTTCCGGAGCTTCGCCGCCCTCTTCTTCAGCAAGATTGGCGCATATGTCTCGGGGACAGTGAAGGTGATAAGAGCCCAGGCGACGAATGACAAAATCAGCTGTAGCCAGTAGAGCCAACGCCAGCCGCAGGCGTCTCCAAGGAATCCTCCGACCAAAGGACCGATCGCAGGACCGATGAAAGGTGCTGCGCTGAATGCAGCCATGGGGACACCACGTTCTTCATTCTTCCAAAGATCGGCCAGGGTTCCTCCCACGAGGGTCATGGGTGCACTGAAAGCGATGCCATCAATGAGTCGGCAGACGATCAAAGTCGCGATGTTCTGCGCCACGGCGCACGGGATCACGAATATGACAGCCAATAAGAATGTGACGACGTAGACTGGTTTTCGGCCGACCATTTCAGATAAAGGAGCGAAGACCATAGGCCCTGAATAAAATTAGTAGGCTGTCAGAAGAAAGTATGTCGCGGTTGAGTAATGGAACCTTGACTTACCAACTCCAAATCCAATCACAAAAACTGTGACAACGAGGAAACTAACCTCACGACCGACACCCAAGTCTTTCATGGGTCCTTCTAGATCTGCGGTGATGATACTGCTGCAAAGAGCGACCACAAAGCAAGTAAAGGCGACGACCATGGTACAATACCACTTGTAGGCTTTCGACCAATTCTTGGGGTTTTCGGGGTCATCGATCGTGAATGTGACTAATTTCCAATCTTCAAGTCGACCGGTGGCATTTGATTTAATCGGCTTGATGATCTCTCCGGTCCGGGTCTCGCTCACATATTCGCGGAGGTCGGCGCCATCGTTCAGTTCACGGACCGGTAAGTCTAGATAATCGGTTTGTCCTGGCCCGGACCCAATGGAGACAGCAGGGTCTGTTGGTGACAGCGTCGAGTGTGAGGAATTGAATGTGTTCATCATGTGTGTTACACTTGTGGTGCTCGTCAATAGGGACAAGTCCGTGTGGTGGATGGGATGGGATGAACAATAGAGATACTTTGATGTTTCTTGAGACGAACCGAATGCCATGAATGGCAAGCATGGCGGCTTTTATATTCCATGTCTTCGAATTTTCGTCATTGAATACCTCGATTTAGCCATCATTAAAGGAACTTGCGGCAAACGTCCACGGCGAACAGCTTCCGAGGATCATACAGTTCGCTCCCAACTTTATTTTGGTCCCGGGAGGCTCTACCCGTTTAGTGTGGACTTGCCCGAGTCGGATAGCACGCTAGCCATAATTGGAAATATGCCACGCACTCGCCGCCAGTCTAGCCCGAGTGACAACCAGCGTAGCTGGACTTTAATGGGAAGAAGCATGAGATAGTTTGATCCAAAAGTAACTGTCGATTAGTTGGAACCGAAAGTGAGTCTTTGGTGACTCAGACAGTATTGCCTTAATAATATTCGCTATCATTCCCGTCAAGTCCTGCTAGTGCTAGGTCTCGAATTTTACCACTAGCCTGAGTTATCTGTGAGGCGAGACACGTCCGCGAGACAATCGCTCCGAACCCTTCATCAATGGCTATATAACGACGGGGGCGGGCAGAAGCGAGGCTGCAAGGATAGTATGTACCAAAGATCAAGTCATCATGGCGTGAACATCCAAACGCTCAGAAAGCCAAGGATGCCTAGCAGCATATGTATCGCATTAATAGTTTTTCCGCGATCGCAAAGGAGACATATGCCTCGGGGCGTACTGCCTCTTTAAGAAAAGACCATGCACCTTAAAACTTTTACTCGATCAGGAAAGGCAGTACGGCCCTGCTATCTCAGCGCCCGTGATACGACAAGGCAGAATTTGCTACAAGATCTGCCGAGAAATAGCCGCCGTCAAAATCAATGATGAGAGGCAGATTGAGATCCGACAGATCTCGGAAGTTTGAAGATTACGGTTTTTCCTCGCACACAAGAAGCGCTATCCGTATGGCATCGATGGATCTCTCACTCCACAGTAGTCGATCTAGACCGTATGCATGTATCACAACTCAAGGGAACCCTACTGGAGGCGTTGTCCTGGGAGCGAGCACTGATGCTTTCTCGTTCAACCTGGACACAAGAGTGGCAAGACAGTTTTGTTCTTGGCGAATACACAGTACGTATGTAGGTAGTAGGTAACTTATAACTTACTCTTAGTAGTCTACTATCTACTAGTTACTGTTAGTAACTAGTAGTCACAACTTCAGGTTTGCGCCTTACCTAATGCGCTTCCCTACCTATTAACCCTACCTTAGTGTAAGCATCCTCGGGGTACTGTAGACTCTCTCGTTGGAAAAGGTTCGGGCAATGACGTATGTATCGCATGATCAATGCGCATTCGGTTCATGTCATACTTGTCAATAATGATAAGTCCTGTGTTTCAAAGCACTGGCTTTTGATGCACGGGAAACAGTAACCTTTATTGAGGCGGCTCAATTATCGCGCAGGTGCATCTCCACCAAAGCGCGGCTGAATTACCACAATCGGAAATCAAGACGGATTTTGATGGGTGGGCCTTGATGGATGTATGTTGCTCATTTGTTGCTCTCAGTGAACATAATACTGTGCCAATCGTTTAGATCTAAAATTGATTCTGAAAACTTCCGAGTATGGCAACGTCTTGCCCTTTCTTTCTTCATTGAATGATACTGACTATGCCTTGCATTATTCTCTTGTTGCCCTGCAATCCTCACTCGTGGATGGATGATCTTCGCGGTGAACCTTGACTGCCGAAGCCGCTACACAATCACCACGTGACTGGCGATAAGTCTCAGTGCAATGGCTGCGGGCGGGGCAAATCAGTTTTTTTTTCCCGGATAGAAGCTGAGGAGTCATCGCGGGGAATCCACCTCATTCTTTGCTCAAGTTCTCTACTTGAGCGGCATTGTAGCCCTTCTCTTCCTTCATTGAAAGGGAAGCTTGGCGTCTATTGATTCGGTTCTATCCTGCTGGTCTTGCACAATGACTGCTACGGACTCTTATCTTGCCATTCCAGGCTCAGTGGCGTTCTCGCGCTCGCGCGGGAAAGCCATTGCGGAGAGCCTAGAGGTTGCGGATGTCCGCGCGCAATGGATTCATTACGTCCACACTTCGACACCACTGGACCAATCTCAGCGTGCCATTCTCGAGCAATTGCTCAAATATGGCGATATTTCCGACATTTCGCCCGACTTCACCACCGAACAGGGCCAATCTGACACCTACTACGTCTTCCCACGAACCGGAACTATTTCTCCGTGGAGTTCCCAGGCCACAGGCATTGCTCAAGTGTGCGGCCTGCGCCAGTCCGTCAAGCGTATCGAGCGGGGTATGAAGGTTTCCTGCCTCCGAAAGCATGGTCAAGACTATAAGGAAGGATATCTGGACATTCTCCACGATCGCATGACTCAGTCCATCGGCAACGAGGAGCCTGATCTCAAGCTCATGTTCTCGGAGCATGAGCCTCTACCTCTCAAGACCATTGCACTTCGCAATGAAAATAAGTCCCCCAAACAGGTTCTCCAAGAGGCCAACAAGGAGCTCGGTCTTGCCTTGGATGAATCAGAAATTGATTATTTGGCGGAGGCCTACGGTCCCAACGGCGCTATTGCTCGTGACCCGACCGATGTCGAGTTGTTCATGTTTGCTCAGGTCAATTCCGAGCACTGTCGCCACAAGCAGTTCAACGCTTCATGGGTAATTGATGGCAAGCCGATGCCCAACAGCTTGTTTGCCATGATTCGAAACACCCACAAGAAGAACCCGGAATATACTGTCAGTGCGTACAGTGATAATGCTGCAGTACTGGAAGGCGGCCCTGCCGCTTTCTGGGCTCCTGACCCCACCACTGGCGAGTGGACTCACACCAAGGAAGTCGTTCACTTCCTCGCCAAGGTCGAGACTCATAACCACCCTACCGCTGTTTCGCCCTATCCCGGCGCTGCAACTGGATCCGGTGGTGAAATCCGCGATGAAGGTGCAGTGGGCCGAGGGTCTCGCCCCAAGGCTGGTCTTTCTGGCTACTGTGTGTCTGATCTCTTGATTCCTGGGCTGCGCCAACCCTGGGAGCTCGACGTTGGCAAGCCGAACCACATCGCAAGCAGTCTGGACATCATGCTGGAAGCACCTATTGGCAGTGCCGCTTACAATAACGAATTTGGTCGCCCTTGCACAGGCGGCTATTTCCGTACTTTACTCACGGAAATTGACGTCGGTAATGGCGAGAAGGAAATCCGTGGATACCACAAGCCAATCATGATCGCTGGAGGTGTCGGTACTGTTCGTCCTCAGCACGCCTTGAAGAACCCCGATGTCGTCAAGCCTGGCTCGTACCTGGTCGTGCTGGGTGGTCCGGCCATGCTGATTGGGCTCGGCGGTGGTGCTGCGTCCAGTATCACATCTGGTGAAGGATCAGCCGACCTCGACTTTGCTAGTGTTCAGAGAGGCAACGCCGAGGTTCAGCGTCGTGCTCAAGAGGTCATCAATGCCTGTGTCGCCATGGGCAACGACAACCCTATCAAGTTCATTCACGATGTTGGTGCCGGTGGCCTTTCCAACGCCCTACCCGAATTGATTCATGATTCCGGCCTAGGCGCCACTTTTGAATTGCGGGAAGTCGACAGCGCCGACCGCAGCATGAGCCCCATGCAGATTTGGTGCTGCGAAGCTCAGGAGCGATACGTTCTCGCTGTTGGCGAGGAAAGTATTAATAAATTTACAGCCATTGCACAGCGCGAGCGTTGTGGCTTCTCCGTCGTTGGCCGCGGAGGTGGTACCTCCGAGGAAGACAAGCGTCTTATCCTTCTCGACCGCGAGTCCAAGGATTATCCCGCTCCCATTGATCTCCCTCTGTCGGTGCTGTTCGGCAAGCCCCCGCGCATGACGCGGACCGTTGACTCGCGCAAGCTGACTCTTCCCGCTATTGACTCCAGCCTGACTAAGTACCTTCCCTCACTTACCTCAAAAGCTGAGCTGGTCAACGAGGCTGTGAACCGCGTTCTTTCCCTTCCTGCAGTTGGCTCAAAGTCTTTCCTCATCACTATCGGCGATCGTACCGTCGGTGGTCTGACTGCCCGTGATCAAATGGTTGGAAAGTGGCAGACACCAGTTTCGGACGTATCGGTGACAGCAACTTCGCTGCTGCAGGGTGTCAGAACTGGTGAAGCGATGGCGATGGGAGAGAAGCCACTTTTGGCTTTGATCTCACCCGGTGCTTCTGCGCGAATGGCTGTCGCCGAGTCCTTGATGAATATCGCCGCCTCTGACCTGGTAGACCGCCTAAGCCATGTGAAGCTTTCCGCCAATTGGATGTCAGCCAGCAGCCACCCTGGTGAGGGCGCTGCAATCTACGAGGCTGTCGAGGCCATTGGTCTTGACCTGTGTCCCAAGCTCGGCATCAGCATCCCCGTGGGCAAGGACTCCATGTCCATGAAGATGAAGTGGAAGGACGATGCTACCAAGGAGGCCAAGGAAGTGACTGCACCCATGTCCTGTGTGATTTCAGCTTTCGCCCCCGTTGGTGATTACCGCAAGACCTGGACGCCGGCTCTGCGTAGCCTGGAGGATGTGGGCGAATCTGTTCTGATGTTCGTCGATCTTTCATTCGGCCGCAAGACTCTTGGCGGGTCTGCGCTTGCTCAGGTCTTCAACGAGGTTGGAACCGAATGCCCCGATGTTCGCGATGTTGATATTTTCCGCGACTTCTTTGACGCAACTCAACAGCTGCAAGAGGCTGGAATTGTTCTGGCTTATCACGACCGTTCTGACGGAGGGCTTCTGACCACTCTCGCCGAAATGATGTTTGCTGGTCGCTGTGGTGTCGAGATCATGATCGACAACATTTGCTCATCTTTCAATACTCAGGACGTGATCGAGTGCCTCTTCAATGAAGAGCTTGGTGCAGTTTTCCAGGTCCGCAAGGAGCACGAGATCCAGTTCCGTTCTTGTTTCGCAACCTGCGGACCTCCTGCGGGACTGATTCACAAGATCGGACGCGTTTCTGAGAAGCAAAAGCAGAATTTGACCATTTATCACAAGGCCTCGCTGATCTACCGCAACACTCGCGCCAATCTGCAGCAGACTTGGTCGAAGACCTCCTACCACATGCAGAAGATGCGTGACAACCCCGAGTGTGCCGAGCAAGAGTATGAGAACATCCTTGACGATGCCAACCCGGGTCTGTCGTGGAACCCGACCTTCGATCCCAAGGATCGTTGCCTGCCAGTGATGACCAGTCTGTCGCAGTATTCTCCCTTCTCCAATAAGCCTCGTGTTGCCATTCTGCGCGAGCAAGGTGTGAACTCTCAAGCTGAAATGGCTTTCGCCTTTAACACTGCCGGCTTCTCTGCGGTTGACGTCCACATGACCGATCTCATTTCTGGTCGAGTATCCCTGGCCAGCTTTGCAGGTCTGGCTGCCTGTGGTGGCTTCTCTTACGGTGACGTTCTGGGTGCGGGTCAAGGATGGGCCAAATCCGTCTTGCTGCATGAAAAGACTCGCAAGGAGTTCAAGGCCTTCTTTGAGCGTCCTGATACTTTTGCCCTCGGCGTCTGCAATGGTTGTCAATTCTTGTCGCGAGTCAAGGAGCTCATCCCTGGGGCTGGAAACTGGCCTAGCTTCGAGCGAAACACCAGTGAACAATACGAAGGCCGTGTCACCATGGTTCGGATTTCAGACTCTGATCCTTCTCGTCCTAGCGTGTTCTTCCACGGCATGGAAGGCTCCTCTTTCCCGATTGCCGTCGCTCACGGTGAAGGTCGTGCTTCCTTTTCAGGCACTCCTGGCCAGAGTGCTGCCGACTTTGTCCGTGCTGGTCTCGCGCCGGTTCGCTACGTCGACAATGCCACTCTGAAGCCGACCATGCGTTACCCTTATAACCCCAACGGCAGCCCTGAAGGTATTGCCGGCGTGCGTAGCCCTGACGGCCGTGTGTTGGCTATTATGCCTCACCCTGAACGCACTGTCATGAACGGCATCGCCAGCTATCTGCCCCCGAACGCCGCGGAGTGGGGCGAGATTGGACCTTGGGGCCGCATCTTCTTCAGCGCCAGACGCTGGTTTGGTTAGACAGACTTTTGGTCTGATCTTTTTTAGAATTTTCAAATCTTTTCGTGTCTTCAACGTTCTTTTTCTGTTCCCTCCCATGGCGACTTTCTTTGTTGGACTGGAGTGGTAAGGTTTGGATTAGTGATTGTCAGGCTACACATCACATTTTGCATTGAAAAACATTAACATAAAGAGGGAGCAGATATTACTATTAGCCTTACAATTGGGTAAGATCGATGGGCTTTGTACAAATGCTTGCAAATTTAGCAATTGGCAGCAGATATCAAGATCGCGATCTCTCCATCGTATGGGTGCTTCCACGAGTACTTTCGTGGGCGGAAATTTGCCCACAACAACCGGCTATACCTTTGATGGGTAACCACCAAGTCGTCGGCTTCGCAGCGTAAGCAACCCTATGGAATAGGTATGCGGTCAAGCAACGCTCGGTCATTTCGATGGTTCAATCATCTGTTCAAGTCCCAGTCTTTTGGCTTTCGGTCTCCATCAAGCAACCCACGTAGCTAGAGGTATATGCAGTACAGATCTACAGCAATTTGCAATATCGCATTCTGTTTCGAGTGACTACCTGCGGAGTGTTGGTGTTGTGGAAAGGTCCACGGCCTAAATTGGGCTTTGGAAACTTTCATAAAGACATCATGAACTTCATGTCTGTGTTCTCAAGTGGCCCAAGCGCCCTTCTATGTCTGCAGCTATTTAATTTTGTCGATTTCCGTACCTATCTGGAACCACTTCCAGCCCGCAATTAGATCTCGGGGATGAAAGTCTGACGACAAATGTTTCGGAAAGCGGAGCGAACAGGAATGATAATCTAGACGGGCAGGGTAGGTGGCAAGCAAGGGAATTGGTCAATATATCAAGAGGAGGGACTTGAATCGAAGGGTCGAGGAAACTTCATTTCGCAGAAGGGGTATCATTCGCAAAATTGACTGCTGCGCTGTTTAGTATCTACTATCTAGTATGTATGCACCGGCACGAATACACCATGTACAGTGCTGACTCCTGAGAGAACCTGGATGCTTATCACGTTGGAGAATCTCACCTCACTCCACGGACATGCCGTCATCCAAGGCGTCATAGAAGCGCGCATCTTGATTCCACAGGACCGCTTCCGCAATCGCATCCTCCCCTTCATACTGACTATCCTCCGTCTCCTCGACCCCTTGCGAGAAAAGCTCCCCTGCCAGAAGCCTCGTCGCCATCTTCTGGTTAATCCGCAGACAAGCAACCATCTCATTGGTGATTGTGCGAAACGAACCCGTGGAAACGGCCTTCAACTGACAGAGGGCATCGCCAAAAGCATGGAACGGGAAGAGCGAATTGCGAGATTGGTGATAGCAGCGTGATGCAAGGAGACTGCGCCATTCGTGAGGACTGTTGCGCCAGGTATGCGCCAGCGGGTGAGATCCGATCTCGGGGGGAGCGAGAGCTCGCGCAGCATCGGCGGTCTTACGAAGGCGGGTGGTGTAGGACTCGTTGTTCTTGAGCTCGATCCATTTCTTGCGTAACGTTTCGATGGATTGAGAGACTTGGTGGAGGATGTGGTCAAGTTCGCCGTGGCCGCCGGATTCCTGGTCGATTTTGGCCGCGGTTTGCGCTTCCGTCCATGGACGGGTGAGGTCCTTGTCGGGATTGTGAAGGGACTCGGTCTCGGGAAACCTGCGCTCTAGTTCGGTGAGTATATCGCGGCGCTCTTTCACCACGACGTGGAATTTGAGATAGTCGATGATATTGGTCATTTTGGGCTTTTGGTCCTGGTTGCGATAGGCAGGGGGTGCGCGGCCGCCGGGACTGATCTTTTGCCGAAGGGCTTGCCAGGCAGGTTCGGAGAGATGGACGCCGCCTTTGCGACCGTCGACTAGATGACCCAAGAGACAGGCGAGTTCCTTGGCCTCGGGACAGTCGAGGGACTTGTGATACGCGATCCGTTCGTGCTCGAGGGTACATCGTCCGAGATTCGACACTGTCAGGTTGAATTCAAAGGCGCCTTGTAGAAAGTCGTCTGTGGAATGAACTTGGGACATGGGTTTGGAATATCTTGTCAGACCAAAATGCTCGACCGGCAAGGATTCAGTCGGCTTGGGAGAGTTTCGAAACTCTTCCACGATGCGTGGATCCCAGCAAATCCAGGGTGTATCACCGTCGTAATCGCCTCCCGAGAGCATATCCGCGAGGGGCTGGCAGCCTGTCGTGGGAAAGACAATCACGTCTTTGAAGTGTCGTAATTCACTCTTCCACACTGCACGGCGACGCTGAATATCAGACGGAAGGTGAGCTGGGAGTCGGCCAACGAGGACATCCATTCCTTCCAATAGATTGTCCTCGAAATTGCCATTGGGATCTTTCCAATTTTTGGAGAAGCCGAAATGAACCTCGTCTTCCTCCAGCACACCATATGGATCGGCAATGCAAAAGGCATAAGTTGAGAGAGGAACCTGAATATGAAGATCCTCGATGTAGTGGTTTAGAAGCTCATTCAGAAAATACCGAATTCTCTTGCGAAGCGGGTGGAAACTCTGCGGGGAAAATCCCGCCTCGCAAAGATGCATAATGAATTCAGCATCATTGGCCACCCATTGATCCAGTTGGCGACTCCTGTTGGCAAGATTGGCCCCGGAAGGTTTAAGCTCCTGCAGGAGCGCACGACAAGCGACGTTGCTGTTTCGCTCGAGAACCTCGGCGAGCTTTTCAAAAGGATCGCGAATGCTGTTCCGAGTCAATTCGGCAATGTAGTCGCGACAACTGGACCCATGGGCTAGAATGATCAAGAGCTGGATGTTCAGGTTGACCGGATTGAGCGGTTTTGACCACTTGACAACTTCGAATATGAGTTTTTCCGGATCGAAATCCTCGTCCCAGTCTTGTGGGTGCGGGTAGATCTTTAGTTGAGTGTCTGATATTTGAATCCAAATATGGTTTGCGCACCCGGTATCATCTTGACAAAAGCTTTGAATCGAGGATTGATATCGGTCCACCATCCACAAGCCCTTGGCGCCGGCAATACGACCCTGGAAAGCGCTCGGCGTAGGCCCAGTAATACCAAGCTTATCGCAAATAGCATTTGCTAAGCCCCTCGACATCAGCGCGCATCCATCATTCATTTGAAGTTCTCGAGAAGGATCGTCCCTCAAGCGAACCACTTGGGAAGGCCGAAGAGCCACAGACGCATAGGTTTTCGACAACCCGAGAGAAAGACGCTGGAAAAGCTTGCAGTTACTCTGATTTCCGTTCTCCGCTGTGGGCATATGCCACTCGAGTAGATCTTCCACACTCATCGGAGTATGCGCATCGCTCATCTGATTCGGAGGTGCGACTCCATGCGGCATGCACCGCGGACTGGGGAGAAAATCAGTGCCGTCTATAGCAAAGAGTTCGATATGAAAGTAAGGGTCTTTTCGCTCTTTTGACTTCCCCTTTCCCTGCTCCACGAAAAAGGGCCGCCATGTCCTTCCGAGACACTGGTGGTCATGCCGCGTGAGCCAGTAAGCGATACTCTCCCGAAGGACGGATGGGTGATCCAAGAACCGAAGATGCTTCGGTGGACGAGCCGGAGCCGGTAACGTGAGGGTCATGAATCGATCTGAGCCGAACCTTCTGTGGAAACGGCAGGTCTTGTCTGTCTTCAAAGGCATCAGATTCAATTTCAGAATGCCGGGCTCGGCCGGGGAGCACCATTCCAGTTTCCCGGACATGATCACCACTTCTGAGGCCTTCTCGGTCTTGAAGGTGCCCACAGCCGCGTCCCATGCTTTCGCAGGTGATCGCTCTGGTACATCACGTCCACAGCGCTGGCTATGGCTGGTTCGGATCCAGTTCCAGAATGAATCCTGAGACGCAAATGGGACCTGATCGGTCATGTAGATCTTGGAGAGAGGGACATCCCAGGCGCGTCCAATGCGCTCCAGCTCGTATCGAAATCGCAAAGGGATCTTTTCACTGAGAGTCTGTCTGTACGAGAAAGGTCCGTATTCCCGTAGACTGTCGACGAGCTTGTTGAAAATGAGGCCTCTTTCATCTACTTCGGTCCCATCCGTCATTCGTTGGTCGGGCATTTCCACACCCATGGATCGCTCCATCCAGTCAACCACCGAATCGGTGTATGTTGTTTGTGTCGTGTAGAGCTCAGTGACATCCGTCGTGGTGGTATCGAAAGACCGGTCAAGGCGAGAAGTGAAAACCGATGAGGCCGTGGTTGTCGTCGTCGTCATAAAACTCGTTGTCAAGTCTTCCGGTGCGGCGGCAGAGGTGACTTGCTCGTCGCTCTTCATCGGATCCCCACGAGGCGCCGACTGAGCAGCCGTCAATCGCTCCACAAAGCTAGAAGGTGGTCTCATCGCGGTCCATTCTCCCCTGATGTCTTCTCCTTCAGGAAGGTCTTCGTCACTCGCGTCATCACGAAACGTCAGTCCTAATCTCGCCAAATCCAGACCAGGCGATCGCACAGGTCCCGGAGTAGCTTTTGTGGGCGAATTCGGCGCCGTGTGGAACTCGTCATCTCCATCATCGCCCGCTGTCAGGGTCTGTATCAAGCGTCGCTTCTTGGGCGACACAGACTGATCGGACCGATCTGTGCAACTCTCCGACGCACGTTTCTCTCTTACAGTCCCGCCCTCGAGCAGCCAGATCTCATCCTCAATCAACTCGAGCAAATACTGCAGCCGTTTCTCCCTTTCGGCATCATCCAAAAGCAGGGACTCTTCACTGCATTGACGTCTAAACCGAGCATACGGCGCCGCAGACCCGGGCCTCGTCGGTCTTTCTCGACCTTCAAGCCACTCCGCGAAACCGTGGACTAAACGTTCGAGTTCCGCCCGGCTCTGGTAGAATAGTCTCTTTGTGCCCTTGTAGACCCGCCATCTGAGCGAGTTTTGCGCGGCCAGTGCCAAGGGGGAGGATAGTTTGGGATTGGGGATCTCCAGACCATACACACGGTTCAGATGATCGATGAAGTTGCCCACACTTGGACGGGAGTATTGCGGGGTGATTGGCATTTCCTCTCGGTTGCGCCCCAACATGGACGCAGAGACGGACAAGATGTGTGTTTGTTGTCTGGGTGTCTGTGTCTGCGCCCTGCGTCGGTGTAACTTGTACAACCTATCCCCTTGAGGACACAGAACTGCCGCGCAATGGGCGAGTCAATCGACCGGAACAGATTTTCCAGGAACCGTGAAAGATCTCTCCTAGTCAGCCAGTGTTCAATCTAATAAAAGAAAGCCGAAGTGGTCTCCCAGACAGACTACAGTGTGCACGTCAACATTGCCCTGGGGTTGCACGAGGACGAAAGCGTCTGTTCAAGGTGGGGGACCACAACAAATATTTACTTTCGGAGCTCAGGCGTCTAAACTTGGACTTGAGACTAGAAGACGGGCGTCGCAGATGTCTCCCCATGACAGCCCGTTGATAAGTTGCCCGCTCGAATGTCAAAGTGGAGACAGCAAACAATCGTGAGCGTTGGCGGCAAAAAAGCAAAGAGAGATGCTCCGACGCTCGAGACTACTCAGGACTCACTGGCCCCCTTTGAATATGCCCCGCATGCAGGGGGGGGGGGGGGTGGTTCTCTCTCGGCCTGGTCGAAGGGATTAAAAAGTGCTCCGGTCGAATGATCCTTCATCAACTTCGCAGTTGGCGCATGCAAAGGTACTGCGCTTCAGCCGATGAACTTGACGATGGCTGGGATAAGCGCCCGCAGCATATCCACCTGGCGTGGATTGACGCCTTCAGATAGGGCACGCAAGACAAAGAAATGAGCAACTACACACTACACACTACACGGGCCACAGTGACACGCACTTGACAAAAGCCACACGGAGAAAGATGTTATCCTATTTAGTACAAGGCAAACATCTGCGATAAGTTAGGTGTCTTCCAGATCGTCTCGTTCCCTGCCTGTCCCATCGAGAAGTACAGTGTTTCATGCTGTGACCAGGGCCCTACATTCGCTGTCAATTCCAAAGTGTTGAGGGTGAACACGACTTCATCCACGAATCAAGACAACTTAACAGACATAAGCGTGTTGTGGCTGAAAATCTGCAAAGCTACCGTATGCTAGAAGTAAAAAATACAAACTTTGAACTCCTGTCCGCTTGGCTATGAGCCTTCCAGTCACGCTCCACAAACTGTCCGTCCATCATAACGATGCCATGTGCGCCTTAGGCGAGGGGCTGTAGTTCATTTTCGGGTGTGGTCGGAATCTGTCTATCGGACCAAAAATCAGCGTCCCTGGGGTTAATATGCTTGCTCTGAAGTATAATGCGATGACCGAGATACAGAGTCACATAGACAGGAATCCCGACATATGAGGCCAGGAACTTGGTCACGTCAAAGTGAATCTTATGATCACGAATCGGAAGCGAATTGAAGATCATGGTCGACGAGATAAAGACGCAGAGCGCCAAGGCCAGCCATGTGCCTGCAAGTCCAAACCGTGCCCGGAACACAAGTATGCGGTCGGGGATACCCTGTACCTTCCGCGCACGCACAAAGCAGATGTGAGTGATGAGGATCGAGATCCAGGTCAAAAGACCGAGCATCGTGACAAGATCAACCAGGTACCCGAACACGACACTTGAATCACTAGAAACATTGACGTAGGCCCAGCTAGCGACCATGACCGAAACAGCCAGTGCGTAGACCGGCACGCCATTCCGATTGACTCGGGACAAGACCATCGGAGCTCGCTTGCGAAGCGCCAGGTCGGACAGTGCCGCGGTAGCCAGGAAGAGATCGTACGCTGCAATCGACAAGACGAAAAGCAGTAAGCATCCATTCAGTATATGAGGAAGGACAGCAATTCCTGCGACGATCAACGCGGCCACGAATGGAGACGCGGCCAGTTTCCCCGCAGTGCTTCGGAAAACAAATGAGCTCACGGTGCGGTAAGGCAGAATCAACCCCAGAAGAGTGATCCCGACAAGGTGAAAAACAACGATGCGGTAAAAGGTATATTTGATAGCCCGATTCATGGCCTGGGGAACATTCGGGGAGCGAGCCAATATACCAGATCGTTCGCTGCCAATGTACGCAAAGGTGGCGGACGACAAAGCTCCACAAGTCCGGAAGAAGACTCCGATCCCATCTTTGGATCGCACAGCGACCCCTGGTTGAAATCGATATTGAAAGCCCATAGTGCGATGGTTGGGTCGCACCCCGAGCACGAGCACCAAAGACAGGATCATCAGACCGCTCATCACAATGAGTTTGATTGTTGACACGTAAAATTCGATTTTGCTTGGCAGGGTGTGCCGGATATAGTTGATAGCCGTGATTAGGACGAGAAAAATGGTGATCCATATGCCAGGATTGATGTCGTGGGGACTCAGCCAAAGGGCCATCACAAGTGTGGCAGCCGTCAACTGATTCGCAGTGATGACAGCATATTTCATCCAATATCTGGAACAGTGTATGAGCGAATGCACACCTCCTTCATGGTACTACATCGACAGTCCACTTACATCCAACCGAGAGCGAAGCCGAGCGCTGGGTCACAAAATCGAAATGCCTGGTCCGCTACGGTCGATGGTTGTGGTATCCACGCGGCGACTTCACCGAGGGCAGAAAGGACAAGATAAACGGTGAACCCGACCAATGCGTATGAAACCATGATTGCCGTAGGCTAAGTTGGACATTGTCAGCGAGACGCCGTCATCGAACACATTTTGTTAGATCAAGAGTGTTGGACTCACTCCGCCCCTAAGGAGAAGATCAGTAATTGCAGCATAGACGCAGTCGAAAGAAGGCCTACACTGCCAAAGTCCGTCCACTGCCAATCATCAAGCCCGTTCCGATTGCAGATCCCATGCCTGTATGCCCATACTGAGCCCAATTTTTTTTGAGGACAGTTGCAAGCATTGCGCACTTACTGATGACACCCGCCTTCCATGGAGACAGTGAACCGTAGATCCTGGCGAAACCTTCGCGCTTCTCATCGGGTTGTTCCTGCTGATGAACCGAGTTCAATTCTGCATGGCTACCGGCCACTTCTCTGGGAGCTGCGTGCTCCTGCGAAGAATGATGGCGTCGCCTCGCGTGCTGGGCGGGATCCATTATGCTCGGTCTGCTTCGAGTCGGTCAGCAATGCAGAAAAAGCACAAGTCAAGAGTTGGTGGTTGGTTTGTCAACCGATTCAAATGAGAGGGAGAGAGCGGAGCGGAGGTCTTAGTATGCTCGCGGAAGGAGCGGCGGATCATACGGAAGGTGCCGACTCGTGGTGCGACTCCAAAAGCAAGTGGAGAGAATCAATCGATATTTCTTCTTGTCTTCTATATGCAGATGTGGGGGTGGGGGGACTCCGCTCCGTAGAGACGGGCCAAGCTCAAGTTGCGTGAAACAATGCGTGTAAAATGAAATAACGGCCAATAAAATAGATCATTTCCGGACAAGTGCCAGCAGCTTCAAAACCACAGCTCGCGCGAGGCTGGGCGGTCTACCGTTGAACTCGAGGGAGAGTGATTCATGTCCGTGCCAAATCATCAGTTCAGGTCCAAGAGGGGTTGATGGACCACGATGCTCAAGGGTCGCCGGCCTGATAGCGAATCCAAACGCCGAAGAATGAACACCAACAGGGAGCCAGCCCCTTATCCCGACTCTGTTCCTCTCGATTGTCGGGCTCGTAGTGGTAGGGAAAATGCCTCGTGGAAAAAGTTTCAAGTCGTTAAAGCAGTGGGAAAAAAATAAAAATAAAGATAAGGTGCAAGAACCGAATTCGAAGTCTCCGTAGAGAAATAACGTGCAAATTCATTCTTCCCAGTGGTGGAGTTGAGATTAGCGTGACATGAGCGAGTCGCTGGATTCGGTGCGAGGAAAGATGCGAGCGTAAAGGGAATCGCTGGACTCGGTTCGAGGGAAGTGGCGCTGATGCTTGCGAGAGACAATGCGATCCGTGTAGACACCCTTGGCGGTTCCGCGCACAACCGACTCCAGATATTGACGGAAGTCGCATGGCTTGAAATCGGGGTAGAGCTCCGGAGTCAGATAGTAGCCGAGGTAGCGAGCGTACTCGGGATCATTGTCGCCGCGAATACCCCAGGAGTATTGATACTCGGCCAGGTAACGAGGAACAAACTTGATCGGGTCGAATGGGTACGTCTCGCTTGCCTGTCGGGCCGCGAGGACACGGCTACAGATGGTTTCTTCGGAGACCTGTAGGTTGGCGAAAGGTCATGTCAGTACTCGCATGTAAAGCATGCAGAGAATGGAAAACAGAAAAGGACCAATGACGGATCGAGACGAGGCATCACGTACATAATTGCGATCGATTTTCTCCTCGCTGACTTCCTCCATCAGATTGTAGATCTCATTTTGAGTCGAGACCTGGTTGTAGGCGAGAATCTTCTTGTTCAGAGTGCGAGGGTCCTTGATGATAAGAGCCATGTAATGGCCAATATCGCGCAGGTCGGTCAACGCGGTGGGTTTATTGCCATTGCCGATGATCTCATCGTTACCAGAGGTCATAGCATAGTCAACGCGGCCGGAGGGCAGACGCGGGTAGGAGAGCTGATACCACCAGCCGACATCCACGATTGTGTAAGGAAGCCACAGCTGGCGAATCTGGTTGTAGACAATTTCTTTCTGCGAGAACCAAAAAAATCGTGATTAGCCGGGCGCCCCAGAGAGATACTGGTGGACTGGTCGAAAACGACATCGAGGAGATACGAAAAGGAAAACCACCGGGAGAAAAAAAAAAAAAAAAAAAGAAAGAAAAAGAAAAAAAAGGAAGAAGCAGGAGAAGTAGACACATACCTCATCGCGCAGCCACATGACTCCACCCGGCGGAGCGACAGTAATGAAACCACAGGGAATGAACCGCTTCACGCCACACTTCTTTGCAGCTTTTGCAAGGGGAATCTGATCCTGCTGCTCGGCGGGGCCGACGCAGCTAATGACGACATCGATTTCGGCGAGTAACTCAATCAGCTGCTCTTCGGGCTGCTTCAGGTCACCTTTGCGGATGTGAATGCCTCGTTCTTGCAATTTGATGACGGCGGGCTTGTGTACGGAAGCGGGACGGACAAGGGCGTGAACTTCCTGTGATGCGAATGAAGAGTCCACGTTTAGTTCCGGTCGAGCCAACTTTCACCGAAGACATCCATCAACGGCGACAAGCGAGGGAATGAAACGAAAGGCGGGGAGGTGAGGGAGGGACCGAGTGGATGAGAGGAAGATGGATCAAGGTGAGAGAAGGGTCCATGGAAAGACAGATGCGGATGAAGGGTCGAGACGAGCATCGGGGAGCACATACGAAGGAGCCATCTTGAACCAGACCGTTGGCGATTGAACCGCCCGTTTCACCAGCGGCGCCCACCAACAGAACTTGAGTCTTTTCCATGCTGGATGGTCGTATCAAAGTGATCGGGAGAGATGAGTGGACTGCGAGTCGAATGGATAGGCAGGGTAGTGTAGCAGACAGCGTGAGGGTTGAAGCGGAATGGAGGGGAGGAGAGTGGAAACGGAAGAAAACAGAGCAGAACGGACAGCGGCTGGGAAGAGAAATAGAGTATTTGAGACCGGGGGGGGGGGGGGACGGATTATTGCAACAGAACCACCGCTGACGACGTTGTAAGTTCCCAATTTCTCACTGTCTCCCGAATCCACCGCTGTCCACCCATGGGCATTGCTACCCACTTTGGCTCTTTCCTGTGGACATGCACGGTGGGTCGTCAGAGTGGATGAGTGTTCCCCCTCGTTTGGAATGGAGGGGATCATAATTTTTCTCCTGGGTGTTCCCGCACTCTCTTTCTCTCGTTGTCTGCCGTCCTTCATCAGTCCTCGTGGAGTAGTACCGTACAGGAGCGTGGTGGACTCGATGACTGGAGTAGATGCACACTCCAGTGGTGCCCGAGTGGAGAGACGACGAACGTCATGGTTCTCGGATTCTCTGATTCTGGGACTTGCACACCCAACCTATTCCCTTTCTTTTCCTTGAGCACAATCACTCTATATGTAAATATATCATACATCTGATCAACGGTCAGTTGTACGGGCCTACAACGGCTCATGCAATTCTCTGCCTTCCAGGTCTCTACGGCTGAGATACTCTTTCGATTAAGGTTCCGGTGGTCTCGAACGGCTTCAGCTCGTTCGGCAAAGCGGTCACCCTGCGACATGAAGTGAAACCTCAATCTCGTACGGGCCGGTGGTTCGGGATAAAGGCCTGAGGTATCTGGCCTTCCATTTTACGTCATCTCCAGTCTGCCAGGAGCCGGGGACAGGGACACTGTTGGAATCCCATGTGTGAGCCGTGAAAGCCCGGAAAGCCTTGACGGAGCAGGTCGACCTCGCGTGAACTGAAGGCCTCCATCAGAGGGCGTTTTGTAGTCTCTGTCTTTGTCGAGGGATCTTGCCTTTTTCCTGCAGAGCAGATGGGATCGACAATTTGCAGGCTTCGTCCAGATCACGGGACCGGACACAAAGAAAACTGCAGTGGCCATGGATGATTCAGTCCCTCGTCAGAACAGTCAGATTGGCAGAGACTGAGAGCGATTTGATTGAACGTCGGGTTCCAAGGATGTGCGGTGAATGAGCTACGGCCTCCGCGAGAGCTTTGATGCCGATAACCCCTGACCGTGGGCCGTGCCGTACAGATGGGCTGCAGACAGGGAGGAATCAGAGGAAGGGTCGACCACAAATTGGAGGGGGGATTACCATCACTACAGTGCTTGGGGCAAGAATCACCGTCACTTATGTTACTCAATAGTCCATACTATTAGTAGTACTCTTACATCGGCGTTGGTGAGATATAATGTATTCGACATTATCAGCTGTCACTGTCAGTACAGTCGTAAGTCCCTAAGTACTCAACTATGTACTGTGCACTTGTGTGGTAGCATCATGTATGTACCTTGGAGATCAGTCACTCCGGCCGATCTGGTGCACATTTACTGAGAGGCCATGACGGTACACAAGTTACTACATGGCAGTACTTCGGTAGTCTCTGACTACCGAAGTCTCCTGCTTGTAATAGTACTGCTGGAGGTACTTGGAGGGCGTATCGTCGATCCCGCCCATAAGACCTCGACCCGACGGATAAGATAACTTCATTCTTCGATCATCGTTGGCGTCAAGGGCACCAAGGCACCAAGGCACAGATAACAACGGATGACAATTCAGCCAGAATCGGAGGTCAAGGCGCGCGACCGTCGGAGCAGACTATGAAGTAGTCTCATACTAAGCAGTCTTGGACCCAAAAGCCAAGGACATTCTGCAGTCTGCACTTGTCCACGTCCGAACAACCACCTCTCCCGAGCAAATCCCCGGCGACCAGCAACGGACGGGATCGCGATGCGCGCACGGTTGTGGAAATTGCGCCCACAATGGTTGCCCACTTCGGGTCCCCCATGCGCTCATTGGCGGGTCTCCTGTGAATCAAACCGGAGACATGCTTCTCCCACGGTCAACCGCACTCCGGACGCCCCTCTCTGCCTCGGGGAGAGGAGAGTGGCAGGCCTTGGGGAAGACAGAGAGATGAGAAAATGAAGATTGGAGCCATCTGTCCAGGGGAAGGGGGGGGGGGGGCCTGATGCCCTTTTTCTGTTGCTTGCCTTCTTGTTCTCGGATCACGGCGGGGGTGATAGAGCAGAGAGAAACAACAAGCCAGGCATTCGGGACCTTGACCAAGGACCTCCGATCAACAAATCGAGTGGTCCAAGGACCACCCCCATGTCAACCCAGGTTCAAGGGCCTGCGAACACTGAAGACCAGTTCCACGTCGGAATAACTGCTCTTCTTGGAAGCTCATCAACCTGTTGTCGGCCTTGACATTTACTCGGCAAGGTTGCGCCTCCCGCCACAACCGACAACCGTCTCCGGGGGGCAGACGGGAGATCGATCTCTGGGCGTTCAAGCACGCATCGCATGGCATGGCATGGCATGGTAGCCACCCCCGATGGCTTCAATATAGTGGCGGAGTGGTACTCCATGGTCCATACATGATACAAGTACATGCGTACATTTCACGTACTACTAAACTGAAAATACTCTCAGTCTCTCAATGTCTCAGTAGTCCGTCCTGTGCACTTGTACTCGGTAGTCGGGACTGCACTCTTGAGATCGCAGCCTCACTTTGAGCACGCTTTGCATGTTCCGCCCACAAACAGTCGCGAGTTCGGTCCAGTGTCCAGTGTCCACAGGTTGTACAGTTCCAACTGGTCGTAGGTCCACCGTGCAAGACCACACATCTCTTCAGATCTCCACCTGCTAACCGGATTGCTCATACTCCATCATTTGTCCCGGATTTCCCATCTCCTGCATACCACAACCGCCCCCCCCCCCCCCTCCTATTCCCCTCCTCTGCGCTTCTCTTCCCCCAGAAACCAAAATTCTGAGGTGTTTAGTGGGGTACAATGCAACATGATCGATCTGTGGTGCTTGGTGAGTCGGGTCGTCACTGAACTAGTGGACCAAAGGGTTAGAAGCACGCTGAATGAAGAAAGCAACCCGGCGATCTCAGCAATCGGCCTGTCTTGGAGATGTCATGCTGCAGCAGAGCGAGAAGAAGCACGAGATGGTCAATTCGCCCCGACAGTAGATCTTGACTTTGCAAGACTACTGACTCACTGAGTACCTAGACCTACTATGCCACTATGCCATGCAGGACGCACTGTAGTCAGTGTAGTGCGATTGAGGACGTGCAAAAGAAAGCTCTCTCTGTTCGTTGTCCCGGCATTACGGGCGCGTTGAAAAAAAAAAAAAAAAAAAAAAAAAAGGGATAAGAGCGGCTTATCTCCAGTCTTCTGCTGATAGCATGTGCCCATCCAATGCCCTTGGAAGGCCGTCCTCGATGTTCTTCCGTTCCTCTCATCAAAGTCACATGCAACAATAGATCGCGGGGCTACCTGTCGGGGCTCGGGACTATCGAGTGGCGGCGCATGCTGCAAGAGAGCTGCGGACCAGAGGAGACCAGAGGAAAATCAATGCCTGCAATACCGTGCGTCCAGGTAGGTTAGGCAACATTTTCCAATCGAACCGCCTTTACCTACCAGGCTCTACCCCTTCCAGCTTACGAATCCGGGCATCGTGGTGAGGATCAGTCACCAGGTTCAATGTCTCCATTCCAGGCGAACTGCCACGAGAGTATGTACTATGGATTAACTTGAGGGGTTGAGGATGCCCACACACCTGTCAGCACGACATCCAGCCGGGGAATGCATGATCGGCGTCTGCACGTCTGTGCTCGGTTCATCAGAAGGTGAGACTGAAATTCAGACGGGGAACGTATCTGCAACGTTGCAAAATGCAAGGTGATCTACAGTCGTAATGTAGCACTGTCCAAAGTTGGGAGGACTTTCCCGGCTGCATTCCTTAATTTCTCTGGCAGGTGGTCGTTTCTTCTCGTCACGTTACGTGATGATCATGAGGGGTTCAACTTTCGTGTACGTATAGATTGTGTGCTATTGATTAATTTTTCTACAGTCAAACGGGTAAGTAATGATCTTCACACTAAAGATTTAAATAGCGCAAAAAGAAAAGTGGAAAAGAAACCAGAAAGAAAGAGGGAAGCAGAAATAAAAGATCAAATGAAAAGTCATGTTACAAAAGCCCTACTCGAATTGGAGTGCAAGTTTTGTCGATACTGCCAAGTGCCAACAAGGACTCCAGTCATAATGATATGAGATGAACATCTTCAGCCCGGTAGACATCTTTCCTGATATTCCGACGCAAATTATCCATAATTTCATTGTACCTTGTCCCCCCCCTTCCTAACCTCCCGGACTTCCTCTTTTTTCTCCAATCTCAAGATTTGACCCTCAACGTCTCACTTCGATACCCTTCACAATCTACCCAACGAGACAGCTGACAGCTTGTTGGAAGCTGCACAAGTATAAATTTCACAGAAATTGATCATCACTGACCACCTCTACAGTATCGAAGATAGCATCGCTTCAGTTCAATTTCCGAAAAGAGGAAACAATCAGCCGATTCCATCCTGTCCAACAAGCAGTATGCCATCCATCCATGGATGAATGTCCATGAACAGGTTATCAATAGAATGATCACTTACGTCTCGACATTCGCGACCAGCGCCGCGTTCCCAGCATCTCTGCAGATTTTCCGTTACTGATTAGCTCATTCTCGTCATATACGGGGGCAACATGCGAGGAAAGAAGAGAGAATGATGGCAGATGCAAATGATTTCGTCCGTACCTCGAGACATCTTCCATATCCGCGTTCGCAACGAGCCACTTCTAGTGGAACGACGGGATCCAAGAGCGGATCGACAATCCCAGGGTTATTCACCTGCTCCATGGCTGGGGTGGGAGATGCCATCGCCAGCGTGGCGAAGAGGAGAGCTACGATGGTGAATGCATTCATGGTGTCTTGTAGTTGATGGAACTTGGAAAGGGCTTTGAAGTGATCAGATGGATTGGTCGATACGATGTGTTGACTTTAAGTGGACTGGAAGTCAACTGTGGAGAAAAGCAGCTCAGAGTCCCAGGGCTTATATGGATATTGGGGTTGAAAGCCTGGCGTGGATGCGGACTTCAAGTCTACATTTATACCTTTGTAGCTAGCAGAGAGGATGGAGGGGCTGTGCAACATTCTCAGCGTATTGTGCGCCTTCCAAGAACATAATTCACTCTTGAATTTGCACATCCATGTTCTTCAATTCGATAGTCAATCCGAAAGAGCCGTATAGTTCTACAATCCCAAGACAAGGCCCCAATCAGCCGTTGTCCGAATATACCATGTTAGGTTTCAGTCACGGTTGCACCATTCCCGCGCGCCGGTTGCCCCGAGTCGCTTGCTTTTGCAGAAGGTTCTCCAAATACAGGAGGGAATGGATCCTTTAGCTCAAGGGCTATTGTTGACTGAGAAGCTTCGGATCATCTTTTTGCGGCTTGGAGAGAACAGGGTTCACCATACGGGAATACGGATGCTCTTCTGTTTTGTCAAACCCAAGCATCATAGTAAGCCTACTTCTTCCGAATACTTCTTGTACGACCTTGGATTGTCATCAATTGAAAAGGTGGCCCAATCAATTCAAAGAACTACCTTTAACTAGGCTTCGAGAGTTTGCATGGTCATGCATGTCAAACGCATATTCAGACCGATTTCCCCACGGGGTAAAATCAACAAAGAGACATTGTGATCCACCAGGGATATCACAAGGCATGAGCCCCCACAGAGAAAATCGTGAAAGACAAATAGCGACGAAACACAAAGCTAGCGAAATTTGTCTTCTGCCTGCTCTCATCATCCACCAGGGATGTAACACAAGTTAGAAGACACGCAAATGTGGATATCATAGAGAGTAAAAAATAACATCATGTAAGTCAGCAAGTGACAAAAAACAAAGACCCTTCTCCCCGTTAAGAAACGCCCCGGTCCAATGTAACGGTCTCCTTCAGATACCAACCGGGCTCTGCAATGCCTTTTCAGCCAGATAGGCCACCTCGACAGGGGTGAGGCGCTTCAGTTGTCGAGTATCCTTCAGCTCGCCTCGACAGTAGAGACGGACCGTGATGGTGTCCTTGGCCTTTTGCTTGCGGAGGACCATCTCACGATACTTGCGTCGCTCATCCGTGATGATGGCCCACTCTGCGCGAATCTTGTTGAGATGCTTTTGGCGCATGGTCACATTCCCCTTCCAGAGCAGGGCGGCGTGCGGCATCTCGGAATTCTCGTCGCCGGGCCAGGCGGTGTGGTTGCATCCATAGGGCCAGGTGTTGTTCTGGTCGATAGGCTTTCCCTGATCGATATCGTGGAGTCTCCACTTCCAGTGGCGAAGTTGCTGCATGTCATCTGCATCACGGCAGAAGTTGAGGATACCACGGCCGCTGAAATGGTGCTGACGGATGTGGAAGTCAGTCTGGTAGTGAGCAAAGAGAAGAGCCACCTCGGGATCGATGTCCTTGGTCTCATCGAGGAGGCGGTTGAGGGCTTGCTCCACATGCTGATAGTACTGCTCGCGCATCTCGTGGGTGATCATCTCCCAGTACCATGAGTGAAACAGACGCGCAGTGGTCTCGCCGATGGCGATACCCTTGTCGTTGGGGTCGTTGGTGCGGAAGAAGGGTGGGTAGTGGCTGGTGATGTAGTGGCCATTTTTGATATCACCTGCCATGGAGGCGAAGGTGGGCGAGGGCCGGCAGAGCTTGCATTCCAGGGCCTCCTTCAGACCTTGAATCTGTCGATGAATCAGCACTGATCCATGAAGTTGTCCCACATTCCGCTGAGCCAGTTACACTCCAGTCCACACGACATACCAGTTTTTGAATCACTTCTCCGGTGTCCGAGCCCTTCAAGTTCTGCATCTCGGTCATCTTGGCGGTGGTGGAAACGATGAGACTGTTATCAAGCTAATTGGTGTTCACTATGGTGACTCTGAAGATTTTTGGAAAATTTGTAAAATTTGGGGAAGAGCAATGGCAGCATGTCTTTAAATAGTTTTCCAATGTGTGCTTTCACGATGAATGCAAAGCAATCGAGAGCGCGACAGGAGGTTAGGCTGCGATTGTTATGATCTCGCGGTTCCCCGAAAGAGCGTCGATTGCCAAGGGTTGAATGGTCCGGTAGGCAGAACACGTCCCAGAACACGTCCCAGAACGGCAATCTGAGAAGCAAACAAAGACTGACTCGGCACCTTCAACCACGGATCGCGATCTCAAGGTCAACGATTAGGAATAGGCAGTGGACAACCACAATCGAGGCAAACAAAGACCATTCAATTGTTGTTGAGCTTCAAAAAGAATTGTTTGCCTCCACATTGCTGATCGCGTTGCCCCTCCCCGCTATTATATAGACACATCACGGTCACCGCATCCCTCGGTGGCCCTCCCGCCGCCGCGGTCTCCGATGGTCCGCAAATCGATCAACTGACGGACGCTCCTACTGTGTTTAGCTCTCCCTATTTCCGCTCTGGGCGCGGGGGCGGTCATCTGTCGATCAACGCGGTGAAGCCGTGCGCGCGGGGGCACCGCCCGTGACGGGGTCACTGGGTTCCCCCCAAACTCGATTCACGCCTCGTTCTTCACCGCTGGCTGTGGCTCATTGTTCCCCTTCCATCACTCCGTGCTTTCTCCCCCGTGCACACGCGTTCAGCCGATACCTTCCGATGACAGCATAGCAGAGCTTCAATCAAGATTGAAGCAAGGACCATGATCCCACGCCTGGTAGCGGACAAGGCTGATGTGAGAGATGACCCATCCATAGATGGTCTCGCTGTGAGGCAAACCTGCTTCAGCTGTAAAGCTCGACCAGCTGCCTCGTGAGTTTTGGACGAAGTTGGATATAGAGCCCACAAGCAAGAATTCCGTGATACTTTGTCCGGTCATTCTACCTACTGGACTAGTTGCATTGGGTATCTACACAATCTGGGTGTCCGTGAACTTTACTCCCGTGTGGCTGATGCCAGCGATGCGCCATGGTAGAAGGTTACTCCTGTCGTGACAAGCCCGGCGACTACGCCCTTGCTCCATGTGAGACGGAGTCACGGAGCTTCCAGATACTTTTGTGCAGGGGTGCCGCTCCGGAAAGCCTCCGAGATTTAAGCTCCAGCTCCGTTCGGGCAGGATGAAGACTCCTCATGCGAGGAGACTACCGCGATGCGGCATTATGAAAAAAAAAAAAAAAAGCTTGTTCAGGCCGGCCTAATTGAAGATGAGTGAAATTGAAGCTGACGGCATAGGGTCCAAGCTTCTACAGTATCTTCTAGGGACCTAGACCTGTAGCCGACGCCGGTCCGACGGGCTCTTTGTCTTTGTCAAGGAAGAGCCCAAATAGCTTCCAGGCATGCTGAAATTCAATCCGGAACAGTCTTTGACAGTCAGTCTGAACTCTAGTTCTATATTCTCTGGCCATGAAACACTAAAGCCGGGCATAGTCTGGGGGCATAGTAGTACTATCTCGCGGACAAGCAAGGACTGTGCCGAGTCGCCGACAAACACAGTCTGGTTCTTTCGCTCATCGGGGAGGGAGCTGTCGGCTGCCCGAGAGAAAGCAGCCCATGGTTAAGGTCGCCGTGTTTGGACTCAGTAAACGGCTGGGCTGGTCTAGATTGACCTGCTGTATAATTGAGTTCTACTACCGACCTCAATCTGGAGGGAGCAAAGTCCAATCGCAAGAAGTTTTGGTCGAAGCTATGAAGATGTTGCGATCTATAAATCGTTGGCTCTTTCCAAGGAATATTTTCGATCGGTCGCTTGAAGGCATACCACCTCGAATTACACCAGAGCACCGGAGCCCACACTAAAATGAAAGAAGTATCTACGGTGATATTGAGCTGACGCACACGGTCGTGCTTCCTGGACCAGACGCTGTCCACGTACAAATCAGATATGCGTTCTGACATAGGCAACCAGCTCGTGTGATACCTTTAAGCTGCAGGTAGCTCATCTAATCATTCATTAACAGCGTGTGACCGAATCATTGATAGGTAAGATTACAGCCATTTCTATATTATTCAAGCGACAGGCGACGGAGTGCTCTCATTCTATGTATACCCCTCAGGCTCTCACAGTCACCACTGGTCTCCTGCCTCGGTTAAGGTCCTACAATTACTATTCACAGAGAGACTAAGGTTACTCTAGATCCTCATATACCCATATCGAGGTCCCGCTCCATACAGAAGATTGCACATGAAGAGTATGAACCGCCTTTTTCTTTCTTTGTCGTTCCGATTACCCATGACGCTTCCCGGGGGGATCTCTCAGTACTTCTATTCTTTGTTGACGTTCATAGTGCACCGCGACCCCGGAAAGGTGGTGGTCGTTTTGCGATACGAGTGTTCCTAGGGGTTCCCCCTTGGAAGTGCGGAGTGAAGTAACTACTATAATGAATCCGTTGACTGCCCTCGCAATGCTTCATATTCTACGCTGCCCGTAATTAACAGGGACGCCGGACGTTATGGATATTGGTACAGCTGAGAAAGTCACCTGATTTTGCTAAATCATATGATATTCACACATCTAGACCGCCACGAACAGCGAACCAATTCTGCCGGAAGTGAGCTCAAGCCCCGCGGACGAATATAGTAACGGCGTTTGAGGATAAATATCACGTGATTTATCACCTGAGTTCAACAGAACACCGCCCCACCAATCAATCAGACAGCCAGAATTCCGCCGATAGTGAGATTTGGCCCTATCATTATAGCGTCGCTTCACTCCGCAATTAATATGGACCATGCCGCAGGCAGGTCTTCTTCAGCTTTCGGGTTCTTCGAATCCCCGATCTCGTCGATTTGTTCAAGTATTCCCATCAACGGTTTATCATGACAGCGACTCAGCTGCTCGGGCTTCCGGCAGAGATTCTATATGCCATTGCAGACAACTTTGAGTATGCTTCGGATCTGAACAACTTCACGCAGACATGTCGTCATGTATACAGCGTTTTGACTCCCAGGCTCGAACATTCATTCATGCCAGCCCCTACCCCGGAAAATATCCACCACATCATAATAGAAGGAAACACGCTGAGCCTGGCCAGAATGTTATCGTTGAAAAGCGTCCAGGACGTGCAGATGGCCAATGTTCTTTCTCTTGGGCGGATGGCATCCGAGCATTGCCAGTTCAAGATACTGGAACTGCTGGTGGAGCTTTATGGATCCGCATGGTACATCGAAGACGTCTTAGATCATGCGGCAGACTGGTGTCCTGTTCTCGACGAAGCCTTGCGTCAAGATTGCTCAAAGCTCTTGGAAACATTGAATGTGCACCTGTCGAGTCGCCCGGGAGACTCAAATAGAATGATACGACTCTTGAACGCGGCCACTTCTGGGGGACTCACCGCGCTGGTTGTGTATTTGGCCAGCAGGGCTCGTGACAAGAATCTGGGTACCTTCTCATTTGCGGCTCGATTCAACCCGCCTCTTCTGACCGCAGCCTCTAGTGGTCAATTAACCTGCCTTCGGTCATTGATCGAGGGGTTCTGCATTTCTTCTGACACTTCCCAGAGTAGGACCCCACTGAAGATCCAAGATCAATTCTTGCTCTTGGCTTCGAGGTTAATCTATGTTGCCGCGGCAAGTGGGCACGACGAGGTTGTAAGATACCTACTGCAGACCAATGCGGTTGACGTCCTCCGCGAAAATCCAGACATCGAAGGACTCAATGAATGCTTTCTCAAGAGCTCTGATGTGAGCAGAGAGTTGACGGTCGACCTCTTTCATGGACTTCCAGATATCGAAACACTCAATGGGTCGTCTCTCAGAAGCTTTCATATTTCCAACGAGTCCGCAGTAGAGCTGATCCTGGCAGAACTCCGAGACTTAAGCTTTCACATGAGTACCCCAGAGGGTAAAGCTCATCCCCGAGCTTTTCTGTGGGCCATTTTCACCAACAATATAATCTTCGTGCAGAGATTGCTAGAATCGGGTCATGTGCCGCAAGATGAGCCCGGAAATACCCCAGCGTTGGCGCTGCGAAGAGGTCTGAATCTTGCCATCAGACGCTGTCACGTCAACATTTGCGAATTGATCCTTGCTAAGTTGACCACGGCCAATGCGCCGATTGGGACTAGTCAGTACATGGAACATCTCAGCCTCGCTCTGGCCACAAAGAATGCGTCAATTGCCCGGGTAATTCTTCACGCAGGTACAGACTTATGCTGTTTACCTCTCCGCAGGATAAAATTCCAGAGATTGCTGAAGCTGTGCTGGATCGCTGCTGGCAACTGACTGGAGAACATCATGGCGAGCCTTCCATGATCACATTTCTTGGGCTTCTGTTCGATTTTCCACCCATCATTGAGCGCATGATTCATGCCTACAATCTGAGCGTGTCTGGTTTCGAGGAGGTGGATGAAGAAATGGAGAATGTCCCGAGTATCGCAAGTCTTCCAAACAGAATCCTCAAGGAAGCCGCAGCTGCATTTGGGAGCATCAAGGTATTCAACTCCTTACTGACTCGCTGTCCCCTTTCACTTCCACATCCAGGAGCACGTGGGTTTAATCTTGCGTTCTACCTTGCTCATTTCACTTTCCAGCCGGAAATTCTCAAGGTCTTTCTGGATCTGGGCTTCAAGCCTAATCTTTTCCCCTATATGTTTGACGATCCGCCAGACTGGGTCGTTTTGGTTGGGCCGCGCGAATCAAGCATAATAATCCGTCCTCTCGAGTCTATCTCTACGCCGCGGGTCTTGGCTACCATTAGGCTTCTGATCGACTACGGGGCCGATGTGAATCAGTTGAGCAGCAGCGGTACCACCGCGCTTTGGTCTGCCGTGGCTATGTATGAATCCCAGGAGATTTTCGAAGACCTTCTTCGGCACGGCGCCGATCCCCTTGCTGGAAGTGATCCTTCTTTGACGGCGCTCCATAGCGCTATCACTTCCAGAGATTTCAACTTAGTTCGGCTTTTTCTCGAAGCTTTGAGCTTAAGGGGACGTCCTCTGGAGCATGCAAGCTTCTTCCTCGATGCGGCGCGAGTGGAATGCGAGGATAACGATGACATTTGTGGAGCGCGTATCAGTGCCGCGGCTTCGGTCTTGAGGGTGCCAACTCATTACCACTGGCGTCAGATTTATCCAGTGCCGGCGGACCCCCCAAGCGAAAACTGAACGGGTATCAAGAAAAGCCGTCCAAAAGCCGAATGGAATCAAGGCAGACTGGAGAAGATCGAAGTGGGAAACAAGAGATCGAATGGGAACCTCCATCAAGGCATGTCATTGCTTGTATTGAGTAGCACACGGGCAAACACCGTGGACGATAGTAGATTCACATCAAGTGACATCCAACGCGTCAAATTGGGGGTAGGAAAAAGGACGATGTCGCTTCTAAGAAACAATTGCAAATCACCAATATGATATTAGCTGACTTGACTCTATCAAAATAAAGCACATTTCCCGGTGGCTTACTTTCGTCCTAAATCAGGTGTCCAAATGGCTGACCACAGACTCATCTTGACGTGTCTCACCTCTCTGGCCCCCCATAACAAACCCACTTATACCCCGGCCTGACTTCTTTCCTCAGAGCCATCGCTTCATTTACAGACAAATCCTCGCTACAACGGAATTTCCATCATGACCGGACAAGAATCTGCATCTCTCGTGTTTCCTGTCTTATGTCTTGTTGTTTCGTTTGCAATATTCTGCCTCATCCACAGCACGGAGATCTCCCAGCTGTTGAGAGCGTTGAAGAGATCCACTGCAGACTATCTACGAGAAGCCCGAAGACGATTCTCCAGTTTACCCCATTATGACTTCCTCGGACGTGACTCAACCCCATCCAGTCACTACCATACGACCCTTGGATCTGCATCCGTCAGCGACTTGACAGCCCTTGACACCTTTGGAAGCAATTTGATCCCGTCGTCGAACCTCGACCTTGACCCGGACTCAGAATCTATGTTCGCGCCAGATGCAAGCGACACCAGCTCGGACGGCACTCTTCGCACGAGAAACAATGATTCTCATCCGCCAAGCGATTCTTGGGAGATCGAGCTTGAAGAGCGAATTCTGAATGGCCGCGGAATGGGTCCGTGGCTTGATAGGGTCATTGATAGGGTGGTCCAGAGAGTGATCGAGAACCTGGTCTCTGACGAGTATGCCGAACTCGATATCTCAACGCATGCTACATCTCGCTGAGAGGTCCTCAATTCACACGCCTGAAGTGAGGTGGTCGATGGCTCGATGTATGAGGCTTTTACACACATTGTTCGGCCTGTGCTCTGGATGGCTGGATCAACGGCTAGACGTCGACCTTTTGGCTCTCGAATTTGCGCCAAAGCTTCTTCACCGGACGGGGCACAGTGCAACCAGCTGGACTGCCCTGCCGGGCTCAATATGGGATCCTCGGTTTTGATCATCCCAATATCTGTGGCTACAGTATTAGGCCGTCAACGCGGGCGAGGCATAGCTTGCCGTCTTGCGACAATACTACAGCACAGGGCGCAACCGTTGTCCTCAGAAGCTCGTGAGCCTTGTCACCTACATTCAGTTTGAGATTATCGACAATTCATCAGCCACGATAATTTGGCAACTTCAAACCTTTCTCGTTACTGACTTTCCATTATGTCGATGGTTTTTTGCCGGGGCTTTTGCCCAGTCCTCAAGGGACAAGATGAAGTATCAGGCGCCAGATAGATTAGTATCGGGTACAAAGTCTTGATCCTTAAATCTTGTGTCCAAGAAGAGACCTGGCAGTTCTGTGGTTAACCGTCATCGATTCAATTCTCAGATCTCTCGACGGATGCTCTACTTTGAGGGATTAGAGGCGACTGACATCAATGGGGCCGAGATAAAGCACAGGTGCCCTACCAGTAGTAAGGTGGTTAAATTATGGGGTCGTGCCTTCGTCGTGTCGGCAATGGCGGGGCCTCACATCCCGTTGGAGGTGATAAGGCTGACTAACTGTGGTGCCCCCAGCTGAGGTCTGAGGTTCACCCGGCCATCTCCCGTCCGCCGGCGATCTGTGGCTGCCAACAATGGAGCAGATCGACGCGTTTAAGCACATACAAGAACAGCAGTTACGGCCCCTCATGAGAAGCGCTGATGGAGTCACACACGTGAACACTCGGGGCTCGAATGAGCACAGGAGTCAGCACGTACCAGATTCTGCCAGATGTGCCCTACTAGGTAACTTTTCGGGACCAAAGATGTAGGCCACTTGATCGAGGACATATCGAGAACGCAGCAACCGTGACCTTGAACGCGATGAGTTCATATAATCGGAACGATGAACAAGACAAGGTACCGCCAGCACGGTCGGGAATCACTTTGAAATTTACGATTGCGCCTCCACGCCTTGCACGAGCGAGGGTTTCGCGATCTTCGAGGCCACCACAGAGTGGTGAGCTCTTTGTCAGTCATTAACTGCCCGTACCCTGAGAAGCCGCTGAAGATCCCGATGGATCAATCTTATGGAACGAATCACGCTCGACTTTTCTAGTTGGCCTAAAGCTCCAATGGGACAACATTTCTGGTCTTGGTGTAGCATGAGTGTAGCCACGAACATTCCTCGCGGTGTCTCGGTAATGTGTTCACATTCCAGACAACCGGTCATGATTATCACATAACAAACCCAGGGGGCCCCGGACAAGAATGTCTACACCCCAGAGATCAATTTCTCATCTAATCCGGGGCGTCGCATCTTTCATTTCACCCGGCAGTCTGTGTCGGATGTCTACGAGGTGCCTCAATTTACGCCTCAAGTGAATGCATTGAGTTGCGAGGATCAACCAGCGAAAAGTCGATATTGTTAATAAGTTCCCTGCCAATCAAATACCTCGACAGATCTTGCGAAACTTGGAAGCGATAGAAGCTGAGACACACACTGCGCCATTTCGTCGGTCGCCATGCTCAGCCTCGCCATTGTCATTGCCATTGCTGCATCTGCCGCTGGCCTCTTCATGCTGTCGGGAATCGTGGGGATTGTGGTATGGATACGGATACGCAAAGAGCGACATGCAATGAAGATGCTCGGCCTCAGAGTACCGGAGAGATCACGGAAAGTCAAAGTCTTCCCTGGGGACACCTTGACCGAACTCTCACTCAATGAGAGCAACGCCTTGAAAATCCATGGTGGGCTACCATATGGAAAGCCAACCGAATGGGGGCAATTAGCTTCGCGAGAGTCTCTCCCTCGACCGAAACCTGATCCTGAAACCTCATGGCCTCTGATGGATCGGGCAAGATCCCTTCGAAACTCGATTCGCAGAGCTCGCTCGAAACGCTTCAATCGTGCAGGCCAACGGCAAACATCATCTATGGCGACAGTGAGCGAGACAGGGGCGAGTCAAGACAATATCCCCTTGTCGGCTGTTGAAGGCATCTTGGAGTTACCAGCAGAGCAGACACCACGGCATACTCCAGAGATTCCGCTAGAGGGTACCGGTTTCCATGTCGGTATGCGACCCATGTCTCCTGCGGGAGATTGGCCTGCACCTACTCAACGCTCTCGCCTTCATGTGTTCCATGGCCTGAATAGCTCGATGACGAGTAACGTGTTGGATCCAGTTCCAATGCTGAGCAGAGGGTCTCCGACGCGAGTTCGTGGTGGAAGTATCATTAGCCAAACCGCTGGACACGTCCCTGATCAGTCCGTTCCCCCGCCACCGCCGCCAGCCGCCCTGAGCCAGGAGAGATTCAGTTATCTTCGAAACGACTCGGTGATGCGTCTGTCATCAATGAGTATTGATACCACTAACAGTTCGATCTTGGAAGATGCCAAGGTGGCTTCCCGATCGGCAGATGCTGATGTTGTCTCGCCCATTTTTCCATCAGCGGGCACTTGTGTACCCTACAGCGCAAATGATGTTGGCGTGGCGAACGGCCGACGAAGCTATATCACGGCAAATACATCGATGCCTCCAAATTTTATGATACGATCCTCATCCAGTGCTAGTGCACCGAGGAAGGTCTCGGCAGAGAAGATATCCCCTCGTCGCAGCATGACCACAGCCGCCCGCAACCCCAGCCACTCTAGCATCGAACCTCAAACACTACCTCGGCGAAGCGAATCACTTTCGTACGATCAATCTCAAAGGCGGCATTCATTACGTTCTGGGAACCAGGTTCCTATGAACGTCCATCGCAATGACAGCAACCGATCTTCTTCACGGACACCTACGTCTGGTGGTCTTCATGCTGGCCGACTTCAACCGCACCAATCGCCACTTTTCGGATATGATACGCATGACAATGATCCGTTCTACTGTGGTTCCCCAGCTTCCACAGGATCGCTGTTCTCAGTCGGCTCGCCCAGTCAGCCGCGGAGCCGTACGCCACAAAGCCCAATGCAGCGTTCCAGTCTGTCAATGAAGGCTCCTCTTCACTCAGCAATGGGAGGCTCCAACTCGCACCGGAAAAGTAAGGGTCACAGGCGTCAGAATTGTGTCCGTATCTCAATCAATCCGCCTATGACTTTCGGAGGGCCGGCTTTCTCCCCAACTGTTGAGGAGGATTCTGAAGACCTAGACGCCATGGAAGAAGTAGATCTTCGAGAGAGTGCGGTACAAATGCCGTCCAACCCCCAGCCAGCTTGGTCACAGGATTGGCAACGGTCTCAAACTCGCTCCGGACGCCAAGGGAGCAGTCGTCGCACTAAACCAGCATCATCGAGTTCGTTAGCTCCGCTGGCTGAAGAGCCGCAGTCAAGCTTGCAGACAAGGGTTCCGTCCAAGAAGAGAAAGAAGGCATCGTCGGATCTTACTGAAGATGAGCCTGTGTTTGTTCAAGGTCATGGCCTATCTAGCACATCCATCTCTGTTCCGCCGCCTTACGAAGTCGATCATTCCGGTACACTGCCCTCGGGACGAATGCCGAAGGCCTGGGAAGGGATGGACGGTCGGTCGTCTGGATTCGCTGAAGATCCGTTCCGTCAAAAACCAGGTGGTCCACGTACACCTCCCCTTCACCCAAGACCTGATGAACAACGGTTCAAGCAGTCATCTCGTAAAGGCTCCACGCATGGCGAGAGCCCATCAACGTCCCTCGGGAGTTATGTACCACCCATTGTTCATTCACGAGGGGATAGCGGAGTACGAGAGAATTTGCGAAACTCGACAGATTCCCTATATGCCAGCCCCGGATCTTATCGCCAAGCTCGTGACTCCCAGACTTTCTCGGTCAATGAAATTTGTTCAGTCTCGCGTTCTACATCATCAAACCTTCCTGTTTCGCCAATACGTCCTGTATCACCATTGGAAGTCCTCAAGACCCCAGGAGCTCGAGAAAAGGTGACCATCTGGGAAGATGCCAATCGCAGTGCATCGCCCACCAAGCGCGGCTCGACACAATTCGCGGCCGGCTACACCTTCCAACTCGAGACTAACCTTTCACCCTCATATGCCAGAATGAGTGTGCCACGGTCGCTTTCCAAGCGTGAAGAGCAATCCCCTTCTCGTCCTTCTGGCAGTTGTGCTGCCCCAAGCCTCGCACCTTCTCGTCGTGGCCTTATGACGCCAACGAGAAAGGGACTTGGTATCGGCGTCACTTGCGCGACACCCGTCAGTCTTTATGACGGTGATGGATTTCTGAAAGAATAAAAACCGTCCCCCAAAATCCTTTCCACGATTCTCGAATGGAGTCGGTGGCGTTGCTTGTCCCTTTCAAAGGTTATAATAACCCGCGTTGACTATTATTTTGGAGGATCCTGGTTGAGTTTCAAGCGTTGTCCCCTTTTCATCTGTCCCTGTTCGAAATCCGGCGCTTTCAGTCTTGATATTTTCTTGACCGGCCTTGATGCTCCGGTATAGCTCCATCCTGAAGTGTTTTCGTCTAGCTTCTCCTTTTCTACCCTTGTTTCAAACTATAACGATATCCCCCGATTAGCTAGTCTTAGTTTAGATATATAGTATAATGTCTTCTTGTCAGAAACTGTGTACTTTATTGGTTTTTGGCTGAGAGAATCGATCATTCGTTCAAGGCCAAGACGATAGTAGGTCTGATGTACTCGGAGGACAGACCTAGTAGGTTCACCAGTACAGCCCTAACCTACAAATGCAGGCCAATCAATATATGTTCTAGTCTGTTCTGCGCCACTTGGTCTCATCATCTTCACCCCCTTCCCCATTGGCACCTTCGTCGTGCTCATTCCCATCCTCACGAGGTCTTACAGTTCCCGCACCAGGCCCCAACCCAGGGAACGAAGGGGGCTCCCCTTCGCCAATCCAGTTGCCTTCCTCATCAAAGAACTCATGCATATTATCCGCCGTGATCCATCCAGAGCTCCCATCCACCGGCGGCGGCAGACTGCCGTTCGAAAAGTCCGCCGTGTCCTGTCCGATCTGGAAGAAAGTGGGCTTGGTCTCATCGTCATCCTCGTCCTCGTCGCCTGGCTCCACGGGATCCGGGTGCAGGTTTGAGCACGCAGATACGGCGTTGTACAGGATCTGGGTGGGAGTTTCCGTCGGCTCGTCGCCTTGTTCTTGGGCTTCACGCTGCTCGGGGGTCAGTCCGGCGGGTGGGACTATGGTCATTGTGAGGGATTGTTCTTCGTCGTCTTCCGCGGTGGGTGGGGTCGGGAGGGTGATTTGCATGTACAAGCCCTGGACTTCGGCGTCTGAGGCGCCGGGGACACGCAGGCGCTGGATCGCGTGGAGTGAGATGGAAGGGTAGGGAATAGAGATGCCCGTTGAGGCGGATCGAGAATACAGGATGAATTTTCTAAGGTGTGGGTTAGCGCTGCTCTGAGCTTGCTTCTTCGACAGAGGGGCTGCTATCAGATAGACGGACGCTATCCCCTCGGGGACTGCTTGGAGCTTCGATAATGACTTACTCGGAGGTCACCCAGGCGTCGATATCCTCAATAGCGATCTCGCGCCCTTCGCTCTTGTCGTCTTCCGGGGCTGCATTCGCAGCTCCGTTTGCAGAAGCAGCCTCTGGACGCAGCGCATTCAACACCGCGTTTGAAACCATCTCATGTTCAAGAATGACCAGTTTGCATCCCTGGCCATGGTAGTACAGCACAGTCGGCCCGTGGTGGAAGGAGCTGGGTGTTCGCGACTGATGCTCGGCGATGGTGACGAAGCTCGACGCTTCGGGAGCTGATTGGAGAGCTTCCATTGTGTATATTTTCTGGCTTTGGATGTCGATTACGATTAAAACCCTCCCGGCGGTGTTTGAATATCCGGCGCTTGACAAAGCTTGAACAAGGTGATGGGTATGAGGGGTAGCTTGACTGTGGTGACTTGCAGGTGAGCCGAGACGCCGCAGAAAAAAAGCTCCGCCGTCATGCCGGACGGAAGTCCGGTCGCAGAGGGGGGCTCCATCGAGCGGTAGCGGGATGGATACAAAATGACCGACCCGACATGGAGACGACGATCAAGGTGAAGTTTTGGAGCATTTCAGCGCAGCGCATCATATTGTCTCTAATCGATGATGAGCGTTTTTTATGATGAATGGACTCATTGAGGTGTTTCAGATCCAGAAAAAGAAATAGATTGCGAGAGACACTGCTACTAATAACATGCCTCTCATAATAAGACCCCGGCATCTGAGGTCGAATGCCTTGGTCAACCTTGATTAATGCTTCTACATGCTTATAACGCGCTATAAGCTGCGCATCTGAGTTGAATCCGTCAAAAACACCGTTCACCAAGTTGTTCCTCGAGCAATGGAGGAGCCCAGAACTTCGGACCAAGTATCAGTCCAGGTAGTCAACCCATGACGCTTGGTAGATTTGAATTGACCCGGGAGCGTGCGAGCTGGATGAGACACGGATGATTCCTTTCCCTTGAGTGTCCACAGACCAGACTGACCGGTTTCCGAGCCTCAAGGTCTGCGCGGGACTGTTGGTATAAAATGTGCCAGCCCGAGAGATAGCGAGCAGCGATAGAATGGGTTTTCGTCATCTCACCGATGCTCATTTCACATCCAGCCCGCCAAAGGCCCGGTCCAGCTCATCGCCTTCGTCGCGAGGCACCATTGCGGGGAGACTCGAAGATCCCTGGTCGGCAGAAACGCTGTCCAGCAAGCTGCCCGCCTTTTGGGATCTCGTGGCAGACATTGAGCCAGCTTTGCTGGGCTGCAATAACTTCTCATCCCGATCCAACCACCCCGGCGCCACACGCCGCTTCTCAGCGAGTTCTCGTTCCCGAATCGATTCTTCCCAGGACTTGATGGCCTTTTCTGCCTCTGTTTTGGTCTTCTTCAAGTGCTGTTCTAGTGATTGGCATGACGCTAGGATCTCATCTGGGTGAGCTGCATGTTCTCCCGTGGAGGAAAAGACGTAACGCGGTTTTGCCTCTGGGTTTGTCGGATCTACGAGAACCGACTGTGGCAGACTGTTTGGGATGGACTTGTAGGTGTAAGGGAGCGTGACCGAGGCAGGGAGATTGATGAAAGGTGACACCGTCAAAGGCACTTGAGCCAGCAAAAGATGGGGGCCTGGTGAATCTCTGGTGGTAAGCATGTAGTATAGTCGCCAGATCATTTGAAAGGGACATAGCCAGGAGCACTCACGAAATGAACCATACATTGCTGACATATCAAGGAGCGTGCCGAGGACACGAGGTGAGGAAAGTATGTATGGCTGGAGGCTTACGTTTGGTATGTTCCTTATCTGAGGAACAGCAGCTCGTGGCTCGTTTGATCTTGAGATGCGGGGAGATTATGACGATGTTCACCGCCCCACTCGTGATGCTTCGCGACCCTCGGCTCCAGCAGACGGAAGGCGCAAAATATAAGGCAAATCTTTGTACATTGTACAGCACGTACTCGTATATAGAGGAATTTAGAAGCTAATGGAGGTCCTAACCTACTGCATGAGATACTAGGTAGGTGACTGGAACTGGAAGTTTGGCAGCTCAAACAAATATCAGTGGATTCATTAATAAGAATTTCAAGATAGATGAAAGCGCCGGGGTATGTTTTGGAGAGTCTCACCCTTTAATGCTGCTACTCGGTATTTACATTCTACATTCCTACCTTGGAGAATTGGAAGCCCGACACTGTTCCAAGTTCTAATTGCCCAGTCACAGCTAAGGTTCAAGAAACCCTCACCTAGACATCTATCATGATCTCCTTTGTAGATTGCCATCGATTGAGGCAGATCTCCGATTCCGCAACACGGAGACTTCAGATCTCGAGTAGGTGTATGTGCCTTGATATCCTCAGGACCAAGGTTCTTTTGGCTTATTGCTTGGCTACTCCAGCAAGGCCGCTGGTTAGTAGTAGTACTAAAGTACTTCCTTCATATAGCGTGGAGTGTATACAATCGCCCCAATAGCCGGTTGTCGGCGTGGCAAACAAAGCTTCCCACGCCACAACCATTAGCGAATTCGACGATGATGCGAAGATAAAACCTCCATTGATGATACTCCCACAGTGACGTTGACTCATAAGCTTAGAGCCTGACCCATCAGTCTCGAAGGCTGTTTCAATTCTGGGCCATCGTGCTGTCTCTTTGAACGCTTTTGCCGCATGCTCCCCCAACATTGAAAATGTGGCTGTGTGCACTGAACGGGGGACCTCAGGCCATCACGACTCCACTTGGGTTGCTTCCGATTGAAATTCGTTTGTTTTGACTCGGGTTTAACAAAGCCATGGTGATTACTTCGCACAAACAACGCACAATCGCCCTTCAGGCCAGGAAAAGGGGGCAAATGGACTTGAGTCGATCATCGAGTAGTCAAGTGGGAAGATTACTACCTCGCTATGGCTTGTATCGCTTGGCGAGCTTGGTCATGTGCCTCGATTAATGTCCATACGAGGACCTTTACAAATGTTGTTGATTTTACACATAGCGATGCACTTGCTATCCCACCAGTAGCTAGAGTGATATTTGCCATTCCAAAATGGTCCAGATTGAGTGGATCAGAGGGTCTTACACCAGTGGGTTACTAGGTTAGTAGGTTAGGTTAGCCCTTCAAAGGCCCAGAATGGAGCTTAGTACATAGTATGCCAGTAGGCGGCTGAACCGACTCCGCTCATTCAAGATGTGTTTCTTTTTTTCCTTCAATACCGATCATCGTCACCTCCGCTTTCTCCTCTTCTCCATCTCCCAAGACTCTGTCACCTCACCTCACCTTCTTGACCTACCTGGAGCTTTGTGTCTCGTGCCCTCACTAACCCTGCTCAGTCGTCGTGGCTTGGTTGCATCATCCCTCCTGCTCCTTGGGATCTTTGTCCCGCCCGGTCCAAATCCCCGCCACTCCTCCCGCACTGTCTTAGTGTCGCCCCTCTCTCTGTCGCCCTTTTCGACTCGGTGGATTGACCCCCCTTTTTCTCCTCCCTTACTGTTCTCTTCTTGATCGCCAAAGTCAAATCCAGCCGCAAGATCCTACACCGGATCAACCAGCCGTGATCATGGATCGGAACCTTGCGCGCGCGGTGACCGAGAAGAAGCCGGTTCCCGAGATCGATTTCACCCTGCATACTATGGAAGATGGCACCCAGGTGTCCACAATGGAGCGCGTGGTCAAAGGTAAGGGCTTGACGTTTTCGCCGAATGCTGCAGGCCTCGAGCATGCTGCAGTCTTCGAGCTCAACAATCACTAACATCATATGTACTACGATGCAGAGGTGCAAGCCCCCGCCTTGAGCACTCCTCCGGATGAGATGTTCTGGTCTCCCGAAGATCCCACCAAACCCAACCTGCAGTACCTCAAACAGCATTTCTATCGCGAAGGGCGTCTGACCGAGGACCAGGCCCTCTGGATCATCCAGGCGGGTGCGGAGGTCCTCCGGTCGGAGCCCAACCTGTTGGAAATGGATGCGCCAATCACCGTCTGCGGTGACGTTCACGGTCAATACTACGACTTGATGAAGCTTTTCGAGGTTGGAGGTGATCCATCCGAGACACGATACCTCTTCTTGGGGGACTACGTTGACCGTGGCTATTTTAGTATTGAGGTATGCTGATTCCGCGAAAAGCACTGTCTGGCATCGAGTGAGACGAAAAAACAACTGACGGTGGACGAATCTCTCTTTGCACAGTGTGTGCTCTATCTCTGGGCCTTGAAGATCTGGTATCCCAACTCACTTTGGCTGCTGCGCGGTAATCATGAATGTCGCCACTTGACCGACTACTTTACCTTCAAATTGGAATGCAAGCATAAATACAGCGAACGGATTTACGAGGAGTGCATCAAGGCGTTCTGTTGTCTGCCGCTGGCGGCGGTCATGAACAAGCAATTCCTTTGCATCCACGGTGGTCTCAGCCCGGAGCTGCACACCTTGGAAGACATCAAAGCTGTAAGTGATGATGCGTATTCAAGACCGAGCCAGCCCACAACCGGTGCTATTTTGTCTTTTTTTCTTCTTTCTTTTCTATTTTTTTCTTTTTGCGCTAACCTGCCCTGGCACAAAAAAGATCGACCGTTTCCGGGAGCCCCCTACACATGGCTTGATGTGTGACATTCTTTGGGCCGACCCTTTGGAGGAATTCGGACAAGAAAAGACAGGGGACTTTTTCATCCATAACAGCGTCCGAGGTTGCTCGTACTTCTTCTCATACCCTGCCGCATGTGCTTTCCTCGAGAAGAACAATCTACTCTCGATCATCCGAGCCCACGAGGCACAGGATGCCGGCTACCGTATGTACAGGAAGACGCGAACGACGGGTTTCCCGAGTGTCATGACCATCTTCAGTGCTCCCAATTACCTCGATGTCTACAACAACAAGGCTGCAGTGTTGAAATACGAGAATAATGTCATGAACATTCGTCAATTTAACTGCACTCCTCACCCTTATTGGCTGCCCAACTTCATGGATGTTTTCACCTGGTCACTGCCATTTGTGGGTGAGAAGATCACCGACATGCTCATCGCCATCCTCAACACCTGCTCCAAGGAAGAGTTGGAGGAGGACGACACTCCAGCTACGACTTCACCCACCGAGGTCTCCTCGCCAGCCGTGTCTATCGATCCTGAGTCAAGTGAATTCAAGCGTCGTGCCATCAAGAACAAGATTTTGGCCATCGGGCGTCTCTCGCGTGTCTTCCAAGTCCTCCGTGAGCAATCCGAAAGTGTCAGTGAACTGAAGACTGCCGCCGGTGGCCGTCTGCCTGCGGGTACTTTGATGCTGGGAGCAGAGGGAATCAAGCAAGCCATCACCAACTTCGAGGATGCTCGTAAGGTTGACTTGCAGAATGAGCGCCTGCCTCCTAGTCAGGAAGAGGTATTCCAGAAGAGCGAGGCGGAGCACAAAGCAGCCATGCAGCGTGCTCATCAAGAAGCTGAAAATGACGCCGGGCTGGCGACTATTGCCCGTCGAATCTCCATGTAAGTGAAGAGAAAACAACATCACCCCGTGCGGCAAATCGCATCACGACTAAAACTTCTTTTCCCCAGGTCTGCTGGTGCAGGACGTAATCGCCGCCAGCATAGTTCTCGCGATGGAAACAAGGAGGCTTAGGAGCGGGGAACAAGCCAAGCTTGTAGTTTCAGCTAATTTAACGACACGACATATGCAATTCTCCTTGTTTTTGCTGTTTTCTTTCCACCACTTTCCAACACCAGCGACGAGTCCTGACCCTCCGTGTCTACCACCAAGGATCGCAAAAAGGCCCTGGTGTCGACGCCTGGGTCAGATGCATCTTTGGTGTTGTTTACATATACCCGGGCGTGTCATGACACACTGTTTTCGCAAACGGTCAATTGGCCTTTTGGTGTAAATATTCACTTTGTATTTACTGTCCAAGGATCGATATCTTGCCGTCCTACCAGCAGTACTGGGAATGGGTCAAACACAGGACGAATCAACCCCTGCTGGGCTACGCCTATTGCGAGCCCCACATCTACTCAATCCGATGTATTAGAAGTTTTTCAAGACGTTTGTATGAGAGGACCTCGTTCTAGGCAGATAGTGCGATTGAATTTTGTTTTTGTTCGAAGTCAAAGAGTGTCTTGACTCAGTAGTTGTGAGGATCATGGTTCGTCGTAGTACTGCAGGTGTTAAGGGCGCCACGCTGGGTGGATTCGCATGCCAAGCCTGATGAGCGCGGCTTCACTTCCCGGCTTTATCCTCTTCCTCCGCCAACTCGTCACCTTTTTGAACATTTGGCAGCGGTCGCATCTGTCGCAGCTCTCTCATCTTGCACTCGCATCAAGATGCCCGTCAAGGTGCGAGGCTCGCTTCAAAGAAGCCTTTTCCGCTCCTGGGACAATGCGGGCGTCTTCTTCTGTCCGTCCTGCTCAACTTGGCGTCGCGAACTCGCAACTCGCGCCAGAGTCAAAGAGAATACCGCGGCACCGCGCCGAGGCATTTACGCCTTGCAAAACACACCGGCACCTCTTCATCGGAGATTCACCACGTCTCCTACGATAACGGCGGGGAAATATGTACCAGCTCAGTTCAAGGAGCTTTACGATGCGCTGAGTGAAGTCAAGGACGCGGCCATTGAGCAGGTGAGCTTGAGTCGGCTGTCACTTGCGCTGCGTGGATTGGAGTCGGAGGCACCCTTGATTCGGGTCGCTGGTGAGTAATGAGTGAATGGAGTCTTGAACGAAATGGGATTCTTTCATTTTTTTTATAAATCCCTGATTTGATTTGCAATTCGTGGCACTAACTCATCGCTTTCTCGCAACAGTGCTTGGACTCGACAACGCAGAAGCTGCACGAAAATTGGTTCGTCTGCTTTTAGCAGATCCTCTCGGACCGCGCGAAGCATGGGAAGATATCTTACAAAGCTACGAGGCCGATCCATCTCGTGGACTCCTGATTCGGTACGTTTCGGCCAGTTGATTCGTCGCGAATTATTGTGCCGCTACTGACTAAACATACCGTGACACAATTAGATATGGCGACGTTTCCGAATCTATTCCCAACGATCTGCTCCCAACCATATCAATTCGTTCGCCATTATTGAAAAAAGTAATGTCGAACTGCTCGTCAGTTCGATTGGTTCTGATCCCGAGACGACGGGTGTGACACTCTCTGCCGAATCATTCCTCGTGCCCAATGTCGCTATTCCTACATCACATTCTGGCCGACAGAACTTTGTTCGATATCCAGTGCATTACTCTGTTGTTTGTGGTACTGGGGTTGATGGTCTGTTGGCCTTCAGCAACTTGATGGGTCGATCCAATCTCCAGAATGAAGTGGCCTCTGTTCGCGGTGCCATCGATCTCGCTGTGGCGGGTCAGAAGCAGAACAATAGCAGTGTCTCATTTGTCGACCTTGATCGTGCCACAGCGGCTCTCGACAAGATCCGCCATTCAATTCAGAACGCATCAGAGTATGAGCGCGGGTGGAATGGCAGTGGTGTGCAGCCTGTCATCGACTGGCTGTCGATGATTTCTCGTGAAGACCGAGATACTAAGCTAAACCCTGCGCTCGCCCCACTGATTGAATCGCTGCTCAATGCAGCTGAGAAGGGCGTCGCTTTGCGGGAGTCTGAAGCCCTTCGTGAGCAAACCGAGGGTACAGTCTCCTTAGCGGTCCGATCTCAGCTCGAAAACGAAGTCAGCATGTGGGCTGAGCAGGCGCACTCTGAGCTCCGCAGCTCTCTAGAAGCGGGCTTCGCTAGTCCTCGCTGGCGTGGACTGGCATGGTGGAAACTATTCTGGCGTGTTGACGATGTGAGCATGATCACGTCGGAGATTTTGGAGAAACAATTCCTTCGCCAGGCCGAGCGCGAGGTCATCTGGACGTCTGGCAAGTACAGGCAGGCTGGCCTCTTGAATATAGTTCCCGGATCCATTGCAGCCGACAAGCCGACGTCGGCTTTCTGGTCGACACAGATTCCAGACATGCGCAATAAGCTTCTCTCGACCACTGTGCCCTCTCTACAGGCCTTGGCGCAGAGTCTCGTGTTCTTCAGTGTCTCCACCACCACCTTGGCCTCTGCGCTTTCCGCACTGACCTACGCTGCGGTTCCGGCCGCGTCTGTCTATGAGTCGTGCACACTGGCAGCCATCGGTCTGATCTACTCATTGCGCCGCCAGCAGAAGAAATGGGATGCTGCGCAGGAGTTTTGGGAGGAAGAGGTGCGAGACGAGGGCCGGACTGCCTTGCTCGACACCGAAGCCCAGTTGCGTCAGATTGTCCGTGAGGGCGGCAAGCAATTGGAGGTTTCTTCGGATCGCCGGATACGAGAGCTCATTGCGCATGCGCGCAAGGCTCTCGAAGAGGTTCGAGCTTAAGTCGGCCGGTAACCCAAAGTCCAGTGACTCTTCCCCCCCCCCCTCTTCATGTGTATATAATATCTAGATGAGACAATCTAATAAGAGGGAGCGTCCATGACACGGAAAGCTTCCACCCATGACTGATATCACGTTGACAAATGTGCACGTTCATATTCATGTTCTACCTGGCGAGTACGACTGGTCTCGCGCTTCCTCTTCCACATGCAAATCATACTCGATCTTGGTCGGGGTCGACTTTTTTTCGAATGTCCATCTGCGAATATCGCACCACACCGGCACTGGCAATCGCAAATCCCACCAATTGCGTCAGGGTAATCGTCTCCCCCCAATAATGCATCGACACCAACATGGTCAACACCGCCTTGGGGATTCCACAAATCGTCAGCGTCAATGACGACGTGTGCCTTATCAAAAACACCGCCGAGACATTGAGCAAAAACGCCACTAGACAATTACACAGCAAGGTCGAGGGGCCCCAGGCATCAATACAGTCGAACAGAGCGGCGGGCCCGTCGATCATCATGGCGGCGAAGAGGCAGAAGACCATGCAGACGGGGGCGAAGTGGTACAGTGCTGTGAGAGGGTCCATTTGAATTCCGGATGGACTGAGGAGGATTTCGGAGAGGGCGAGACGGATTGCTTCGCTGGCGATGCCGGCGCATTGGATGAGGATGCCGAGGGTGTTGAAGTGGACTTCGCTGTAGGAGGAGACGAAGACTCCGAGGCAGATTACGAGGATCGTGGCGAAGATGGGAAGGTTGATGCGGTAGAGTCCGAGGAGGTTACCGACGAGGAGCATTACGACGGGGCCGATTGACTGTCATGCATAGTATGAGAGGCGAAGAATTGTACAAAGAAGATCATGGGCCCATGCAGATAAAAGGACCTACCTTGAACATTTGAATAAAGGAGACACTGAGAAAGGTATACGCTGCATTGTTCAGCACCAAATTGAAGCTGAAGCTGAGACCGATGGGTACAATAGATGTGAGAAAGAGACGACCGCCAAGTAGGGCGGATTTGCTATGATCGATGAGGGTGGTAGAGTGGGCGAGGATCTGAGTGACGATGGTGGAAAGAAAGAGATGCCAGAAGGTAAGGACGGTAGGGAAAGGATTCTGGACTAGGAGAGCCTTGTTGAAGATGATGACTGCTGCGCTGAACAAGATCCATATTCTGCGGGAGAGAGCGAGGAGTCAGCCAGGACTCCGTCCTCAGTAGGTGATACGAGCGAATAGCAACAGGTCGGATTCGGTGTTCGCATTGGTTTTGGATGGGCCGGTAGTCGCGGGTTGACATGATTGGAAACCGAGTCTCACTAACAGACAGTAGAAGACGGTCGACGCGCCGTCTTTGACCGACACCATTATGATTCTCGAATCGGGAACGGCGACATGCTCTGGAGTGAATACCAGAGGGGGAAAGGGAGGGTGTATTTAGGGCTCGATGACCATGAGGTGACTAGATGGCCTCGAGAAAGTTGAATAGCGAAACCAAACAAACCACTAATTGTACTTGGGCTCGATTATATGAGGGACAGCAGCCCAGGCTGAATGTTTAGTGAATGTTTGGATCCATACCTAGAATAGTTACGATTGAAGGATTATGTTACTGCCAGTAAGCTTAATAATAGCGGTGGTTCTCCCACTGTGAGTTCATGAGGTAGGATCACTCTTTGCGTATTAGGAAGTCAGAGAAAGTCAGATAAACCGACTGCGCCACACTAAAAAAAAAAAAAGTTCCTAATCCAGGAAGGGGAGAGCTTTGTGGAGGTTTTGTCAATTCGAACAGAAGCACGTCTTGGTCCAATAATCGGGGACAGAAAAAGGGGATACACTTTCTTCGCAACATGACAAGCTGACAGGTATGATCAATTTGGCTGGCAGCAATTATGTATCCTTTATGTTGGCTCCTTAGCTCCTAAAATGCACATTGTACACATTGCACACATTGGTCTTGTACGGCCAATTCATGTAAGTTCTATAGTTTATACTGTCTAGTGTCTTCAAGGGTATACCATGAACTCTCATTCAGCGGGTGTAGCTCATCTATTATCCGCTATAATAGACGATCAAGAACCAGAAGATCTCCTTTGAGGGAGATTGCATGTCACAAAACACACTGCACACCGCACACGATTCGACATATGCACCACGAGATACTGCAAGTGCATCATTTGTCGTTCAGCCTTCACTACTGAGCCAATGGCTCGCCTATCTCCGCCCCGTGGTCGATGGAAGGACTCACTCGAATTAGGTTCGTCTCCTGGCGCTTCATCATTTGCCATGTTCTAGAGTCTCGGGTCCCGCTTCGGTCTCGATTGCTCAATATGGATTGTCAGCCCCCGGACAAAGTCGGACTTTAGCCGTGCTCCATGCAGGCATGCACAATGAGGCCTAATCTGAGCTTCGGCGAGCTTCAATGAGATCAGTAGTCCACCTCGGTGAGAACAACAAGTGTCTGGGTAGAGAACAATTAATCTCCAGGCATAGGTACGATTCTCTTCAGACACAGGTCTTGAAGTAAAGACCCTTTATGAGGCCACATTGATCTATCGTGTAAGCGTGTCGGGTGCTTTTTGATCTCGGTTCGCAGCCCCTGTTCCTGGGAAGAATTAGGAGAGAAACGGAGCGGCCTCCCCCTCCCTATTCCACCGCGCAAAGCTAAGCCTTCGTGACTGCGGAAATGTGGATATCGCCCTATGGGATATCGCTTGTTGTTCACTCGATAGGGTCAATTTCAGATTGATGATCAAAGGGTTCTTGTTGCAGTAGTAGGAGTAGTAGTAGTAGTAGTAGTAGTAGTAGTAGTAGTAGTAGTAGTACTAGTAACCTGACTTACTAGTAGTAGTAGGTAGGTAGTAACCTACTAGTAGTAGCACTACTAGTAACTGAGTAGTGGTATGGCCATCAACATGTGAAATACCACCTCGCCCTGGAGCCATGGGCCAGCGACGACGATCTGCGTGCCAAGTGCACATCTCAGACCCTGCATGCATTGTCAACAACTAGCACCGGCAAGCTTCCCTCTTCTACCGAGTCACCAGTGACCACTACAGTACTATGAGTCTGACCAAATTATCTCATCGCGGAACATTCTCGGTTAGACTGTCTCATAGGCGTGCCACCAAATCTTACATGGTCTTCGTCGTCAACGATCACTGGTTCTAGCTGTCCCTCTCATCCGACTTTTTGGGGGCGAGGGCTCCAGTGGAACCCTGCAATTCCGTCCGGGTTGCTCCTCATCTCAGACCCTCTGCCCCATTTGAGGATCCACCGCTCGCTGGTCAAATTCGGGTCCGCCGCTAATCGAGAGCGAGTCGCAAAGCCTCACGGCGGATTCGGATAGAATGGTCGCTGGGTTTAAACCCACCCCTCCTGTCGGAAATGACTTCACAGGTAGCGGCACCTGGTGGTGACAACATGTCATCCTTCCATCTTCAACCTCGTCAATCACCACCGGGACGTGGTGCGCCGGTGCAAGGATGTTGTCATCTACGAGACGGCCCTGGCCCACGATAGCCCTCGCCTTCACAATAGTCTGTCTATTGTTCATCTGGGCGTCTTCCCATCGGGCAGAGGCCCCTCGGCCGGGGCCCAAGGTTGAATTCGAACCTTCGCATGCTGCACCGCCGGGGCCTGTTCCTCAGCGTGAACCAACACCGGAATCTGTGCCTGGATCCAAGTATCAGCATGAACAGGATCTCGAATCGAAAGCCCGGCCTCAAATCACATTTGTTCCCGAAGCCGAAGCCGCATCGGCACCCGCACCGGAACCCAAGCAGGTGGTGGAAGCGAGCGTCAATCCCGCCGGCAACGCAACGTTGGGATTTCAAAAGATTTACTACATTAGCATGCCACAGTCGGTCTCCTTTCTATGATTCGGACATCCATGGATCCATGGACACTTGATCAAGTGGAATGCTAAGACCATTATCTTAGTCGCCTCGATCGTCAAGATGCAATTTCTCTAATCAGTTCTTTCACGGGGCTGTCGACCACGCTAGAACCCGGGGTAAATATTTCTCTCCATTCGCGGTTGCTTCCTCAATATCGGTGTAAGAAGGACGAGTATCCAATGACTGACATTTACCGATGCGGCACAACGTTTAGGTCAATGGCAGTCTCATTCAAGAAAAAGCCAAACCCGACGGCAGCGCCATCCTTCGTCCGGAACAACTGGGATGCTGGCGTGCGCACGCCAATGTCTGGAAACGTATGTTGGACGACAATATCGAATCGGCCGTGGTAATTGAGGATGACGTGGATTGGGATGTCCACGTTCGAGACATCTTCACCGAGCTAAGCGCACAGCTGGCTGAACAGACAATCTTTCCGGATCTGTCTCATACTGTCAACTCCTCGGCAGATCCTTACGGTAAGTTTTGAACAGATTGACTTTTCAGCAATTCACCCTCATTGCAGAAGCAACACAGCGGCTGACAAGTATCCTCCTTTCGGGTGTCTTCCCAAATAGGCGACGGCTGGGATCTGCTTTATATTGGCTCTGCCTGGGACATTCCCAATACAGACCATCGCCCTACGCACCTCCTCTATCGTGACCCCTTCGCACCCACCCGTGAGAACACCGCCAGCGCCTATATCAGCGAGCTCGAAGGCTGGGGTGTCAACGTGACCAGCACCTCTCGTCATCGTCTCATCTCTCCATCCTGGTATCCGGTGTCCACCATCGGATACGCGGTCTCGAGAAGAGGTGCTCAGAAACTTCTGTACAATTTGGGCGGGTACCAGGGATTGACTGCGCCGGTGGACTTGGCCATAATCGGTCTGATTCAGAAGGGCATCGTGAATTCATACACCATCATCCCGCCGATTGTGACCCGGTACAAGACAGGCGGTACTCGTGATAGTGATATTGACGATAAGAAGCCGGAAGATGCGAACGGCGGGACTGGATCTGAGAACCTGAATATGAGTGCTCGAAAGGCGTTGGATGTTTTGCGCGGAGGGGTGTATAAGTTGCCTTGATGTTGGAGCTGACTTTCACTTTTTCCTCTTACCTAATTCCCTTCTTCTCTTGTTCTCTTGTCTTTCTCTTCTTTCTCTTCTTTCTCTTCTTTCTCTTCTTTCTCTTCTTTCTCTTCTTTCTCTTCTTTCTCTTCTTTCTCTTCTTTCTCTTCTTTCTCTTCTTTCTCTTCTTTCTCTTCTTTCTCTTCTTTCTCTTCTTTCTCTTCTTTCTCTTCTTTCTCTTCTTTCTCTTCTTTCTCTTCTTTCTCTTCTTTCTCTTCTTTCTCTTCTTTCTCTTCTTTCTCTTCTTTCTCTTCTTTCTCTTCTTTCTCTTCTTTCTCTTCTTTCTCTTCTTTCTCTTCTTCTGCACATTTTGCACATTTCGCACCTACTGATTTTTCGCCATATACCACATCTACATATCTGCATTATTTATAGCCCCTCTTCAAGTCGAACGACGAGAGCTTCACGACTCTGAAGTATGAATCCGGGATAATTATACTTCTGGCGACGTCCTGGGATTTTGGCCGCTGGGATTATGACAGGCAGACGAGGGCGTTGATTCACATCAAAATAATCTAACCCTTGTCACCGGTGAGGCAATAAGAGAAATAAAAAGCTGATCTTTAATGAAGGAAAAAAGATTGGAATCCAAAACGACAGCTGGCGGATTTGAACCGCCGCCTCCGAAGAGACTTGATTTCTAGTCAAGCGCCTTAGACCACTCGGCCAAACTGTCTTGGGATGTAAGAAGCGGTCAAATTTGTGTACATAAATTAGTTTCAAATTTTCAACAAAACCGGATCATCATGATCTGCATGGTTCTGGAGAGAGATATGTTAATGATGCATATAGAAGATGCTCGGTGGATACTTCGACTCCTTGGCGCCAAAATCGACTGAATAGCTATCGCGAGGGCTATATTGAACCTTCTTTTTGTTTGGTACTAGGTGAGTAGGTGTCATGTCATTCAACGGCATGCCGAGAGATTTAGGCACTCTGGCAACGGAACGCCGAAGCCGACCGGCTCGGAAAATATATTTCCACATGTAAGGACGGAGGAGTAAGGAGTGAGGACAACTCTTGAGAACATCGGTGCTTCCACCTGGTCGCGCGGGACGCGCCCGGGCACACTCCAGGTGAACGGAATGCTGCTCGGTGTCGCTATGGTCCGTCACAACCTCTTTAGACGATGGCTCTCTTTGGACTCGATGTTTGGGCGCTTCCATACGCAGACTCATTCTTAGTAGTTAGTAGGTAGGCAGGTACTAAGTAGGAGAGAATAACGGGCTCGACGAGCATCATCGGATAGTGATACTCACTCCGTGACTCGACTGTGACTGCCGTAACTGCCGTATATAAATAAGGGGTTCGGTTGCAGTACGCCTTCACGAGGCCGAAACACGCATTCAATGTTATTATCCCACCCAACTCAAGTCCGATCGTCACAGATTCCCAGAGAAAGCCTGGCACACGGGGGAAGCTAGAGGGCAAAGTCAACGACTGAACATTATTATTCTTGAACATTCGGTAGAAGTATTCAGACGGGCGATGAATGGATTCTCAAATCTCCACAGCTCTGACATAGAACCAGGCGGGCCAGGTTGACCTGGCCCGCGAGTGAGGAGTCTGATCATTCCAGCGGTTAGGTAGTTGATATGGAAAGCTCGATGACTAGAGTCTTCAGTCTACTAGACAGTCGACACCGACAGACTGATAGTAGACATGAATCCAATCTAATGGCTGGCATAAAACAAGTGCATCTCCAACCCGACCACACCCCACGGGCACATTAACATGGAGAAACATCGCGCATTGATTAATCCATCCGTCCACGGCAAAACATGACTGTGACAGCATCTTAGTTGATCGTAGCAGTATACGACTACATGTAGTTACGACTTCACAGGACAGGCATATGACCAAACCAACCGAATCAAGTCCACAGACTTAGATTGTCAATCTTGCCGCCGAGATCTCAAACGCCCATCCTCGTTCGTCCGTTTCACCGTTTCATGATGCGCCTCGCGGCCCAATCCAGTGGCGCATCGTGGGGCTGTCAACACGGCCCATATCCACTTAACCGGTTCCGAGCGCCAGACTGGAAAGTGAGGATGATTGTTGCCCAGCACCGCGATCAAATAAGGTGGATGACATGCTCCTGTCGTACCGTCGTTGGCGTTTTGAAGGATTGAACACCCAGAGTATGATTGTTTCATTTCGCAGCGTCTCATCAACGTGAACGGTCGAACAGATGACCGATATAGCTACTAGCTACTAGCTAGTGCTACTACTGCACCTCCCACCCTAGTCATGAGTCGAGTAACTGACCTCATGCGCTTGCACCGTTGAACAAGTCCTGGAATAGGGTACTGGAGTCGTGCGCAGAGGGGACGAAGACCAAAAAAAACAACAACAAAATAGATCATATCCACCCTGCTGGTGTCCACTTTGCCTCCCTAATTGTCTGAGATGTAGATCGCTCACTTGCTACAATTCCCGGCTATGGAGATGCCTCTATCGAATGAAGAGACCAGATTCGCCGTCGGTCCCCTTTTTCCTTTTCTTGCTCCCCTCGATATACCTCTGATCATGAATGTATTGAATGGAAATGAATGTACAATGAACGGCTTCGAAGTTCGAACACCTATCGTGACGGCAGTCCCGTGGGGCACTCGGAGACGCTTGTCTGCTTCTTCACTGACCAGGAAATTTGGCCAAGACTTGGTTCCCACTCCCACTGGGTCGTAGTGTACAAGTGTAATGGAGATCTGGTGGGCGAGGAGGTCGCCGCACTGACTACTGAGTGCGGGCGATGAAGCATAGCGGGACGGCGAAGAGGCTCGATGCCAGGCTACGCAGACCCCTGATTTGGTCGATGATGTCTCGAGTCAGATGTCCAGTCCCTCGTCCTACTGACTCAGTTAAAATAAAATCAACCCCGAGTCCCCATTTCCCCTCAGTCGAGACGAGTCATCCAGGCTCACACATTCCCTTCTTTTCTCTTTTATCCCTGCCGTCGAGCTTGGCTATCACTCTCCTTTTCTTCCACTTTGATTCCAAGGCCGTGGGAATCAATCTGGATTCTCCATCTTTGCCTCAAAGTCCACTCATTTTGTCGTTGCAACAGGCTGAGCCTCGAGTGACTCTCTTCCTTAAAAAGAAAACTGTACGTTCCGTTTGCTCCTCGGGAGCTCGGTCAATGGAGAATGGCAGCCGATTTGTATGATACTGACTGACTCGCGCGGCCTGCAGTATAGATCAGACCACTTTGAAGTCACCTGCTGCCGATACCACGTCTCAGCAAACTGACCATTCGATTTGTTCTGCATTGCATCCAGTCGCAGTAAGTGGAATGTCATCATCAAGTCTTGCACATGCCCACGACCACCCCACTGCTGCTCTGTTGCTCGCATCTCTCCACTACGACGCCTCCCGTCGTGCCCCGATGCAAGGGGTGCATTCTCCCCTTAACTCTCGTCGAAGGAGAGGGCGCACACTTGCACCTCGATACTTCTTCTACCTCTACCTGTCCACGAGGACCCAGTCTTCCATCATTCAAGATGCGGATCTGCTTGCCCTAGTCGTGCATAACCCCTCTCTGTCCACTGACCCGTGCCAGCCGCCTGGAGAGGGTCAGCGATGCAGCATCCCCCTCTCCCATTTACACATGCGATGCTTGGCGACACCGGTCGAACTGACTTGACTGCAGACATCTCACGCCCTCACTCGCTGCTGTGCGGTCCATACGTTCATTGAAATCCTCAGTCACGGTTGATTTCTCTATATCCGATTGACTCGGTGTATCGGGTCATTTTCTGGACCTTGCCTTTCATTCTCTCTTCCGCTATAGACCACTTGCTCGGCTGTCGCTCATTTCACACAATCTCTACCATTGCTATCCGAGGCTTTTCGCATATCTGAAACATGCTGGACTCGCATCGCCTCACAGCGGCCCTGGTCGCCAGTTTGACGCTCTTTCCGGGCTTGTCGGATGCTTTCTGGCGTCTGCCCTGTCGTGGCCGCGCTGGTGTTGCCCGCCTGGATCCTATCGTGGACCCCAATACGATCTCCAACCATGTCCATGTGATTCACGGATCAGGAAGTGAGTTCAATCGGCGTATCTGTCCAGCGCTATTCCCAACAGCGGCATATATTGACGAGACATGCAGGTTTCGGCATGGATTCGAATACGGAATCTCTGCTTGACTCTGACTGCACATCCTGCGCGGTAAAGCAGGACAAATCCGCTTATTGGACCCCCGCCCTCTACTTTATGCACTCTAACGGCAGTGCCGAAATGGTGGAGCAAGTCGGTGGCATGCTTGCGTATGTACTTTGGCTGTCGGACTCTAGAAGACACGGACCAGACAACATGTACTAACATCCGGTCGATGGATCTCACCAGATATTACCTTCAGTATGGCGACAATATCACGGCCTTCCCAGACGACTTCCGCATGCTGGCCGGTGACCCCTATCAACGAAACTTCACCTGGCCAGTGCCCGACCCTCCCAAGTCTTCCTGGACCGGCGATGCCATCTCGCAAGCGGCTCTGCGTCAAAAAGCTCTCGGCTTCAACTGCCTGCACTACGCTTCCGCCCCCGAGGGCTCCCTCTACCGCCACTTCTTGCCAGACAAGAAGTTCCTGGACGAGTACTGTACCGATGGTATTCGTCTTGAGCTACTCTTCCCTTCGTGCTGGAACGGCAAGGATACCGATTCTCCCGATCATCGGTCGCACGTTGCTTACCCTACCCTCGGCAACGGCGGTACTTGTCCCAAGGGCTTTGAGACCCGTCTGGCGACTCTCTTCTTCGAGACCATCTGGAACACCTACGCTTTTAAGAACCACGACGGATACTTCACCCTGGCGAACGGTGACCCTACCGGGTACGGGTACCACGGTGACTTCATGAACGGCTGGGAGACTGGTGTGCTGCAAAAGGCTCTGGACACCTGCACCGATCCTTCGGGTGAGGTGCAGGCTTGTGGTATCTTCGAACTCCAGGATGATAACGCTCAGGGCAAGTGCCATATTGATATCCCCGCGGCTATCGCGCATGAAGACGTCATGATGCACGAGCGAGGCATTCCCGGCCCAATGGAGATCTCGTGGGGACCTGAGTACGCCGCCATGGATATGAAGCCCTCCGGATCGTCTGCCTCATCTGGCCACAGCTCAAAGTCCTCTTCTTCCTCCTCCTCCACCACCACCACCACCACCTCCTCCTCGGCAGAGCACAGTGTCCCAACTATTGCCGTGCCCGCCGTCTCGATCGGCCAGACCATCGACGTCGGCAAGATGCTTGGCCATGCCGATGCGGTCAAGACTGTCGAACCGGCGACTAGCGCAAGCACTACCGCTGCTGCCGTAGTGACCTCTGGTCCTGCACCGGCTTCTTCTGTCCTGGTGGATGCCTACCCCGAGATGATCATCTACGTGCAACAGGAGATGGTTGTGATGCTTGGTGACAACGGCGTGCCCATCGCCACCACCACGGGTGCCCTGCGCACCGTCTCCAGCACTCTCACCACTGCCCTGGAGACTTCTACTGTTGTCGCGAATGTTGTCAAGAGAGAAGCTACTCCCCCAACGCTCCAGGAGCCCGACATTCAAGTCGAGGTTCTTGTTGGCAGCGCTCAGAACCGCCACCACGGCCACGTTCACAAGCGTCATGGTCACTAGACTCGTGGTGAGGTGTTGGTCGATGCATTGTGTCATGACCTGCCGCGCTGTGCGTTGCATGGTTCAATTACTTGCGTCCTCCAGTGCAGGAGAGCTGGGCCGTGCAGTTTAATATCTGCTGTAACCTTCTGGAAAATGGGGTCGAGGTGGAAGTGTCTTGTCTGCCTATCTCGTGCGTTTAGAACAAATTCTTGTACATCGTTCAATTTAACTTCTTTTCTTGAAGCGTTCCCTGACCGGGCAGGGCCGATGAATATTATTTGTATCTGATGGTGAGAGAGCCTTTCTGCGAATTAAGATGGGGCAATGGACAGGAGATCTTGGTTGATGTGTGAACTTAGCTTCATTGACTCCTCTCTAGTCTCTCCTCTCTATTACCTGCGAGCGACGCATGGCACAAGTTGCGAGTTGATTTGTGGATCTTTCGCCCGGTAGTCTTGCTCTCACAATCTTTCACCCTCTTGCCGAGTACCACCACTCCCAGCAGGAGGACGACGAATGCCCATAATAGGAAGGTCATTTCCCCCACGAGCGGGTCATCGGCCCCTTGACTTATACCGGGGCGTGTCAATCTCATTTGTCATCATCCACGTTTCACACGGCCATTAGAAAGACGCTGTTCCGTCCTAGAGCATCTCTTCCCATGATGCCGCGGTGGGTAACGAAAGCTTGGTACTGTCTGGATTCAGCAAGCAACCTCGCTCTTTCATGGATACATCGACAGGAGTTGGAGGTAGGCAGGTACAGTAGGACTACCTGGCACACAGAATCAGTGGGTACTAAAGTAGTAAGGTGCTAATGTGCTATTGAAAATGCCAATTAGCCTGAACACCCCGTTTGTAGTTCGTTGTACTCGGCTCTCGGTCTCGTCCTTCCCGACTCGGCCCTCTCCAACAAACCCCGCACGTCCCAGCCTTCAAAGCTCCAACCTCCAACACAAAACCACCTCCAACAAAATAGCCCAAATAACCAGATGACACGGTCGGCGTCCACATTGGGCAGGCAAAAGGACAGAATCCAGATCTGTCTGACTGGGCTCCGTGTCGAGCTTGTCGATGCCCCTCTCTTTGAAAGGGTCCAGGGCCATACAAATTGCATCATCCGCGACAATCTTTCCCCCCCCCGCATCTGTTATTTTGTGATGATGCCACCCACCTTGGGAAGCATCCAGTGGCTCGTGTGAGATCCACCAATGGATGGGAATGAGATGGGAAACGGTTGTGTGGTCTGCCACGCATGGGCGATTGTTGCTTGAACTATATAAGGGGACAACGCCCTCCCCCTGGCACTTTCTCTCTGTTTTTCTGATTTCTCAAGACAAATTCTTTCTTAAGTACATTGACAATGTCTGAAGCTCTACCTGAGATGCAATACCGGAGCCTTGGCCGCACAGGTCTGAAGGTGTCTGTGATCTCGCTGGGCAGCTGGCTCACCTACGGTGGTCATGTTGGCAATGGTAAGAGCAACTCAATACCTGATTCATCCTTCAAAGGTCATCAATTACTCTGGAGAGGAATCCCATGGCTAACGAACCATGTCCTGGTTCAGAAACCGCCTTTGACTGCCTGAAGGCTGCTTACGAGGCCGGCATCAACTTCTTTGACACTGCGGAAGGTTACTCGGGGGGTCAATCGGAGATTCTGCTCGGGGAAGCGATCAAGAAGTTTGGCTGGAAGCAAAATGATCTGGTCATTTCAACCAAGGTGAGTTGAGCGCAATGCTGGCTACTGCCCCACGACTCCTTCTCAAGACCACTCTGAAAATTCCCCAACTCGAGTCCAACGGCTCATGTTTTCTTTCAAGCTGTACTGGGGCGGAGCCAATGGCGCCAACCCCGACAAGCCACTGAACAACAAGGGCCTCTCCCGCAAACACATCATCGAGGGAATGGACCTCTCGCTTCAGCGTCTCAACCTCCCCTATGTGGACATTGTCTACGCCCACCGGCCCGACCGCGATACTCCGATGGACGAAGTCGTCCGCGGCTTCAACCATCTCATCAACACCGGCAAGGCGTTCTACTGGGGTACCTCTGAGTGGACCGCCAGCGAAATCTCCGACGCCTGGCGAATCGCCGATAAGTTGAACCTTATCGGTCCTTGCGTTGAACAGCCCCAGTACAACCTCCTGGCTCGTGAGCGCGTGGAGAAGGAGTACCGCTGGCTGTACGAGGCTCACGGTCTGGGCCTCACGGTCTTTTCACCTCTCAAGGGTGGTGTCTTGACCGGCAAGTACAACGAGACGACTAACCCGCCGCCCGGCTCGCGACTGGCCGAGTCCCACGATAATTACATCAAGGGTCTGCGCAAGACTGTTGGTGATGATGGCTGGAAGAAGCAGTTGGAGCAGGTGGCTGCTCTGAAGCCGATCGCAGAGGAACTAGGTGTCTCCACGGCTCAGTTGTCGTTGGCTTGGATCTTCAAGAACCCCAATGTGTCGTCGATGATCATCGGTGCTTCTCGTGTTGAGCAGGTGCTTGAGAATGTGCGGGCGTTGGCGGTGGTGGACAAGTTGACCGATGAGGTCCTGGAGAAGATTGAAGCTGCGGTGGGGACCAAGCCTGCTATGGAGGTTCGGAGATTTTAGAATTCCTTGTCTCTCTTGAGCGAGTCCAGTACTGATGTCCGTATGAAAAATGAACACGATGTGAATGCTGGAGTTTCTATCATAACCGTATCATCCAAACAAAAGATGAGGTCGTCTTATCTCCAGTCAAGCTAGCTGAAACTAAGAACATCGCAGTAGCATGGAACCGATCGAAGATTCTTCGTGTTGTGTGACTCAGTCTTCCCCTGTAGGACTCGGACTTCAAAACCTAAATACACTTTCCACCATCGATCACCATCTCCGTCCCGTTGATGAAGCGCCCCTCGTCACTTCCCAAATACACACACATATTGGCAATGTCGTCCGCCTCCGTCAACCGACCCAGCGGGACATTACCGATGAACTTCTGTCGATTCTCAGGCGTATCTTCCATGCCCGTGAACATGGAGAACAAGCCGGTTCCAGAAAGGAGCGGCGCAACGCTATTGACGCGAATATTGTGCGGTCCATACTCTGCTGCCAGACCTTTGGTAGCCTGTGATGGAACGGGTGTCAGATAGCTTGGTCAGTCATGTTCCATGAAAAACTACCTAGATCGCCAGATCGGATCCAGAGTCAAGTGGATCTTCGGGATGGCGGTGGACAAGCAGTAAACTCTTACATTTGTGACGGCGGCTTTGGAGGAGTTGTACCAGACCAAACCGGGTCGAGGTCGAGTCGCACCCGTCGATGAGATGTTGATCATGGAGCCGCCTTGTCCCTGTTGGATGAGGACGGGCATGACCAGTTGAGCCGCGTAGTAGATGCTTTTCACATTGACGTCGAATACCCGTTCCCACTCTGCCTCGGTGACTTCGGCGGTAGGCTGTGAAAAGACCCTGTGAGCGTACCTTCTTCGTGTGACGGAGCACGAACCAGTGGGGATGACTGAAACGAGGAAGCTACATCGCCAATGTGTAGTACATTGGTATCACTCACCTTATTGCGATAACTTGTCCCAGCATTATTCACAACAATATCCAAGCGACCAAATTTGTCGGATGCGGTGTGAATAGCAGTTTCCCAGTCCTGCTTGCTTGCCACATTCATGTTGAGGGTAACATAATTGGGATTCTCAGAGGGAGCCTCTTGACTTGGCCAGTTGATGTCTGCACCTAGGACTCGGGCACCTTCTTCCAAGTATCGTCGAGCAATGGCTGCACCGAAGCCAGATGCGGCTCCTATCAATGCGAAGAGGTCGCAATGAGTCAGTTTAAAATCACGACCACGGTGATATAGATACATCGGATCACTGTCTCACCTGTGACGATTGCCACTTTGCCCTGGAGACGATTGCCTTGTGTGGTCATGATTGGAGATATACTGGACTTGGAAGTTGAAAACGAGTTCGATCAAGACAAGGTAGCAGTCAATGAGGAATTAACATTCAAGGTGGTAGACCTCCAGTGGCGTTTAAAGAGGGGAGAAACGTTGCTGCCCTGGTTCGGCATAAAATCCGGGGTTGATCTTCCCCGCATCGCAGCTCTTCCGATAAACATGATGGATAAGATGGTTCTGTCAAATTATGTGAAAGTTACTCGGACCTTGATCATGTGTGACCGAATCGCGTTGATTGACACAGCAGTGAGTGAATGAGAGACTAAGTAGGTAGCCGAACACGAAAATGCTTCTGATTGTAGTGTCTTTCATCCCCGAGGTCCCGTCCTGTAAACTTTACATTTTCCCTCTTGATTTTACTAATTTGTACTGTACATTCTTGTCCAATTCCCCGCCGCTTATTGCAACGAGGTTTCCAATGGGGCCACGGATGGAGAGGTAACAACATGACAACAATGGCGGAGACTTTCGTTCCCATCACACATCTCCATGAGGCTCTTTGATGGTTTCAAGATCCCTGATTACGGAGTCAACCTGATCCCACTTTGATCCTCAATCGAATGCTCCCCTTGAAAGTTTGTGTCGTCATCTTTTAGTCGAGATCCTACGACGAGAGCCTCCCCTCCCCTGGCACAGTGCGCACGGCGCAGGTTAGCTTTGCTTTCAGCCGCCTTGCTCCACCACGCTTGGATGGGGTTGGAAACCGCCCCCAACCCGCTTCGATGGTGACTTTTCGCTCACGTCCGCTCAGCCTCTGCCACACGGGCGCAGTGCGGTAGTGTCTCCGGAGCTGCAAGAGACAGGCTAGGTCTGTGATAGTCGAGTCATAGCTCAGAGCAACTTGCAAGTCTTGCATCTTTCTTGCCATCTTCACCATCCATCCCGTCCGCGCAGCGTCCTCGCTATATCGTGAAACATCCTTACCCCCCCTCTCTTGCACGCCACGGTCGCCGTGTATCATGCGATGAACACGGTACAGCTACGCGTCTTCATGTCTCGACCCCAAGCCGCACTTCCTCGTCCGCACCCCCCATGGAAGTTCGCAATGCGGGCGCTCCAGTGAAGGCCGAGACATCACCAGACCTTCCATCGCCCACACAACCGCCCTCGGTCGACTCACCGTGTCCGTCGCCATCTGCGCCCACCACCACCCCCACTATCGCCTCTTCTTCGCATCCAAAGCGACCCTCCTCCGAGCCTGTCCCGCCCCGAAAACGTGTTCGCCGCTGGCACCACCGCGGCTTCACGGGCTGCTCAACCTGTCGTCGCCGACATGTCCGCTGCGACGAGGCCGCTCCGACCTGCAAGAATTGCACCCGTCTTGGCCTCGAGTGCGATGGACTGCAAGGCCGGATGACTTTCAAGGTCTACGGGCCAACGCCGACGCCGCAGACAAGTCGACTGAGCGGACAGAGTCGCGGGAAGCAGAGTCACACGGAGAGTAGCCCGGACTCTTCGAGCGAGTCATGCGGCTCCGGAACAGGAGTGACTGTGAAGTCGGAGACGGTGGGCGATTGCGAGACGCTGGGGGGAACTCCCACCACGCTACCGCAATTGAAGGACCAGACACGTTTTCACTTCCAGCAGCCCGTTCGCCCGTCCAACCTGCGGTCAGTGACTCTGCGATGCACGGATGAGCAGTACTTTGGTCATTTTGTCAATCAGGTCTCGAGTCTGTTGATCGTCCACGAAACCGCTCTCAAGGTCAACCCGTACCGTAGCTGTTTCCCCGATCTAGCTCGGTCGTCGTCGTCCATGACTGCCGCCATGCAAGCGCTGGGCGCTTTACACTTGGCAAACACCTCCTATGGAAATGAACGGCTTGGCCACTTTGAAACCGCCATCGGCAAGTACGGGCAGGTGATGACGACCGTTCGGGACGGTCAGACTTTTCCCAATGGCAAGATTCGAATTCAAGACCTTGCGACTTGCTTGTTGCTGTGTCTCTTCGAGGTACGTTCACATCCTGACCGCACTCAAGTATTGCACGAGAAGGCAGCTATTGACCTACGATGTTCTGTAGATGATGGATTCTCAGCATCCGAACTGGGAGATTCATCTCAAAGGTGCTCGTGAAATGTACAACCTTCTCTTTTGTCCCCGAAGCGACAAGCTTCCTAGCGAAGGGCAGTGCATCGACGATGTGCACCATCCTCTACGATCTTTTCTCCTCTCGCTGCTGTCCTCGCTTGATGTGGCCGGCGCATGTGCCAGGCCCGGTGACCCAGTGGCAACAAAGAGCTACTGGAAGACGCTGGAGGGCGGTTGGGAGTACAATTTTGGCATTCCCCGTCTGTCCACCACCACACCTCCGGATGATCCTCGTCTGCTGGAACTGCGCAAGGCATGGTCCCGGATGATGGAAGTCAGGGCTATCATAAGCACATTTGCCCGCGACAAGGCAAGGTTAAGCCCTGACCAACAGGACCTTATCTACCGACGCATCTTTCATCAATTGGCCGCCTGGCGTCAGACCACTCCAATCCCGCTCCAAATACTGGGGGAGATGGAGCTCCACCACGAGCGTCTCGACGCTTTCCCGGAGCCAGACATGTTGGAGTACTACGGCTGTGTCGAGGCATATGAAAAGGCGACTCTGGTGCATCTGCACCAAATTGCGGGTGCGGGCCGACCCAACTGGATCACCGATCGAGCGTATCTGGATTCGCTGATCACGCGGATCGTGACTCTCATCCGTCGATTGACTACGGACGTTGGCCAGCTCGCATTTCTCTGGCCGTTGTTTATCGCCGGGCGGGAGACGCGCAAGGCCGAGGAGCAACAATATGTTCAGCGCACCCTGCACGAGCTGACACGATTCGGGTTCCGAAATGTGGACAAGGCACTGGAGCTTCTCGAGGGTATCTGGTTGAAGCGACGGGCTTTTCCAGAAGGCTGGACGGAGACGCTCGAAGAGCTTCAGACGAACATTCTTCTGCCGTAAGCCAGCCGAAGAGTGGAAGGATCCATGTTTGGCCGGCAGTAGTCTTGAACTGACCGTAGTAGTGTTCTAGCGGTAGTCTGAAGAGTCTGCAATCTACTGAACATACCTGAGTCTTGGCTTTTATTTTGTGTCAAATGCTGTTTTTCTTCACCGGAGGCTTGCGCGCCCGGCTAAAAGCGGTTGTAGAAATAGACTGTAGTGTTCCTCTTATGGATTGCATCTGTCAGTGTCCATACCAAATCCCATGCTTTCCGACCTTGACCCGATCAAGCATGGCGCTTGACAGGATTGTGTCGACTGTCGAGTGGAGCAGCGCCACGCCGGCCAGTGACTTTTACCCTTGGTGTGCAGACTACAGTGAAGCAGTGGTGCAGTTCTGCAAGCTTTGCACTTGGACCATTCTTCTGAAGGTTTGGCAGACCACGGACTTTATTGCTGGTCATGGAAGGCACCTGATGATCTTCCTACCGAAAACCCTGCCGTACCCTGGTTTGTCCACGACTCACCCCATCGGTCTGTCAAGCTTCAAGCTTGAATTGCCTTGCGTGTACCTGGTCATACTGCACAGTCATACTGCATCGGTGTATAGTGCATACTGTGTTTAGTCTCTAGTAGTACCACTACCGACAGCGATCGAAGTGTCATTCTCTTTTCGACGTCCCCATGTGCTGTTCTCTTCCCTGGAAGGCTTGGACTGGGGCCATGCCCACCTTGAACAACCAAGTTGGACGGATCAGACAGCTCCGCCATGGTTATAGCATGGCGGGACTCGTGGAGTCTCTCCATGCTTAGTACCAGGGTAACACTTCGGACATGGGCAGGTACCGCCTGAAGCAAATCAATTACTTCAACCGATGTTGATCGGCACAGAGACGTCTCGAGTCTCGAGTCTCGACTGTATCATGACTGATACGGTGTGTGCGAAAGGTTTCTACGCCTTGTCTAGACTCTAGACGTCTTCACTCATGACCTTCTCTTTTTCCACGGGTGATCTTCAAATCCCGTGGACTTTCCACGACAACGCACCGTCCCTCCCGCAAATCAAGACTGAGGATGGGATCATTGCCCACGGCCCACGGACCAGTCTTGTCGCCCGAGATAAGCGCGGTGGAAGTACCACTGCCAGAGCTCAGAGTTTAGAGTTCCGAGTTCACAGAGTCCCAGAGTCCAGACAGGGCGTGGGTCCAGAAGAAATGAGCCCAGTCCCCGTGCAGAGGCGTCATGTCATTCGCGTTCAATATCAGGATATCCAAAGCCCGGGTTTCTCGTCTTCGGCCGCGTTGTCGGGGCGTCGGCATCAACTCCACTCGAGACTCTTGTATGTTGAAATTGAATCCTGCAGCTTGAGAGGGTTCACAAACGGCTTCCCATTAGTATATACTCACAGTATCACTATCACCCACCTGCAATTCCACTTGACAGATAGCATATCCTTGATCTGAACAGCTCTCGAGCTTGAGCTTGCATCCCTAAACTTCCCGCCCCCGCCCGGTGGGGGGTTTGCTCTGGCGGTACTGCGGTAAGGCAGAGAGGAAGAGACTGTAAGAGTTTCCTAGAAGGTTCCTGGTCGCAAAGCTCATGACGGGACCGGCAGAGGCGCGAAAAAAAAAAAAAAAAGGTGCGCCAGGAAAATAGCCTCTCCAAAAAGTCTAATCAACCGGACCTCTTTCTCCTCCTCTCGTGAATGACTGACTCTTGAGGTCACTTTTCCTGTTCCTGTAAGTGTATGACCCTTGAAATCCGTAACGCTGTCAGATCGCATACTTGGCGGGCGAAGTGGTCGGGAAAGCATTCTGATCTAATCAAGATTTAGACTTTTTCTCTCTCTTTTTTTCTGCATCCCGCTACGCTTACCCAGGGGGTGTCTTGCGATCGGTCTTTTTTTTTTGGCTGGAGTACTTGATTTCCTCGACCTCGTGCTCGATTTGTGCAGTGAGAGATAGCAAGCATGGCTCGAGAGCAGGAGAACCTCACTGCCGGTCGTGGCGAAGAGGTGATGACCGAGGGAGAGGGTGAGCGCAGCTCCATCGAGGCCAAGGATGATGCGGCGCTTTTGGTAGGTGATCTGTCCGCAGTCCAGGATTCTTCCCAAGTTTTCATGCTAATGAATCATGACAGCAAACAATGGGATATAAGCCCGTAGGTTCTTCGACTTTCAAGACTGCAATATCTGATCATTGCAGCACTGGGCCAGAGACATGGAAATGAACACTGATAGCTGATGGTCCCGATATCGGTCATAGGTCTTGCACCGGACTTATACTCTGTTTGAGAATTTCGCAACCACATTCGGTACGTTCAGAGATGAGCCATGTGGGCAGAGAGAGGGCTGCGACAACTGACACTTTCGCCTCTTCCAGCGGCGCTGTACTTTGTCGGCGGTGTCCGCGTCACGTTCAGCACCGGTATTGCCGCCGGTGGGAATCTCGCTTACTGGACGAGTTACCTGGTGACCATGGTCTTCACCTTCATCACTGCTGCTGTCATTGCGGAGGTGTGCTCTGCGTCTCCGTCGGCCGGCTCCATCTATCTGTGGGCGGCCGAGGCTGGCGGTCCTCGATTCGGGCGGTTGCTGGGATTTGTCGTGGCGTGGTGGAGCACTACAGCCTGGACGACTTTCTGTGCCAGTGAGTGAGTCCCTGTTTTGATTCTCTGTCTTCTTGCTTGATGACAAGGGGAGCGCCTTTGGAATATACTAATATGGCTTGTCCAGGTAACACACAGGCAGCAGTCAACTATATGCTCGCGGTACGTGGTCGGGAATCATGCGCAACGTACGTCGGTGTCCCATTCTGATATCTTTGATATAGGAAATTACCGTCTTCAACCTGGACTTCCCGTCCGACCCCTCGGATGTCAAGTTCCGTGCCGTGCAATGGATTTGCACCGAAGTTCTTCTGGCCTTGGCGGCTCTTCTGAACTTTTTGCCTCGTATGTGACATTTCCCGAAGACTCACCTCACCTCCTCTTTACATGCCTTTTTCTTTTCATTTCTTCATTTCTTTCTCTCTCTCTCTCCCTCTCCCTCTCTCTCTCTCTAACCTGTGTTCCTTTTCAATGTTCCAGCCCGCTACTTTAAATATGTCTTCTGGATATCTGCGGGCTTTGTCATGTTGGACTTTTTCATGAACCTCATCTGGCTCCCCATCGGGACTGTCCAGACATGGGGATTCCGGACCCCCCATGAAGCTTTCATGACGACTTACAATGGGACGGGTGCCCCCGACGGATGGAACTGGTGTCTGTCTTACCTGGCCACTGCCGGTATCCTGATTGGATTCGATGCCTCGGGCCACGTGGCCGAGGAGACCAAGAATGCCGCCGTCACTGCTGCCCGGGGTATTTTCTGGAGTACCGTGGCGAGTGGGTTTGGGGGTCTGGCAACGATCATTCTGTTCCTGTTCTGTGCTGTGAGTCAAAGCCACCAGCAGTCTCTTGTCGCCCCTCCCCCCGGCTCGTGCTTGTATTAACACTGTGTTGCGATCACAGCCGACTCCAGACCAGTTGTTTGCGTTTGGCTCACCACAGCCATTTGTCCCTCTCTATGCCGTCGTTCTCGGCCAAGGTGGGCATGTTGTGATGAACGTGGTCTGCATTGTTGCCTTGTGGCTGGTGAGTCTCTCCTAGCGGGGGCCCTCTCAACCCCATCTCTCCCTCTTTTGTGAAACATCCCACGCCGTCTAACACGGGGCCACTTATTTTGTTTTTTTTTTTCTCTCAGAACACCGCCATTGCCATCATCGCTGCTTCCCGGCTCGTCTTTGCTGTCGCTCGAGACGGCGTCTTGCCCTTCTCCGGCTGGGTCGCCAAGGTCAACAACGGTCAGCCTCGCAACGCCGTGATTGTCGTCTGGGCCGTTGCTGCCCTGGTGACATGTACCTTGCTCCCCTCGAGCGTGGCATTCACCTCGCTTGTCTCCGCCGCGGGTGTACCTAGTGCGGCCGCCTACGGACTGATCTGTCTGGGTCGACTGTTCTGCACGCCGAAGCGCTTCCCGAAGCCGCAGTGGAGTCTTGGACGCTGGAGCAAGCCCTTTCAATTCATCGGCGTCTTTTGGAATGGATGGGTCGTTGCGGTGTTGTTCTCTCCATATATTTGGCCTGTGAATGGGCAGAATTTGAACTGTAAGTTTGAGATTGACATGCGTCGGTTTTGATGACTTTTTCTTGCTCTGCCTTCGGGGAATCTGTTTTTCTGATTTGAGTATTTTTTTTCTTCTTCTTCTTCTAGATGCTCCGATCATCATGGCCGGCGTCACCGTCTTGGCGCTCATCTCATACTTCGTGATGCCCGAGAGCGCCTGGCTCCCAGCCGACCGTATCACCCACTTTATCGACAGCAAGGGTGTCAGCAACGTATCCGAGACGGTAGAGGAAGTCGCTCCGTCGGCAGAGCGTTCTTGATGAGACTGAGATTCTCTACGAGCCCCGACGACGGTTGAGAGGGGGCCCCACGACGACTTGCTTTGAAGGCTAGACGAAACGAGTGGGAAAAGTTTGCTTGTTTTCTTTTCAGTGGTAACATTTGCCGGAATCCTATCTCGGGGTCTGTGGTTTCCATTCTTATGTTGGAAGAGGGGCGCACGGAAGCACGGAAGCACAGAAGCGAGGATAGGAGACAATTGGTGTGGCGTTTACATATCGAGTATTGAGCGATGCAGTCCTCTGGATTCAGCTGTGTATATAGGGTTCATGAGTATGCTACGACAAGGCATCTGTACAAAAATGGTCGCCAAGTGATCTTCTCTTTCGTTTCATCGATCTTCCCATTGGCCTGCTCTCTGGAATCCGACCCGCAATAGACGGCAATTAGGGTCGGGGATGGACCGCTTGCAATAGATGTACAATCAGCGCCCAGTCAACGTGACCTTTGCTGCACGGGCCCGAGCACGGATCGCGCCCAGACACCCCCAGACACACCAACCCCGGACTTTTTACCCCGCATCGATCACTCCATGTTTGATGAAGTACTTGTATGGACATGTAAGTTATCCACGATTCCATGAAGCTCGACTGATGGGTAGAGCCCCGAAATTCGGTCTTTGATCCGTGCTTCCGTGCTTTCTGCCCCCGATTTGTTGCTGGCTACACCTGCAGGGACGGAGCACACTCTTCCAGGTATCATGGCGGCGTGCTGTTTCGCCTGTCCCCGATATCCTGCCACATGCTGCCCAATCGACGACTGTTCACTGGTTCAGTGACAGGGGGGATGGATGGGCTGTGCGAAGCTCGCACGAAGTCTTTGGAGGGATTTGTCCGATTTGCGGACGCGCGGAGCTTATCGATTGGAGGATGTATGTGTATGGGAATATTGGGGGATGGAGGAATGGGAAGAGCTTTGGTCGTACTGAGTGGCTGCTGGGATGTCCCAGTCCGAGGGAGGGGTGCAGTCCTCCCCTGGCACCTCGGAGTGAATGCACCGAGAGTCACCGCAATCTTGCTCGAGAAAGGGGACGTTCAACCCCTTCGGATGCAACGATCACACAGTAGCGGAATGTGGTCGCGTGGAGGAAGAAAGGCATATCCAAGAGCAAGTACACAGATACACCATGCAGTCATCCCCCACCCGAGCAAATATCAAACTTCAAGTGAGTACCGGACGAGATGAGCAGCAAGGCAAAAGCGCCGAAAGCGTCACGGGTGGAGATGGGCGGACGATCGGCGGATCCTCTCTCGGGTGGGGAAAGATCAGAAATGGAGCCTTTTTGGAAAGTCAAGAAAGGGCCCGATGAAGACGTGGATCCGACTTCCTGCGTCGTGCAGGACTGTAGATGTGTACTTCGAGGAGCTTAGGAGACCCCGAGTCGTAGCAAGGAGTATCCGGATAGCGTGTAGTGTGAGTGACCATAAGCAGCTGACTTGATTGAGGTTGTAGGGGAAAGGGGTCAACAAGGCCGGAAGAGGAGCTTGAATGGCAGCAGCTTGTCAGGACGACGTTCCATGGATTCGGACGGTTAGTTCGATCTCGATTCATTTTCATTTCAAATCCAACTACTTTTTCACTTTCACTCCCTGAGACTGCGGCAGTCTTCAATACTCGAATCAGTTTCAAGCCATTACTTCCACCAAGCGCAATTGATCTTTCCCCTCTCTCTTTCTCCAATCTCCAATCTCCATCTCCCCCCCCGGCACTGGCCCTGGCACTGACACCGCGCGCCGTGCCCGTTACATCGCGTCTTTTGCCTCTTTGGGTTAACACCTCTTCCCAAAGGTCGGTCTCTTTTTTGAAACTGGGAGCCCAGAAAGGAAAAATACAATAAAAAGGATCTGACCGTAAACGGGAGAGAGAGAGAGAGAGAGAGAGAGAGAGAGAGAGACACGCACATCAACGTGGGGGATTCCCCGCTTTCTCTCAATCGTTCTCTCTCCTCATCCTCTTGACTCCGCCTCTCGTGTCCTGCTTCCACATTCCTCACCTTTCCCTTCTTTCGAAGATTCTCACCACCTTCGGTCTCACCTGCTCGAGGACTCGAACAGCCTGCGACGGTTTCCGATGTTAGCCTGCTGATTGTCATATGCTCTGTTCGGAGACAGAGAGACACTCGTAGTCATGAGTCTTCCGATCTCCCTGCGATCGGCACTGAGACCCTGCCTGGCAGGGTCTCCTGCGGGTGCGGGGAAAGTACTCTTCACCCAAGCTGGTATGTGCATGTCCCAAATACACTCTCTGCATCGTTCAGCTTGAAAGTCTTTGTCTGCAAGGTCATGGACAACAACCAGAAAAAGCATGTCATCAGATACAAAGCACTTGGTTAGGGTGCTCTGGCTGAATTGTATCTGTCCAAACCATAGTTTCTCAATACCGACCCTTGGCAACTTTGGGCGTGTCTCAGCCCAGACGCTCGCGGGCTTCACCCCAGTGGCCGTATGTGGTTAAGCGAACCAACAATTCGGCATCGTCGAATTTGTCGGCCGCGTCGGCAGCTCCGGCGAAAGAGACAGAGACAGTAGCGACAACACCCTACTCGGCGCTGACCGTGGGTGTGCCTCGAGAGACGGCCCCCAACGAGCGTCGCGTGGCTATCACGCCGCAAAATGTCGCCATTCTACTGAAGAAGGGCTTCTCGCGCGTTCTGATCGAGCGCGGTGCCGGCGAAAGGGCCCAGCTGCTGGATCATGTCTACGAAAAGGCCGGCGCAACCATGGTCGACCGGGACACCCTCTACGCCCAAAGTGATATTGTCTTGAAAGTGCGAGGGCCTCAAATGGATGGCCCCTTCAATGAGATCGCCGCTCTTCGCAAAGGCACCACCGTGATCTCGTTCTTGTACCCGGCTCAGAACAAGTCCGTCGTCGAGGCTCTCGCCGCGCGAGGCGTGACCGCATTTGCCATGGACCGAATCCCGCGAATCTCTCGTGCTCAGGTCTTTGACGCTCTCAGTTCCATGGCCAATATTGCCGGTTACAAGGCAGTTCTGGAAGCTTCGAACCACTTTGGACGCTTCTTGACCGGTCAGGTCACAGCCGCCGGCAAGATCCCCCCAGTAAGGTCCTCGTCATTGGAGCGGGCGTGGCAGGACTAAGCGCCATTGCTACGGCCCGTCGTATGGGTGCCATTGTTCGAGGATTTGATACGCGTCCTGCGGTTCGCGAGCAGGTGCAATCACTTGGCGCAGAGTTTATCGAGGTCGATTTCCAAGAAGATGGTGCTGGGCAAGGAGGCTATGCCAAAGAGATGTCCAAGGAATTCATCGAGGCCGAAATGAAACTCTTCCTGGAACAAGCCCGGGAGGTCGACATCATCATCACCACAGCGCTCATTCCTGGTAGACCGGCTCCGAAACTCATCACCAAGGATATGGTTGCCGCAATGAAACCGGGTTCCGTGGTTGTGGACCTGGCCGCTGAGGCGGGAGGCAACTGCGAGGCCACGGTCCCCGGAGAGCTGGCCAGCTACAAAGATGTGACCATCATCGGCTACACTGATCTGCCGTCTCGTCTGCCTACACAATCATCCACTCTGTACTCGAACAACATTGTCAAGCTGTTGTTGTCCATGGCCCCCAAAGACAAAACCTTTGGCGTCGACTTCAACGACGAAGTGGTTCGCGGCGCTGTCGTCACACGAGATCATCAGATCGTACCTCCCGCTGCACCAGCTGCACCTCCCCCTACACCCAAGCCCGATACGCAGGCTGCTGCGGGGACCGCGGCGAAGAAGGGCGACGAGGTGCTTGCGCTAACGCCTTGGCAACAGGCAACGCGGGATGTTTCCTTGCTGACAGGCGCCATGGGAACGACGCTCGCTCTAGGCAAGGCCACTGGTCCTATTTTCATGAGCAACATGATGACCTTTGGCCTGGCTGGGTTGGTCGGATACCGGGCTGTGTGGGGTGTGGCCCCAGCTCTTCACTCGCCTCTTATGAGTGTGACAAACGCAATCTCTGGCATGGTCGGTATTGGTGGTTTATTCATCATGGGAGGAGGATACACCCCGACAACGCTGCCTGAGTACCTTGGCGCAGCCTCTGTCCTGCTAGCATTTGTCAATGTATCTGGAGGATTTGTAGTCACCAAGCGCATGTTGGACATGTTCAAAAGACCGACGGACCCTCCCGAGTACCCCTGGCTGTACGCAGTCCCGGGCCTCGTCTTTGGCGGCGGCTTCCTCGCGGCCGCCAGCACGGGAATGTCCGGTCTCGTTCAGGCTGGATATCTCGTCAGTACGATCCTGTGCATGAGCTCAATCTCAAGTCTCGCGTCACAAACGACGGCTCGTCGTGGAAACATCTTTGGTATCCTTGGAGTGGTCTCTGGAATCTTGGCTTCCCTCGCTGCAGTCGGGTTTGACACTGAGACTCTTACTCAGTTCGTTGTCGTGGCGGGTTCTGGCGCACTTGCAGGAGGTCTGATCGGTCGTCGTATCACTCCGACTGGTCTACCGCAGACTGTTGCCGCTTTGCACTCGGTAGTCGGTCTTGCGGCTGTCCTGACTAGTATCGGTAGTGTCATGGTTGACATCGCCGACATCTCCACTCTTCACCTGGTCACTGCGTATCTCGGAGTGCTGATCGGTGGTGTGACCTTTACCGGCTCTTTGGTTGCGTTTATGAAACTCGCTGGCCGCATGTCCTCGAGTCCCAAGATTCTTCCAGGTCGTCACATCATCAATTCGACTCTGCTTGGCAGTAATATTGCCACCATGGGTGCCTTTGTCACTATGGCACCGGCTAACCCTGGAATCGCGGCTGCCTGTCTTGGTGCCAACACCGTCCTGAGTTTCTTGAAGGGATACACCACCACATCCGCCATTGGCGGCGCAGATATGCCCGTGGTCATCACCGTACTGAATGCCTATTCTGGCTTCGCCCTCGTTGCAGAAGGACTGATGCTAAACAACCCACTTCTGACCAGCGTTGGCTCTCTGATTGGAGTGAGCGGTTCGATCTTGTCGTATATCATGTGCGTCGCCATGAATCGATCTCTCACGAATGTTCTCTTTGGCGGGCTTTCTGCTCCCGCTCAGACGCAGAAGAAGATCGAAGGGGAAGTCATCCCAACCAGCGTCGAAGACACGGCCGAAGCTCTGTCCAATGCCGAGAGTGTCATTATCATCGTAGGTTATGGTATGGCTGTTGCCAAGGCACAGTATGCTCTCGCGGAGATTGTAGCCATGCTCCGTGCGCGAGGGGTCAAGGTTCGCTTTGCTATTCACCCGGTTGCCGGCCGAATGCCCGGTCAATGCAATGTGTTGCTTGCAGAGGCATCAGTGCCATATGACAGTAAGTGTAGGAGGCGATGCGTTCAAACGGCCCCCTTTGCTTCTCGCTTTGGGCCCTCTTTGTGGGTCATCAGGCTGACTGCCGGATGATAAACAGTCGTATTGGAAATGGATGAAATCAACGACGACTTTGCCGATACCGATGTGACCTTGGTGATCGGTGCCAACGACACGGTCAACCCTATCGCCATGGAGCCCGACTCTCCAATCTCGGGAATGCCCGTCTTGCACGCATGGAAGAGCAAGGAGGTGATTGTCATGAAACGGGGCATGTCAAGTGGATACGGTACGTGATGGACTCAGGCTTCCGACACTCGGCCTGAAATGAAAAATCCTGGATATTCCGAGAACGTAGTAGGGCCATCGAGCCGGTCGAGAGACGTACGAAGCTAACTTCTGGCCTTTTCTGGGGGATAGCCGACGTACCCAACCCCATGTTCTTTATGCCTGGAACGCGGATGCTCTTTGGTGACGCCAAGAACAGTTGTGACGGTAAGTGAAACCCTTCATTGCAGAGACCATCAACATCTTGGGGTTCTTACTTTTCCTGATACCCTGGTCCGTGTCTGCGCTTTCCTCGGCATCTTACTAACCGACGTTCCGAAATAGCCATCAAGACGGCCCTTGAGGCGCGAAAGTAGTCAATACATCTGCAAAGGTCAACTCCCCAGCATTGGCTGTCTTCATACTCTCATGCTTTTTCCAAGGTTAGAAAGCGGCTAGCGGTGCTGCTGCGCGGAAATTATCAATTAAGCGGAGGATGAACTGCTCTCTGGGATTCTGTGCTTTCTTCTTTCGCATTCCCCTGGGTAGCATTATTAGAGGGTCGACCTTGAGTCTTCGCGTCGATAGTCTTGGAAGTATGAAGAATGAAGTTGTTTAGATTTATCTTTTCTACCTTCCTACCGATCAGACTCAACAGTCAATAGCAAAGCATGGGCCCATATCAACCATTAAACCAAAACGGCAACGCTTCACGTGTCAACATCCTCGCAAACGTCATCAAATATCCAATGCTCTCGAATCCAAGCTCCCTCCTCATCCTCTTCCCCCCCCCCCAAGCATCTTCGTACCGCTCTCTCCCCGTCCTTTCCCTCCATCCCACTCCTCAACATGGACCCCACCCTCCTCTTCCAACGCGAATAACTCCCTGAACAAACGAAGAACTGACCACCAGCGTTCGGACTGCGCCAAGATTCATCGCAGACACTCGTTTGCCGTCGGCCCTTGAGCAGAAAAAAAAAACGGCGCATATTCTTTCCATGTCCGGTGTTCATTCGTCCCAGTTCCTCGATGGGGGCCGCGTAGATCTATTTCCGGGTGACGTTGTGGGCTTTGCATGGCTGGTCGGTCAAGGACGTTATGATTGTGGTGGGTTGGGGTCAGGGCCGGGATGGTGTAGATGGGGGGGAGGTGCTTCGGGAGAGCTCTGCTTGGTGCGATTGTTGCATGTGGTTCTTGGGTTGATCGGGGTGGTCGGTTGATGGGTGTAGAAGGGAGTTGGGGATGGAGTTCGGGGATTTTGTCGTCGCGGCTGAAAGATACTCTGGTTGATTTCAGAAGCATGCGGTAGGTCTGTTGTATTAGTGGGAGTTTGAGTTGATGAGGAGGGGGTAGATGGGTTGAGGGGAGCTTAGAGTGAGGGTTTTTTTTTTTTTTTTTTTTTCTTAAAAAAGAAAATAATAATGATACGTGGTTGGATAGTCATTGGATAGTGATTGTAATATAAAAAGACATTATCAAATTATCGAGATTCTTTCTTAGAGTCTCATTTAACTACATAAGGGTAAAGGAGGAAATGAGGGAGGATTGAGATCCAACCACACAAAAAGTCAGAACAGGGGAGGTATCAAGTCATAGACCAAAGACGGGGCAAACTCCAAAGAACTCAAATGGGATAGCTTGTATGTATGAACAGGCCGAGTCTCAAGACTTGGTAAAAGATCTCTTGCCCAGCTTCAAGCCCATAAATGTGCGGCCAGTGACCGCAACACTATTGTGTCGCTCGTGGCGGGGCCTGTTCGATTTCTCGGAAGGTTTGCTCCGCACAGCGACAGCGGCGTCGACATCCTTCGTGGACGTTAGACAAGCTTGTGTGTGGGAAGAAGGGATCGATGGCGTGGCCGTCACCGACGTCGAACCGGTGCTACCCGTGGCTCGGAAGAGGTCCACCTCGGAACGAAGACTGCTGGTCGAATAGATACTGGACGTGGTGGAATGTTTGCGAGTGGTCATTCGCTGGAGCATAGGGGACCGTTGGGAAAAGAGGCTGGAGACACTGCTCTTGGAACTGGCGTGGCCACGTTTCGAGGGCTGGGTGGGCAATTGATAGAAGGGAGGCGGTGGTGGAGAAGAGGCGCAAGAGAGAGGGCTGCAGGTACGGGAGAGAACAGATCCAGTTTCGCTGAAGGAGTGGTCGGGAATGTAGTTCAAGTCTGCAAAGAAAGGCGAGGTGGGACGAGAGCTGAAGGAAGGGACGCTACTATTGCTATTGCTATTGCTGTTGCTGTTGCTGTTGCTGTTGCTGCGGATCGAGGGGGGTCGAAGTCCCGCATCTGTAGGGCGACGAGATCGTGGAGAAGGCATGGCAGGAGGAGATGCGTCATTGCTCGCCGTTTTGGGTCGTAAGCGGTGCATCGATTGAGATCGTAGGTGTGGTGAGTGAGGTAAGATGGGGATCGTTGGAATCTCCGAGACGGAATGGATCGTCGCACTTTGGGAGGGAGGGGGAGTCGAGTCATTGTCGTTACGAGCCTGTTCGAAAGTGGAAAAGTCTGACATGGTTTGCGAAGATAGATCCCTCGGCGATGCAGGTTCCACGCTCTCTGTGATAGGAGAGACCGGAATCGCCTGGATTTCGTTGGATCGGTAGACATCTCGGCTGTTGTCCATGAGCCTCCCATCGAGGATCCGTGATTCCCGGTCGCGAGAGGTCTTCCGAGTGCGCGATCGAGCATTCTTCATCCGCGGCGCCAGCGAGTTGATGAAGACCAACGCGGGGCGAACGGTAGGCTCGGTGAGGGTGATCTTCTTGGCCGTCTGGATCTCGGCCTGATCTATGGAAAAGATAGAGGCCGGGGAGGCCGACCGAGATCTCACCTTGGTGACACACGAGGAAACATCGGGGGCCTGATAAACGGTGGGTCGCAAGTAAAGACTGGCATCAAGAAGATCATCCGATCCATCGGACGCGGGTAATCCAAGCACCACGGGCTCTTCGGGATCAAAGATGTAGGCGGTTTCGGCATAACTGGCGACACTATTCCGTTTCACCGTGTCGAGGGAGACGGGACGCTGGCGCTTGACGTCTCGGTCAGGTGGAAGAAAAACCAGCAACTCTTTCTGCGGGAGATCCAACTCTTCCGGCGAGGCCTCGTCGGCACTCATGTCGGAGTAGTCAAAGTGATTTGCTCGCTGAGGGGAACTCGTCAGGGAGGGCGTGAAGTCATTGGCGCCGGTATCCGACTCCGACATTTCTTCCTCATCTGATTCGTAACGATGTTGCAGACTCTGACGACTTAGACGATGGAGAGACAGTGCACTCGTTGTGGTGGCAGTCGCTGTCGATGCGGTTGTTGAGTCGAACATGGCGAAGAATCAGGGTTATTGACCACCGGGACTGTGTTTCTTTCTTCTTTTTTTTTTTTTTTTTTCGGTTGTTTCACCTTGACAATTCCGGGTTGCCACAAGTAGGTCTCATGTAGAGCGGGACTGCCTTTCTCTCGTGGGAGACTGAAGCAATGGATCCAGCACCGAGGGCAGTTGGAGGCAGTGGGATTAAAAGAAGAGATCCAAGATGGATGAGCGTCAGGCGACAATTATGAATGAGGGGCGCTGCAAGGCTTGCAGCCGTTTCTCTCTCACAATGACGATGATTCCAGAGGTCAGCAATGTGCAGCGGGATCAAGAATGTTCACTTGTCACTTGTCACTTGCCCAGGGCGGCGAAGGACGTTTCTTTCGAAGGGGACTAGGGAGGATAAGGCCGATGATGCTTCCGAAGCGACTTGTTCTTCTTGAAACGTCAGACAGGAGGACGTTGGAGAGGGGTACAATTGGTGTTCCACAGGGAGACACAGATGGGGATGGACGAGGAGGGAGAGGGAGAGGGAGAGGATGGGATGGAGATGGGGATACGAGGGGGGAGGTCCTCAAGTGAATCCAATGTCTTTATGAAACCCTACTTCTGGCAACTTTCACACTTCGTCACAAGTTCCGAGACCAGCTCTTTTAAGGTCGAGTGGATCGACTTCAGAGCAGGTGGCCGGTCAAGTGGATCGAGTGGACGGGGTCAACCAGGGGTGGAAGCAAAGCACAGATCATGAAGAGTAAGAATAGCACAGAGAGGATACGAGAGTATACACTATACCCAGTATACTGTTTCGTGTTGACTGTGTAGACCTTGGTGTATACCCTATACAGTATCCAGAGAATAACACTGCCAGCCATGCAATCGTCGACCAGGAGAAGCAAAAAACCACTCAATAATCAATAATCACACGGACGATCGTGGATCGCCGTGAGGGTTGGTCCCGGAAAGGCTGTCAGGACTCAGGACCATGGAAAATGGACGCCCGAGCGGAGAGCTACTGCTGGGGATGGACGGCAAATATTGATTCCAGTGGTCACTGGGAATCACGACGGGAGGCAAGCTGGAGAGTGAGAAGATGGGCGGAACGAGAGTTTCCAGGGAAGAAGCACTGCAGGAATTGCTCAGAGGGGAGACGGGCGGCGGGGGGAAGGAGGCTTGCAAAGATGGAAGTCGGAGAATTGGGACGATTTCTTGTCTGGTCATTTCTGGATATCTGGATTTCTGGATTTCTGGGGTTATGTGCATATCTGGATTCCCCTCTGGGGATCCCGTATTTTCTGATTGCCCTTTTCGGACGTGCGGGTGGGAGTCCCGATGGGGTTTTGATTTTTCCCATTTGGGGATCTCTTGATGTGCCCCACTCGGCGGGATCTGCTTTACGATCGCGGATGAATCCATGATATCTCGGGACAAACATGGGATCATCGCAACCTACTGATTCATACTCGCGGTTCCGCATCGCTCGTTCCTGACTTGGTTTGATAGGGATCTTAGCTGAGAGACGATTTGTCGGTCCTGTACCTGACCGCCATCGGATCCTCCCAGATGACTGGATGGGTTTGTGGATGCCATGCATGTCATGTCTGCACCTTCATTTCTTCCTGCTGGTGGCTCATCTTCAAAGTGCCGAGCTCGGGCATTTTGAGCGCGGACCTGATTTACAAGACGGGGTGTCCAGATGGCTCGAGACAGTGGGAGCGAGTAGTGGAAGTACCGTTGCTGGGTTGGTCCGGTGATCACTTTCTGTAGTGACCGAAATGTACTACGAGTACGTACTACGAAGTGTGTCCTCACTGCTCAGTCCCTATGTCGCGACAAGTAAATCCATACTTTATCAGACAGTGAACCACTCAAGGACATGTTAGGTATTCTACTGTACAATAAGAAAAGGGGAAAAAAGAATGGAAAAAAAGCCCCCCCCCCCCCCCTCCAATCTCTACATCCATCTGTACATTCTGCATTGCTCAAATGCAGCAAAGAGGGGGAGGGGGAGGAAACCACCGCCATGAACGGTGGACCGTGTACGCGACTAGTGGCTGGACTACTAACTTTCTCGACCGGCAGCAACGGGATGCAGAATGCAGGATTCTCCTTGCATCGCAGTGGCCTCCACCCTCCACATCCCAGCCAACCCCCGACGCCTCCCTTGCCCTGGAGCGAGGGTTCGTTTCAGCATGGCACAAGCGATGCGCCGTCGACTGCACTGACACGGCCGCATACCAGGCCCATTCCACCCTAGTCAGGGTTTTTCTTTTCCTTTTCCTTCCTTTTTTGAAACGTCAAACAGTATGGGTCCTTGCCGTGAGAGCCAGAAATAGGACCGACCCGAGAAGAGAAAGAAGTAGATCTCCAGGGTGTGGGAAGTATAGTGAAGTACAGTACCTGATTAATGAGAGATGAAAACGGATGAGAGGTCGATTTTCGAAATCAAAATGGGTAAACAAGGGAATATCTACCCAAGCAACCTTGGAGACAAATCAGTAGAGTCTTCAATCGGATCGATCCAGGCCAAGCTGTCAGGATTATAAGTATATTCGATGGAATCCATCCGTGAATGTATACATCCATACACCTGCCGCTTGAACTTCCATGGAATCCATCCGTGAATGTTCAGTACATCCACACACCTGCCGCTTGAACTTCCATTGATATCCAAGACACTGACAGTAGTATATTACCGAGTTAGTCAGTAGACTCAGTACTACTGCTACTGCCCGTTCTTCATGCTGCATTTGCCCACTTTGGGTGAAATTCAGATTGGTCAACGATGGACTCCGCACGCGCCACAGGGACGGCGGCCACGGGGAATTATTGGCAGGAGATTCTTCCCCCCTTGCGTGGTGCTAACGGGTTTCCAGCAGGGATTGATGATGGGTACTAGGATTGGACTAGATGAGGGGCGGGCATCGAGAACGACTCATTCAAGAAGATGTACAGTGTAGACTGTAGCCAGAGGGTATCTCCAGAAGGATGGAGGATAGAAGGGTGGAGGATAGAAGGGTGGAAGAGAGAGGCACGTCAAGCCAATCTAGGCTGAGGCTGGCCCTGTGCTTCGGTTTCAGCTGATTCAGATCGAGCGACGCGGTCTCGTTATTATTGTTCAACTCCATTTGCAAGGGTCCAGTAGATCGTGATATGATACTATAGGTACGTCTCTACCTCGGTAGGTCCCCACCCCATGGAGGTGAGAAAGATCCTTCGCGGCAATCACCACTTCCTGAACGTACACCAGGAGTCACTGGTCAGTTCGTTCACTTCGGTAGAACTAGACGGTATGCTTTCTTGGTACTTACTATTTACCCCTCGGTAGAGTCGGTAGTGGTACTATTCACGCCTTGATACTCATACTCACGGGTACGCTGTAGACCACAAACGTCACTCATACTCATCTTCGTGAGCAAGGGGACCGGAAAATGGAAAACGTCTGCTCTCAACCGCCAAGCTGACACAGGCTACGCGGATAGTGCTGTTTCGCAATCATGGAGAATGAGAATGGTGGTCCCCATTTTATTCCCCCTGGTCGCGGCGACGCGCCCGGAGTGGGGAGGAAGAATTTTCCGACGACTCCACGAGTCCACAGTCCACAGTCTGAGTCCACAACCTCGTCAGCCACAAGACAAGATTCGCTTCAAGATCATTCCAACGACCTACAGTAGTAGAACCCGCTCCCTGCAGAACGGTCACTACGCCCAATCCCGGCATCATGGATTATGACCATGGACAGAAGGTGGAACGCAGAAGCATATCATCGACCGGTTCCCCCTCCACCGAGTTCACTTTCAACTTCACCACGGACCAAGCCTAGTCCTGCACCGTAATGCAGTCCCGATTGATCTCCTGCGGTGGAGAGGGCCCTCGTCAGGTCCCGGGGGATTCACCCGTGAAAGTGTAGACTAGTCCCCCATCCTATCCCCCGATCCACCCAGTCCGATTGCCGAGGATGGGAACTGGGCACTACACCCAGCACGGAGTGCCAAGTTAGCCGCCGCTCCAGCGTGGTGGGCCCCGGTGGTCTAAGTCAAACACGCTACGACGAACGCTGGGGCCAACTCGAGGGACGGGCTAGTTTTTCAGTAGGACTCCTCCGAAAAAAGGAGAGTCCAAGTTTGAGGATCGACTTGGTTTCATCGCGTGCAATAAGCATGATCACAATTCGGTGGGTTAGGGACGGTCGGGTGAGGGTCCTCTCATTTCACCGCCATGTCTGACTTCAAAACATTCGCGGAAATCCTGCGGACAGGAATTTTTTCCACAAGAATGATTGTGGACTGTGCAACGATCGGGCGCTGTTGCCAAAGCTCAACGCACGATCAAAGCTTCCCAGCCGGACGCAGAAGGAGCTGCGCGAGTCCTGGGGAGGGATCGAAGAAGGTTTGAAACTTCGAGAATGTCAAAGACAGGGATCGAAATAGAATGGTCCTTCCTGTAGGACCTCTTTTCAATCGTCCTTGCGCTTCTGCCCTGAGCATAGGAGATAGCGAAGACAGGAGGAGAGTGGGCAGGGAGTCGCATTCCCAACCTCTTGAAAATCCGGACACTGACAGCGATGGCCTCAAGACTCGTCAGATGATCGCATACGAGTGGGTTCAATTTGCCCAGTACCACTAACAACACAATGACAATGCTCGCTCTCCCTTTGTTAGAGCAACCGTATGGGTGTACTCGTCAACGATCTGTAAAGGCGTGGTAGGGACATGCACTTGATGGCTGGGAGCTAAATGGAAAAAGGTCCATGCTACATCGTCCACGGACCACGTCGATCATGATGATCTAGGAAAAGTGGTTTGTCTGCAGTGCTGCACCACGACACTGCTCTTGACCAGACTGCAAGGCTCATCCGGTGGTCATGCTTATAGCGGTCTAGTCGCTGTGGACCAATGGCACACACATGGAAAAGCCTGCGAATCGTTGGACCTGCCACATCTTTCAGCGCGATGCGCTGGACAAGAACTGAGGGTCCAATAGCTTAACGCTTAACACGGGGGAGCTTGGTACCTGACGCCCGGACCTCGCCCTGAGTGAGGCCTTGTTGCCTGACCCGCCACGTCTACTCGATACTCGATACGGGAGACTGGAGACTGATAGGGCGTAGGTGTTTCCTCGGGCTCCTTACCTGGCTAACATATGTCGTGTATGGACTATGAGTATGCCGTGTATGCAATGTATGCAGTGTGTGCATGGATGATTGCTCTATTTGCACGTAGAGCTGGACCTCAATCAGATTGATCTACACCAGCAGACATCGTGACAGCAACAATATAGTCCACGGAGCCCACACTGACTGTTGCAACTGTTTGCCCTCTTGTCGATTTCGTGCTCCACCAGGGTTCCCAGCCACTCGTCGAGCTCCGATACCTATATTCCCGACGTTCTCCAGCTTTTATCACGCTTTCGTGGACTCGAACCTACCCCATGCAACGTTCACGCTGCTACGGTCACTTCAAATGCACTAGCCATTAGTCCTTTGCCCATACGTCACTGCAACAAACATGTGGACCTCGGAGGACGGACTCGATGGATCACCGGCTATCAGTCGACACCGCTGCATGTAGCCATGGACATGGACTGTAGCTACGTACTACTAAGCTACACTGCCCTTAATGGAGCTCAGGCCCTCAATTCACGGTCCGACCGCCTTATACAATGCAGCTTTCTTCATACCCAGAAACCGTGGACATTGAATGGGGCTTTTCCCCGGCAACGGAAATGGTATTTTACCGAGCCCTCAAAAGGCAGGGCGCAGAAAAGAGAGTTGGCGTCTATTCGGCATTCAATGAATGCTCCGGTACTAGTCTCAGTTGGAGCGACATGCATTATACACCAGCAGCAGCACACCAGCAGCAGCAGCTATGCATCTTCCCAACTTTTGACAATCCTAACAAAAAGCAATTCCGAAAGGCAGATAGCTCACTTAGCCGGATCCAAATTGGGCATGGTGACCATTTCCAAGCTCCCTTGGAGGCGAGGTGTCTAGCTGGATGGGCTATTTCGCCTCGATGCATCCTGAGCATACACCACCAAGTGACCCAAGCGTCCTCGGGACAATATCAAATTGGAACCGACAACCACTCACATCAACACTATATGCACTAGGCCCATTCACTATGTAAATATTTCATTACACTGAAACGTCCACTCTAATTCCAAATTTTCCCTAATCAAAAGCAGAATACATGTCAAAAACGCAGTGCCTCGGCGTTCTTCCGTTCTTCCGTTCTCCCATGAACACCCCGTTGCAACTCCGTCCGCCGCTATCTCAATCTGAAACACGCCAACTCAACGGTTTGGCCACATTTGGCAATTCAACCTTTCACACCATCCCACCTCTCACCTTTCCCACTCTCCATCACCGTTTGCTTGTGAGTTTCTAGGTACAACCGAAAGTCTCATGGCTGGAAATTACCCAGGTGAGCCCGCATTCGTTTACAACGGGTCCGCTCGTCTCCCTTATGTCATAAACTTTAAACAGCAAAAGCAATCTATGACCTCGATCGGTCCTGTCGTAGGTGCTACCTGACATGGCGATCATCAAAAGTGGAGAATCACTAAACCTCAATCAATAGGTTCGGCATCAATGCCGAAAATGATCCAGGTTCAGGTTCAGGGCCGGGGGGTGTCTTCATATTTCACACTACTTGCATCATTGCATATGGACCCTCGCCTATGGCCATTTCTTACTCGGGATATTGACTTTTGGGCAACAGATTAATTCGCGCTAGTGAAACCGCCTAGTCTCGTTGAGGACGGAATATTCATGTCTTTGTGGAAGTCTTGCCGGGATGGCTTGATATCATCGCCCTCGCGTAGGGCGGCATGCACCTGCATCCGCTGCCATGCTCTCCGTCTCCTGATAGTCCCAGTTGAGTATGAGGAGTGTCAGTCCCAAAAATAATAGGAGCAAACGTAGAAAATGTAAGGTGGAGAACGGATGTTCTATGGGCAACGAGAGAGAACTAGGTTCATCTGAGTATCTAGTATCATGACGATCTCCGCTTTGAGCAAGTGTGCTTGAAGGATTGATTGCGTGGTGCTATTGGAGTGCCCCTGCAGGGGATGCGAGTTGGTCATTGACATCGGGAAGGTCGAGAAACCTGGAGGGACAAAACGGGAAACACGGGGCACATCTTCGAATTCAAAAGCGAGCCATGGTAAATCGACAGATCCTTGAAGGACTTCTAGCTTGCCAGGTACCAATGCAGTGATGCACACGCTACTCAATGTGCTTTGCAACGCACTTGAAATCCCGGACCACTCCAATAAAGTAGGCCTCCCCTTCTCTTCATATTCACGAGTTGCCATTGTATTCGAACAGGTGCTTCCATCTTGAACTTGGCTTCGATAAGTCGAGAAACCTTGTGGAAATCCCACGTCTGCCGGATCCCCGAAGATCAGGACTATGGCGCCGTTAAGCACAGTATGTAGTATCACGGATGCCATGCACCACCGGGCGCCCGCCGATCACCTTTCTTCGGACTAAATCCCCAACACTCAATCCTACTAACCCCTCCACTGATGATATTGGTATAGGCCCGATCAGGTCATGTTCCAGCTGCATGATGGTCGAATTCTGTTCCCACTCATCCGCTAACAAATACAAGCTATTGAGACAATCCAGCAGTTGTTGGGAAGTCTTCGTGGATTGCGTTTGGTATCCTCCGTTGGGGTTGAATCATGGATATCGCTCTCGCGAATGGAGGCTTACCATGATCCAGCCATATCGAGTCGATTATCCTCTATCTATACTAGGTGATGAGCTCTTGTGGATCATTTGAGTCATTTCACTTCGAGGTAGTACCTATGTAGGAACTTACCTAGGGAGTGCCCAGAATGCTTACTTGACCTGTCATATTCTCGGCATCCTCACCTCCCCTCCCCCCTGCATATATGGCTGCACGCCTATTCATTTCTTGTTTTCAGACGGGCAGGAACCTAAAATTGATCTGGATGATCAATACAGCTCGGGGCAAGCGTCACCTAGAGCGACTGGGAGCTCAACTAATATATAACCTCGTCCATGGACATTGACGACGTCTTTTCTGCTTAGAGGACCGAGGGAGGACCGGGCTTCATTCGGTAAGCTTACTTATGTATGAGGATCATGATAGAGTCTAACGATTCCAAGGTATCGAAAAAGTCATAGGGCATGACATCTGCCTTGGTCTGTACCCCGGTGATTGACCCCATCGACTGATTGTTCATGAGTTGCATGCTGTCTTCTGCTAGGAAGGGGTCTTGGGTCTGGGAATGCTGGAAATGGATGTCAAGGGTACGAAGGGCCATGTCGAGTCTATATCCTAACCTCTAATTAGTTCCCCGATTTCCTTAGGTCCGTTCGAAGACATCAATCAAGTCTGTAATTTCTGCGCCTTCTTTTGCGTTGAAGTCTGCATTGAAGCCTATGTCGATTACCACGTTGATTACTGTGTTCATGACTGCATTAATCGCTGAGTCAACGTCTGCGTTGAAGCCTACATTGAAGCCTGTATTCAAGGAATCAAGTCTGCGTCGAACCCTGCGTTGAAGCCTGAATATTGAAATCAAATACTAATCCGAAGAACTTTCGCAAAATTTTTATGCGATACTAGACTAGGGAGAGAAGCTGAAGTAAGAAAGAGCTTTGATCTCCTACTAGAAGGAGAATATATAGGCCCTTTATGAAGCTAAGAAAGAAAGCTTCTAGGAAGAAAGGAAAGCTCCCGTCCTTGATGGAAGATTCCAACAAGCTGCTAGCATGACAGCAAAATCTAATACACTTCTTGAAGCAAGACCTCTCATTCCCCTCGTCTAACATTCATGCACCAGTGTGTATTGTATCGGGGAATGGTAGAATCATAAAAGCAATAAAACACCGGGACTGTTGTGAATATGACAGGAGGACGGGACTACTGGACTGACTCAGGATGAGAGAAAGAATATCGGAGGACAGGGACACGCCCACCACGTGTGACACGCACACCACGTGCACCACCTCAAAACTTGGGATGTCACTGTAGCTTCTTCTTCTTCTTTCTCTTTTCTCCAGCTCTTGAGATCCTTGAATACCACGCAGAACAGTTGAATAAAAGTTTATGAGTCCTTCTGAAGCTTTTCCTAAACTAGCGTACAATATTACCTCAAGAGCTCTAACACTCTTTTTACCTTTTCTTTTTGAAGTCTCAGCCGGGTAGTAAGGCACTGTGTCCTCTAGCTAACATAAGAACCTTTACCTTAACGAAACCCACGAACCGAACCGATAAAGACCTATAGTTAGTATAGTAGATACCGATGATACTCTCTCCGATGAGAGCGCTAAAGAAGGTGTCTCTCTTAACGACTAAGGAGAGAACCGCCTAGAACGAATCCTCTAATAGATAGAAGGAAACACGGAAAATACCAAAACCGTTTAGTGACTAAGATAGTAGATCCACGAAATAAGCGATATACTAGGAATCCTAAAGTAGGAGAAGAAGAAGAACGAATATCTTACCGAAGAGAATAAGTATCTTACAGAACAGAATAAACGGTTAACTAAAGAATGTTATACGCTAGTTAGGAAAGTTTTAGAAGGACTCATAAACTCTTACTCAACTGTCTGCGTGGTAATCGAGGATCTTAAGAGTTGGAGGGAAAAAAGAGAAAGAAGAAGCTACAGTATATCCTAGGTTTTTAATATGGTGCGCGTGGTTAACGGCATCTTCCTTGGTACGCGTGGTTCACGGTATCTCCCCTCTAAGTCCGTAGCTCTCTTATGTTCTTAATATTACCCCCTCTTTTAAAGAACCTAGCCCTCTAGGTCTATTAAATCTAGTACTAGTAGCGTTAGTAATAAGCTGTGTAATTAGCCGGTTTATCGTTATTCTTATAATCCTCGTTGATTTTATCCTTTAGTATAGCTTTAGCCTAATCTTATAGTCTTCTAGGTGGTCCTAGCTAATGAGGATACTTCCTATAGTATTCTATAATTCTTGTTGTACGCGAGAATGGAAAAGCTTTAGAAGGACTTAGAAACTTTTATTTAACTTGGCTGCGTGGTATCAAGAATCTCAAAGGCTGGAGAGGAGAAAAAGAAAAAGGAAGAGGCTATAGTCTATCCTAAGTTTTGAGATAGTACGTATAGTATACGCGGTACACGTGGTAGACGTGGTATATACCCTCTACCCTCCTATATCCTATCCTTATCCTAAGTTAGTCCTGCTATACTTATAATATTACCCCCTCCTTTAAAGGACCTAGCCCTCTAGGTCTTTAAATTCTAGTACTAGTAGCGTTAGTTCTATATCGTTTAATTAGCCTACTTATCGTCGTCCTTATAGTTATTATTAATTTTATCCTTTAGCGCCGCTTTAGCCTAATTTTGTAGCCTCTTCGGTAGTCCCGGCTAATTAAGATACTCCCTATAGAATTCTATAATCCTTTCTAGTAAATTTTTGAAATTCCTCGTAGGATACTAGGTATCGTTATATTTATACTCTTTCTATTTTACTTAATACTATAACTTTCGGTACCGTAGCTATACTACGAGGATCTTCTCGACTTCCTATTCCTACTTACCTTTAATAATCTCTAGTAGTAGTTCCGGATCCGGTAGTTAGCCTTATAGCGGTTCCGATTTTAATACTTTTTGTAGCTTATCTAGTAAGAATATCGGATATATCTTTATAGAGTCCGGTAGTTCGATCTTATATATATTTCCTATCTTCTCGAGAATCTTAAAGGATCTATACGCCTAGTAAGCTAATTTACGGCTAGGTTAAGGAGTTTTCTAATTTTTCGAAGTTATATAGATTATATCTCCGATACCGAAATCTTTAGATCTATAATATCGATTAGTATATTCCTTATACTATTCCTAAGCTATAGTTATTTATTATTAGACTTATTCCTAAATCTCTTTTAGGTTACTTATATAGTCTTATACTACTTAAACTTCCTCTAAAGGATCTTCTTAATAAAGTCAAGATCGAATATATTATTACTAATTAAGCTTCTTTAGTATCTCCTAGTTAAATAATACTCTAGGTTTATAATCTCTTTCTATATAAAAGAGTAAGATACTAGTTATTTCTTATAGTAGTACTATAGTAGTAAAATCTACTATTATAAGATAGTCGGACTAGTTATCTTAATAATAACTTATAAAGGACTATAGATATTAAGCTATATATTAATTCGTAATCTTACTCTAACTATTAGTTTATAGATAGTATACTATTAATAGTTTCTTCTTAATATTAAGGATTCTATAGAATTCTGTCTAAAATTCGGATATAAACTAGTCTCTATAGTCTAAGATAATTAAATCTAGTATCCTAGTCTAGCGATAAATATAGTTAATAAAGATCTAGGTAGTCCTTTTTATATCGATATTCTTATAGTAGAAGATAGAGATTAGTTACTTTATTAGTTAATTAATAAAGACTATAACTATATTATAGCTATACTTATCGCGAGGGAAGAAGTAGTAATCTATAGTAATATACTACTATAGCTAGCTAGAGATCGGAAGTAGTTTTAACTTATCGGATATCTTATCCTTCTATATCTTAGTTTACTTATATAGTTAGTAGTTATTAATATATCGTCTTATATCCTAATAGAGCTCTGGCTAGTAGTATTATAAAGTAGTTATTTAATATATTTTATCTTAACTAGGATAGATAGTTAATAGTTAACGGTAGATCTTATTAAGTAGTCTTATATATAAATTACTATCCTCGGGAACTATAAGTCGAGTTTCTTCCTAGAGGAGATAATCTTATTTTAATAACTACTTATTTAAATTATCTTTTATATTCTTCTAATACTATTCGAGGCTTTTATAATTCTTATTCGCTTAAAGAATTCGTTTGATAATATTATTTTAGACTATATTAACTAATAAGACTATAGGATAGACTCTCTTCTTAAGTTTCTCTCTTAGGATTATAATTTATTTAGGCTAGTCCTTTATCTTTAATATCTTCTCTTTTCTTAATAGTATATCTATAACTATATTACTTCTACTATTATAATATTTAATAATAAAATAGTATTACGATAGTATCTCGGCCTAATATACTTAATAAGTATTAAGCTTCTTATCTATTATAAAGTATTATAAGAAGTAATAATCTATCTAGATTTTAAAGGCTTAAACTTATTATAGACCCTCTAGTTCCGCCTGCTATTCCTTAAGTACTTTAATAATAGCTAATATTTCCTTATTATATATAACTATTTTTATTAATCTTAATCTATTATCTTTAAAAAGAAAGCTACCGGATACTATATCCTATTAGTTTCCTAGGATAGTATTATACCTAAGTAACTATTAGAAGTATCTATCTCTAGGTATATAGGTATATTCGGATTATAGTAGTTTAATACTAGAGTAGAACTTAAACTTATTTTTAACGTTTCGAACGTAGATTAGTAGTTCTAGTTCTATATAAAAGATATTTTCTTCCTAGTAAGATAGTAGAGTAGTTTCGCGATACGGCTATAATCTCTAATAAATCTCCGGTAGAAGTTATATATACCTAAGAAAGATTATACTTCTCTAATAGTCTCCGGGGCTATCTATACTATAATTATATCTACCTTTACCGGATTAACTCTAATTCCCTATATACTAATAATAAAGCTAAGGAATTTAGTCGCTTATATATAAAATTTATATTTATATAGTACTACTTATAAGCCTACTTTTTATAACTATTATAATACTATCTTTATATATACTTAGTACTATCTTAAGTCGCTCTCGGTATAGATTAGAATATTATCTATAAATATAGTATAGAAATTATTAAGATAATCTCCTAAAGCCTAGTTAATATAATATTAGAATATAACCGGTCTATTAGTTAATCTAAATAGTAAGACCTTATATTTATATAACCTATATCTTAACTTAAAGATTATAAGATCCTCTAAGTCTAGATATATATAAATCCTATAAAATCCTTATTAAATATTAAGTTTAGTAAACTATTTAGTCTTACTAATCTATTAAAGTAGTTTATCGATTAAAGATAAGAGATATTAGTCCTTCTTTGTTAATATATTTAACTTATAGTATTTAACGTAGAATCTTAGTCTACTACTAGACTTAACTACTATTAAAATTAGTAATATATATAGTACTAAAGAGGGTATAATAAAACCTTTTACTAGATTCTATAGTATATACTACTTTATAAAGCGTAGTTTCTCTTCTATTATTTTATAAAGTAGGTAGTTAAGCTACTTAAAGGAATTATTTTTAAGCTCGATCCGGTAGTCCGGTATTCCTCTTAATAGTAGTAGTATATCTAAGACGA